ACTTCTCAATAAGGGGAATAACAACATTCTTATGTTTTAAATTTTAAACTTCAAGAGACCTATGTCTGAGATGTCAGATTCTGTGTGTGAGAAGTTGAGGTTTGTGGAGACTCTTGCTTGTTAGTTAGGGAACTTCCACAAAAATAATGGGAGAGGGAAGGGGAAAGCCTTTTGAACCAGTTAATGCCACTCCTTAACTCCCTCTTCCAGTCCCGTTTCCAAAAAGACTGCTATCAGATCTCTTCCAGTTGGAAAAATGGTGTCTGGGAAAGACTGGCTAGGATGCAGGAGCTCAAGAGTGAGAGTTTAAGGCTATGTCTATACTGTGTACCTTACAGCGGCACAGCTGTGCTGCTGAGTGTAAGGTCTCCTGTGTAGCCACTCTTTGCTGGCAGGAGAGAGCTCCCCTGCCGGCAAAATAAAACCATCGCCCAATGAGGAGCGGTAGCTTTGTCAGCAGGTGAGCACCTCCCACCAACAAAGTGCTGTCCACAACGGCGCTTTTTGTCAGGGAAGGGTGGTTGGTTGTTTTTATTTATTTTTTCCCCCTCCCCGTATCCCTGACCGACACAAGTTTTACTGACAAAAGTTTCCATTTGTGTGGGAAATGGAAATCTTTAAGACCAGGACAAAGATCTCTTCTGTTTCTCCTCCCCAGCCCTTCAAAATAAAAATTGGAAATGTTGGGAGTCCAATCTTTTATGCCATTGTTTTCAGTGGGTGCAAGGTCAAGGTCTTTCTTAATGATCACACTAAAGATATTTACTAAATTACCTATTGTCACATGAAATGACTTTCAAAGCAAGTTTAAGTGGCTTTGAGTTCTGGCACTAACTCCTCTTATGTTACAAGTTCTGTTCATTTCAGATATTGGGTTATATAAAGTGATTAAAAAGTGTCTTTTTTTTTTTCTTCTCCCCCCCTCATCCTCCATCTCTTTAAATGTTCTCTCTGGTGACAGGGAAATGACCAGAAACTTCTTCAACTTGCAATTTGGGAGCTTATTCAGGACTGACCAGAATCCAACCTATTTCTTAAGACGTTTATCTCGATTTGCTGATATTTACATGGCATCACTGAGCTGTCTCTTGAACTATGATCCCAATTACACATTTTATCCAAGGAGGACTCCTTTGCAGCATGAACTCCCTACCTGGTCAGACCAGCTGTGCAGCGGTACATTCAGAATACCCTTCCTGCAAGAGGTGGTTCAGAACAAATGAGCTTTGGGTTTGTACCTGGGTTATTTTATAGCACCCCAAATGGATGAATATACCCATCAGTAACTACCAGAATGTAGTAATTTTTTTTTTAAAATCATCTAGTACATTTATGTATCTTGATCCAGTTACTGGACTTGTCAGTTCTGATAGATCAAGAATTCATAAATAACTTGTCTCTCCTCTCTGTATTACTCCTGGGGGAAATCTGTACCAAAAAATTAGAAGTTCTGCACACAGTATAATCACACTAGTTTCCATCATTTTGGGAATTTATTTCAAAATACATGCCAGCAAATATGTCTATAACAATAACAAAAAAGATTCAGGAAATGTTTTTTTGACAAATAGGTCCCTTTTTTAGGCATATTAATACAGATTTCTGAGTAATAACAGTTCTGTATTATAGTTGAAATGAATTTCCCATACCCCCCTAACGCAGTGCAAAGCCCTTGCGGGAGTCAGGGGTACAGAGGAGCTGAGGGAGATGGAAGTAATTGCTGGGAAGGAGTCTGGAGGGTTGCTGGGTATGGGTGGGAGAAGTAAGGAACATTTTTTTGGGGAGGGGGAGGAAGGGAGGGATTGTTAGGGAATTGGGGAGTCTCCTTCATGCAGACCCTGGCTGACCCCTAGCCACTCCCATTCAGTCAGACACATCTGCCCCTGTCCCCATGTGGCCCTGCACTCCCATTCCCATTCAGCCCCTGGCTCAATGCTGTCACCTCACTAGCTCCTGTGCCCCTGCTCCAGTCTCTCCCCCCCTCCCCACTAGCCCTTTTGAACCATAGTTTACCCCTCAGCAGGCCTGTGTCCTGCTCTGTCCATCTCTACCATGTTGCGAGCCTCCTCACCTGGCCCCACAGGCAGGGCACTGTGAAAAGACAGCCTGTCCCCCTCCCTCTCTGCTGCTGGCTGCCCTCTGTTCTGGTGCCACAGTAGCCCCTGGTGGGCAAAAAGTGTAATTGCAGTGCCTCTCTGGCAGAATCTATTTTCTGCGGGGGGAGAGAAATCTGCGATGGACATGAATTCTGCACGTGGCAGTGGTGCCAAATTCCCCCAGGAATATCTATGTATAAATCCTCTTAAAAATAATGAGACTTATGCTTGCACAGAGAGGGGGAAAATAGACCCCCAAAACAGAATTGGCTGGAAGGGAAGATTTGTTTTTTCATATTGAAACTCGTATCTGCAACCTTGTGGTTCACAAAAAAAATATAGCCTCTCTCTTCTGGTGCTGGTCTGATGGATCTCCACCTGATGACTCCAGAATATCTTGACATGACTGAAAATTTTAAGTTGTGAGTTCAGAGAGAAACAATTATCAAACGGTTTACAGTGTGGTGGGGAGGGAGTAGTGTAAGTATAGTAACTTTCTGTGCTGGATACTTGAGTTACAACAGATTTTTAAACCTGTAGTTTTACTGAGACTCATTATTAATGGGCTGCTTTTTCTATATGTACATGCATTTTACATTAGTGTAATATAATAACCTGTGTTCTATATGTGATAAATTTGTTGTCCCTGGGTGTAGACCTAAATTTTCAAATATGACTAGTGACTTTGCGTGCCCAACTTTGGACCTCTTAAATGGCTTAATTTTCAGAAGGTGCTGAACACTTGCCCTTTGACGGTATCTCAAAGTAGGCACCTTTGAATATTTAGGTCCTAGTTCTCAGGGAAATACTATGAACGAACGTTCAACTAAAATGCAGCTTTTGTTGTTGTTGTTCAATGTTGAACAGTGTCTTACTATGACATATTTTTGTGTTTCAGAATGTTAAGCCTTCATCACATGTTTGATGTGGAGCCGCCTTTTTTAAAATTTTACTTTCACATTTCAAAATAAACAGGTAGTGTTGGTAAATGAGTTCGAAAAAAAACAGAGGAGGACAAAGAAAAATGAAAAGCAAAATCATATCCGATCTTTTTGGTTTTAAACCCCTAAAATTGGGGGAGGAAGACTAATTAGATCACGCAAAATAATTGGGACTGTACGGACTAGCGAGGAGCTTTATTTACTTAAATTACTGAAATTCTAGGTGTGATGGGATCCCCAGGGTGCAGCCAGGGACTGTGGGACCGCTGTGCCCCCTTAACTCTCCAGCCTGGGCTCTCTCTCACAATGCTTTGCTAGTGACAAGCAGCAAGCCCCACCAGGCGCTGTTATCACTCAGCACAACTGCATGAGGAGCCCCATAGCCAGCTAGATTGCATGAATGCTCCCAGAGCCACTCATGAGTCACTCAGAGAAAGGCACCAGAGCCAAACCCCCGCAGCTCCCAACCTTGTACCTCAGGAATATACCGTCTTGCACTGCTCATCTTGACAGTGCAAATATATTAATTGGTTCACCACTTCATCAATGGAAAGTGGATATATACCAGCCTTTGTAAACCTGAGCAGATTTACCAAGCACTTCAGGCAAACTCACTGGTAAAGATAAACAGTTAGACCAATTTGTTGACTACAAAAGATAGATTTTTAAGTGATTATAAGTGATAGGCAAAAAGTCAGTTACCAAAAGAAAAGAAAATATAAGCACAGAGTCTAAACTCTCAACCCTATTAGACTGGGCAACATCTAGATTAAGCAGTTTTTCTCACCGCACTGGATATTGCAGTCCTTAATACACAGGTTTGTCCCTTGAACCTGGGTGGAGTCTTCAGTCGTCTTCTGAGTTTCTTTGTTGCTAGCAGCATAGGTAGGGGCAGGAGAAAGGCCTAGCATGTGGCCTCTGGGTTCCATTTTATACTCTCAGTCCCATGTGCTTGGGGAGGACAAGTCCAGGCATGTCTGGAGGGCATTGCTGAGTCCCCAGGCAAGGTTGAGCAGTTCCCCTGATGTGGCCTTATGCAGTTGAGTCATTGCATTGTAGTTCCCTTGCTGGACAATGGCTGTTAATGGTTGTTTGACACCCCCGCCCCCCCCCCAGGCGTTGGTTACTTTCCTTGACAATGTCTCTGGAGAGCTAGTACCTGGGCGCTTCCCAAACCCACAGCATATTTTAGTGACAACCATACAATACAATTCTCATAACTTCATATGCATTAATGATGTACATATTTTGATGGAACAGTGACTTTCAGCAGACCATAACCTTTCCCCCTGATACCTCACATGGCCTGTGTTATGTACAAATCACAATTATATATCAGTGAGGAATATGGAGGTTACAGGGCGCTCCCCCAAGGTATAGAATGTCACACTAGGTAATCGATGAGCAGATAATTTCGCATAGTTTGGTTCCCAGTGTTTAGGACTGAACTGAAGCTTATCTGAATTTCCCACCAAGGAAGCATCTGCTGAAGCATGTTTCCTCAAATAGGCAGTGGCACTTCACTAAACCACTACAGACGTTTCGAAGCAGGGTTTTCCCCTCCTCTGTGACCAAAGACGGCAAACCCAATGCTTCCCTACCCAACCCTTTCAGAACTTGTATAGCTTGACTCATTTTAATATTTCCTATGTTTTAGTTCTAATTTTAATAAGTATATGAAAATATAATTAAGAATAATTCTTGCTATATATTTTGTCAGTTTCCTTTTAGGGCATAATTTGCTTCCAGCAATGACCATCGGGTAAATGAACTTTTGGTGACCAAAAGTTTTTGTGTGTGTGTGTGGTTTTTGTTTTTTTTTAAACCTGTCTGTTTGTGTCACGTGTTTATAATGGCTTTCATATGCAATATTTTTCACATTTTAAAAGGCATGTTTGCAAAATGAACATTTAAAAAAGCTGCTTGCATAAATCCAGTGCAAGTTTCCTTTAAACCTGGATGCTTTTAAATAAATCTATTGCTGGCCATGGAGGTTTAATATGATAGCGTTGTTTGTGGTTTTCTCTAGCTTGGTTTCCAGACTATGTGCAACATTTCTAGGGTGTTAGGTACTTCTTTATACATATGAATAGACTATACTTGACTTGAAATGTATGAGTTCCACTGACTGTCCTACTGTTGTTTGCTGGAGAGACTTATAAACATCCTCTGGTACCTCATCTAGCTTTATCCGGTGAGTTGTAGGCTAAGCTGGACAGTGCAAGCTCTAGTTAATTTAATATTTTACAAAACTTGATATCTAGTCTATTTTATATGCTGAAATTTGGGGAGGGGGGTAATTTCATTTTGCCTTCTGTGTGTTATGCTAAGATAGAACAAAACTTGATATTACTGTACATAGCACATTTCATATCCCAAAGGATACCAAAGTGCTTTATAAAGTGGTGATAGTATTTGTACTGCAGAGCATAACAAGATTAAGAGAAAATAAAGACAGTGTATATTTTTTCCATCTGACTTTTAGTACCAGCAGATAATAGTTAATGTCACATTTTAAAAATTGAGTGGTTACATTTGTTAAATACTTAGATGCTTATGGCTCTTGACATGAGCCTTTGTTGCCTAATTTTGTAAATCTAGGTAAAGAGTGAGTCCTTCTGAGCACTGCTAAAGTGTGTTTAAGCAAGAAAAGTGAAATTGTTGTGTGGGAATATTTTATCCATCCATTTACTGTGCATTTTGTTTCAAGATGAAAAACTTCAACCTAACTTAAAATACAGTAAAATGTTCTGTTATGCTTGGTGGTGGTTTCTTTGAGATCTGAGGGACACCAGCTAGTATGATTTTTATTTATTTATTTATATTGCATGGCATTTTTAGTTACAGGGGATTAGTGTTCAAGCAAACTGTGTACAATATGAATTTAAGACAATGTTTTTGAAAATATAAATACGTGAATATGCTTCAGTGTTTGAGTACTCTTTCAAAAATGTTTTGGTATTTTTGTAACTGCTTCAGAATTCTTGAGCTGTGTACCTCCGACTTCCCTTATTAATTACCTTCGTTAACCCTACCACATCACTTCTCTCATGCAGATTTTACAACATGTTTCAAATGCAGTGTCTACATTAATTTTTGGAGTATACTTCAGCTGAATCAGAGTGAGATGAATTGTCTATGTTTAGTCTAAATCAGAAGTGCAAAAATTTATAGTTCGGTTAATAAACTATCAGAAAATGTTACTTTATGTGAAGAATATTTAACAGTTGCTACAAAAAATAAATGTATGTATTTTATCTGGTCCCTAAAGAGCCTTAATCTTTCTGATGACAGGGAAGGGGTGGCAGGAAGCTTATTAGCTGGGCAGACTATCTTAGATATTATTTTAAATTCAATTTAAATAAAAACGTGTGTGTTTGGAGAACAGGAAGGGAGGAGATGGACATGAAAATAACTGTAGTCTTTGCCTCACTTGTTCAATCATTTACCCTTTAAACTTGGAGTTCCTCACACTAGAACGACTACATCAACAAGTGCTGGGTCTTTGTGGGTATGTCTACACTGCAGTTAAACACCTGTGGCTTGTCCATGTCAGCCTGAACATCTACACTGCAATTTACAACCCTGCAGTCCAAGCCCCAGCCATCTAACACAGGCCAGCTGCAGGTGTTACAGTACCACAGTGTATGTCCACAATGTAATTTAACCTATGTGGTTTGCTTGCATTGCTTAATCTGCTGAAAGATCCTGGGATATTTATATGAAAGCAATCCTGTGCTACACAAAAAAGAATGGTTACAAAAGAGAATGCCAGTAAATATATAGTTGATATGAAACATTACCACCACTGCCATCACAAACATAAAAATCTCTCCTTGAGGTTTACTGTGTTATGTAGCCTTTCCAGCCCTCTGGAGACTTGCTGCAGCATTAAGACTGAATTTCCCCACCTCCCTCCACCCACACTCTTTATTTCATTATTTTAATATAGTACATGTAGAAAGGGCAGCTGCTATTGCTATTCATTTAAAATTTGCATCTCATGTGTAACTGAGTTGATATAAATATTCTACACAGACAATGCAGAAGGTTTTTTTTTTTACTTTACACAAACCACTGAAAAATGAATGGGGAAGGCAAAGCGGGCAGTAAACAAGCAGAATGCCTATTCTGCACAAAAATGACTTGAAATAAAATAATGAAATAGGTTAAAGTCATACATGACTTGCGTTCCTCATTAATTCCTCTACAGTTAATATTTCTTCATAACAATGACAGAATTCATAAATGGCTCAGAGTGGGCAAACCAGACATACTGTGCTTGCATTTGCAGCTACATCATTTTTTAGAAGGAAGAACATTGTTAACAAGATCAAATAATTTTAAAAATGAAGGTCGTAATACTATTAAGCAATATTTGTGGCTTTTGCTCCTTGTCAGCCACTTCTGGATTCAACCCCAAGACAAAATTAGATAAAAAGACACAAGGGTAGCAAACACAGAGTACATCCTCCAAGTACGGTCGTCAGAGGACATCAGGATTATGTGTTTAAGAGGCAGTTTCTTTTCTTTACAGAAAGACGGGCATCATAAATCAAAGTAGCTACATGGTGTTCTGAAAAACTATAAGTCATCGTGGGCCGTTTAGCAACTGCTATATCCTTAAATAGAAATAACCTTTAAATGTCTCCTAGGCAGAGGAATACATTTCTACATTAATTCTATATTTGTTTAAAGTGGAACTTGATATTCCTTACATGTAACCAACTTTTCAGCAAATTCGCTGTCTCAAACACTTACTTACTTTAAAAAAATGTTATAAAAAGGTAATTTTTTTTCCCCTGAAGTGCTTAGGCAGGGCTTATTCACAGTAAATGTTCATTTTAGACTGTAGAGAGAGGTTTTTCATTGTTGATAATTCCAACTTCAGTCTTCAAAACTGATCATGAGGCCCACTCATTACAAGCTGCTGTTCATCAGAATCCTATAAAATGAAGTATCACTCTATTGTCCAATCTATAACTTCCCTCACAGTGAATTTCTAGTCCTGTTGTGCCTATCGCATGTGCACCAGGAAATCCCAAACATTAAAGTGCATTCCAGATTCTTCTCCGTGAGAGATTTCCCCCAAAATGCCATTCACCCTACATCCAGAATAGCATTGCATCATGTTATTTGACTCCAGCTACCATGAAAGGAGGCAAAGTTAAACTTGAGTCATCAGCCCTATAGGGGCCGCAGTTCAGCAAAGCCCTTACAGCTCAGGCTTTAGAGCTTCTGAAGTCAATAGGATTTAAGTACATGCTGAAGTGTTTTGCTGAATCGGGGCCATAAGGACTAACCCCACTTGCCTTCAGTTTCTTTAACTTTTCCCTTCAATTATTATGGAGGAATTACACAGTGCCCCAAATATTTGTGTCCCCTTGCTATTGCAAACTTTTGTCCGAGTGTAACAGCAGGCTTGTAAAATGCTGCTGAATGACCATCAAACTCTGATACAAGAGCAGCATGCAAGTTTTTTTTATAGGAATATTCACTCTGGGACATCCCTGTTCTTACATGGGGTCACTGTACGGAACAGGATGAAAACCACTGTTATCAGGTGTCTGCAGCTGAGATAAGGAAATTTTTTTTTAAAGCCTCTTCTATACATTTCCCACCCTTGCTACCACTCAGGGAGTAACTGGGGACCGGGGGAACGTTTGCATAGACAAGTTACTAGCAGCCAGCAGCGTTTTAACTGCCCTGTCTTTTACTGCTAGCTCTGGTTGCTAAAATGCTGCCGAGTGATCTAGAGCCCCACTCTTGCTACTGGTGGAGCTGGCCCAAGGGTGGGATTTTTATTCCCCCCCCAAGTATAGACCCCCCCCTCCTTCCTGACTTTCAGCTAGACACTGTCCCCTTGCAGAATTCCATCTCCATGATCTTAAACTATTATCATAATCTCCAAAATCAAAGTGAAAACTTACAGAGAAAGGCTCGTAGGCAGGCTCCGGTGGAGGAGGAGGAGCAGAACTTTCATAGGAGGGATTTGTGATGTTTGAAAGCCGTGGCTTGTCTAGTGCTGTCACATCTATATCTTCTTTTGACTGTATAAAACCATACACCCATTTAAAATACATCATTCTGCCGTTAGCATATCCAGTGAGGCATTCGGTGTTTCATTGACTCTGCCGCACCTAACCAAATAATGTGTATTGGTGTAGTGATTGGAGGAGGGGTGCTCGAATGACTAGAGTGCTGGACCTGGACTCGGACTCGGGTGACCTGAGTTCTGGTACCGGCTCTACCATGGCAATCAATTTGCCTCTTCCCCCCCCTCGTCCTTTGTCTTCTCTACTTAGATTGCAGATGCTTTAGCCTGGGAAGTGTGATTTGAACCGTGCCTAGCAGACCGAGTTCCCAATCTCACTTTAGGCCTCTGGGTGCATAATACAAATAAATCACAGTTTCCCTTGGTCAATATTCCTCTTACAATCCTAAATGACTATTCATGTTATATGCAGGGGCTAGAATAGGTAGGGACAAAAACTGGCTGTTTCTGGGGGAAATTTCTTTTAGATTGATCCTTTTACATGACCCCCCCCCACACACACCTTGTTTAAATCGTCCATCCTTGTAGCTTGTGCTGAATAGTTTTGTTACTAGATTAGTTTTGCATAGTGCCTTCACAGGAAGCAATCATGTTGGCTTGCTCCATGTTAAATATCACACCTAAACTTACCTTTTAGAACCTTAGCAAATGCTGGTCTAACTCTCTGGCCTTCCTTGCTATCAAATCTCAGTTCAAACACACACGCTGGACAAGCCCAGGACTATCATGACACTTGGTGGTAAAACAGGGGTATTGGGTGGTGGTCCACTTAAGTGGGCATAGTTAGGCTTCCAAATTAATGGCCTCCTGAAGCTGAGTGTCTAGGTGAGCTGGAGAAATAGGACCTTGGGTCAGGGCTGCTGTAGAATACAAGCTTCGAGCAAGGCTGTGGCTGTGGCTGGGTGTGAACACTGCCCTAGGGAGAGTTCTTGGAAGGACTGTGCCTCAGGAAAGCACACTTTCACCTGGTGTGCAGGACCGCATGCACACTGCATCCCCACAGAGCACGTGGCCCACTCAGGACTGCTGTTGAGCAGGATAGGCCATGGCCCTGCTGCTTCTATGTTTAGGCTCTTGTGCTCCCTTGACTAGGTCTCTGGTCCTTGCTTTGAGGTAAATGGGCTGGGAGATTCCTTGTGCAGGCTTTTGGTTTGCCTGGGCAAGGCTGCATTGTGACCATTGAAGAGACTTTGCCTCTCTCCAAGTGTAGGAACAGCCCCTAGATTCTCAGGAACAGAGTTTGACCCCGCACACAGAGGCAGCCATGAGGGTTTGGGCGGGGGTGGGGGGAGGGGGTGGGGAAGGTTTTGATGCAAACAAGCGTATTTACTAACTAGCAGAGTAACAAGGAAGGACGCTTTTGAAGACCGACCCAAACAGGACGGATATTGTAGCTTGTATCTGCCCCTAAATGGGGATAGGCATGAGTAGGTGTCGACCGCTTCTCATTCAATTTCACACTCAACCTCCTCCTACCTTGAAATACTGGAAGCCAATATTTCTCCTCTTGAATCTGAAGTACGAGTACCCGACAAAAGCCACGATTCCAATAACCAGGATGATGGCAAAGAATATTCCTGTTCCAAATCCAGTGTGGAGAGAAGCCTGATCATAGAGAGAGGAGTGAGTGATGGAGCCGGGCACTGAGCATCATTCCAAAGCGGGAGTCCATAATTTAAAATGCTGTGCACCGAAAGGATGCCAACGGCAGCGTAGGTGGCAGGGATGCTGCCGCTAGTTTAATTCTTCTTGATCGGCTTTTGTGCTTGACAGTTCCCAGGTCTCAGACCCTCATAAACACGAGTTAAAACAAACCCTCATTTTATAACCGAATCCAAGCTGCTCATTGATCAGTCAGCGATCCCTTTCCCCAGAGAAGGTTCCTTCTTATGAAAAAAACACGGTTAGACGATTGCACTGTAAAGGTGGGAAATGTAGCCCTTTGCAATAGAATCTTGTGTGCAGGTAAGCGTATGGGAGTGGAATGATAAATCCTGGTCTACACGCACACTGTTTGTTAGCTGGGGGTGTGAGCTATTAACAAAATACTTACATGAGTATATCCCCAAATGCGGATGCAGTTATATAGTAACAAGATGCCTTAGATTGGAATAGTTTATTCCCCTTTCTGTACAGGGACAGGCTACGCTGCGGTAAATGCTTATAGCAGTATAATTGCACCGACACTGGATGGGATTGTTCCACTATAACTGGACTGAGAAGGTCAAACTGGTACAACTATACCTAAACTGTAGCTAAAGCAGTTCAACTTATGTGTAGACAAGCTCTTAGGGTGATCTTGCTCAGAATATGACAAAGTGCCAAGCTTGCACACGCTGAAAGGAGAATAAGTGTGTTCGTGAGCCTTGCTATCTTGGTATGATTTGTGGTGATAATCTGCTAATCAAAACTGTGCAGGAATTGGAATTTCCATCCCACAGAAAACATCACAGAATTATTTTTGTGCCGAGTCGCAATGAAAAATCAGAAATGCAAAATTTTCCCTAGGACAGAAACTTTCAAAGAACTCCATTCTGGAAGAACTGAAATGGATTTTTTCCAAAAATTTCTGATGTGGTAAACCAGCTTCCCAGCTAGCCTCAGAGGAGCCAGAGATCTGGGGGAGCTGAAGCTTCCATAGGAAGTTTTGATGGAATTCGCAGATTCCCACAGAATTACTTGATTCAGTCAAATCAGCATTTTCCAGCAGGTAATTGTTCCATCAGAAAAAAATTTGACCAATTCTACCAGTAACTTTGTCCTTGAGTTTTTTAAATTCAATTTATGCTAAAGTAAATTCTTCACCTGGAAATAAAACCAGAATGCAACTGACAGGCTACTTTATAAGGAATTATAGGAAGATTTTATGGACAAGTTATTCACAACTGACAGCAATGATCTCAAAAGATAGAACAACAAATACTTACAGGTGGTGGAGGAGGAGCTTTTAAAGGCTCTGAAATGACATGGATTACTCCATTGGAAGCAATGATATTCCATTCAAGAATAGATTTTCCATCCACGTATCTGGTCTCATTCTAAACAAGAAAAAGAACAATGGGAACTGAGTTTTGACCTTCCTGATTTCAGAAGCAAAGTAAAATTTAGATTTATTTCCCTTATGTCTTTCACTGGTTAGGAAAGGGAGACTCTTCTTGTGTAATTATACATCTGCCTAAAGAAAATACCCTGCCTGGTTATTGGACATCAGCCCACAATTGCTCAAACCCTCTGAGGGCTCCTCTCTGCCAGAGCTAACCAACAGGAGCGGGAATCTAGGAATGGACAATGCTAGGAAATTAATTTCACTTCATCTGTGTCATGTTTTTAGTGATTTATGAAACACTACAATCCTAACTCAATAGCAAAGTACAAGACAGGGAGCAATAGGACAACCCTCTCCTCATGGCCTTGCCACTGAATCTCAACCCTGGCCAGGAGCATTGTCATCTCCATGCCCATCCATTTTTGGCTTTCTGCTGAGGTTATCATTAAATACTATTTGTTCTGGTGGCATTGCAAGGTGGACACCTGTCAACCAGTCTGAGCCCACCAACTCATTTCATATAGGCCACGTAACAGGTCTTGGATGGCAGCATTTGGTCACTGCTTCCCTGGGCTCTAGTTGAATGGGCACTCTGGAGATGAAAAGGGAGCAGTAATGGGCTATGGATCAACCAGTCCTACAGTCACTCCAGACTGTTCTAAATGCAATTGACAAACTCATCTTGAACTCTTGCTGCCTATGGAACCATCCCGAGCCTCTGTCTGGTCCCTTTTTATTCTGCTTCTATGGCAAACAGGAGCTGGATCTCATCATCTGATGATTCTTCCACTGTTGAGGAATCTTTTGCTGATGTAGATTTAGCATATCCAGCTTCCTACACTATGGAGCTGTGCCAGGGGAGTTTCTGAGGGCGGGGGATGTGACAATCTCTGGCTGGTGAGGCAGGGCTGCTCTCAATGATGCCAGTGGCAAACCGGTCTCTGCTTGGCTCCAGGATCAGGAAGCTGCAAACAGCTTCTTTTACCCCAGAGCTGTGCTCACTGTATGTGGGGCATGGCTGAGGCGACAGTCATCTTACCTGGTTTTTTTCTAGTCCCTCTAAAACCACGTGCAGTGTTGAACCCTGTCTAAAGCATTATATTTTAAATAAGAATTAACGCAAATGATCTTGCTCGTGAGTGAGTCATAACATGTTTGCTGTGCCAACAGTGAGCAAAGCAGCCTTTGCTACATAGACAGAACAGAATCACATGGGCTTTTGTCTGCACTGCACAAGAGATGGTAGAAGTCACTCAGAATCATGCTGGGTTGTAGTCTCTCCTGGCAGCATGAACGTTCTTATGAAAAGGATTTCGGGGCTCAGCCACTTCATGTGGAATGTCAGTTTCTAGGGCCCGATAGGGTGCGTGGATGCAGGTGTTTGCTTGACCTCTAAATAACACCCCTGTTCAGATGTCATCCTCCAGTGTGAATGTGTGGATCTGTGCCAGGGCCTCAGGGATTAGATTAAAGCATTTTCAGTTTTGCAAGCACAAATGTAATGCTTCCACCAGAAGGGAGAAGTGAAAGAGGCACTATAAAAGGAAAACTATTACTGTTACTGCCTAGGTCAGGGGTGGCCAACCTGAGCCTGAGAAGGAGCCAGCATTTACCAATGTACATTGCCAAAGAGCCTCAGTAATACGTCAGCAGCCTCCCATCAGTTCCCCGCTCCCAGCGCCTCCCGTCCACCAGCAGCCCTGCAGATCAGCATCTCCCACTCCCTCCCTGCACCTCCCGATCAGCTGTTTTGTGGCGTGCAGGAGGGAGAGCATGGCAGGCTCAGGGGAAGGGGTGGAGTGGGGGCAGGGCCAGGGGTTGAGCAGTGAGCACCCCCCGGCACATTGGAAAGTTGGTGTTTGTAGCTCCAGCCCCGGAGTCGGTGCCTACACAAGGAGCCACATATTAACTTCTGAAGAGCCGCATGTGGCCCCGGAGCCACAGGTTAGCCACCCCTGGCCTAGGTTATAATCTCGATCTTCCCTACTTTTACTAGCCTGTCAGTGCTCATTTTAAAAGCCTTGAAAGTGCGTTGTGGGGCTGTTTCATCGTGCTAGAGAGAGGCAAGTGCTTAGCTGAATGGAGGGTGCACACTTGTAAGTCAGCTGTCTCGTTTCCCTTCCATTCTTACACGCCTTTGGGCACTGCTGTAACTAGGAAAATCAAAGATGGTTTAACTCAGCCAGTTGAAGATTGGCATGCAGCCCACTGTTGGCTTATAACTGTACAAACATGTGACCTGTGTTTAAAGGGCTCGACATCTTTGTAGGGATACAGTTGTGCGTGCTGGAGTATACTTGTTGACAGGAGTGTACTCTGGTGTTGGGAGCATGCTCATTCACGTGCATGCTGAGAAGCCTCAAGTGCTGTTTATGCAAATCCAGGGGACTAGAAAATAAATTGGATGTTCTCTGGGTGGATTTTAAACAGCGTGGTGGAGGGTTGTGTATTCCAATCATCTGGAGACCAAAATCGACTGGACACATGGGCTGGTACAACACACCTCCCCATCCCCCACTGACTGAGGTTCAAGGAGGGCAAACCCCCTCAATAGATCTCTGGTTATTTTCTAACTCAAGTGTCAGATAAGGGGAAAGTGGCAGTGAAAAGATTATTTTAAGGAGCTATACATCTTAGTACCGTGCTGAGACAATGGTTCGGCTGTTCTAATATATTCTAACTGGGTAGTAGAATGGAACAGAGGGTGGAATTTCATTTTTAAATTCCTTATCTGATATGCTGTAATTGTCACCCCTGAATGTTTTTCTGGATACAGGGGAGAGTTCTAGAGCAATCTTCTTTCTATCTCTTCTCTGCTCTCATTTATTCCCATGCGTCACCTTCCTCAGAAGTCCACACTTCTGTTCTAGCCAAGGAACACTAGCCACACGTTCTTTGGAAGCTTGTCTGCAACAGTCCTGCTTGCTGACAAGCTCTTTAGGGTAAGGACTCTCTTTTGCTATACATGTGTAACACCAACAGACTCTGGTCATCGGCAGGCGGGATCGAACCTGGGACCTCTGCAACTTAGTGCATGAGCCTCTACTGCATGAGCTAAAAGCCAACTGGCTGTTAGCTAAGGCTGTAGAGCAAACTCATTAATCTCTCTCTCTAAGTGGTCTTGGTGCCACTAGATGGGACAGAACGCCACACCCAGGAGGTATGTGGGTTACACATGCATCCAGAGTCTAGCCCAAGGGAGTAGCTACATAGAGGCTGCTGTCATTCAAAGTGTTCGAGCTGGGCAGAAGGTGAAAATTTTCACCATAAATGAAAAGTTATGTTTTTTCCAAAATGTAAGAATTTTCTGTTTTGACTTTTTCTGTTTTGTTTTTTTTTGAGGGGGTGGGGAGTGGGGGTGTCAGCTTTTTGAGGAAATGGCAGAAACTATTTTTAAAAAAATCAATTTTCTGTGAAAATGTTCATCTAAAAGGCCAGTTTTGGTCCATTTTTGTTTTTAATGAAAAATTTCGATCAGGAACTAAGAATGTTCCTTAGTAGTAAACTAAATGCCGCTCCCCCTCTCCCACCGAACTCCAGCTCTCCTACCACCCTGAGGTGCAAGTTAGGCCCAAGCCTACACTGTGCTGTTACATGCTTCTGGCCATATTGGCCAACCACCATCTTCCCCCACCCCACGTTTCAAGCTTTCTGTAACTCAACAGTACCCTGTAATGAAATGCTGAATAATGTGCACTAGAAATCATTGCAGTCTCCTGGCTTGCTGCTTCTCTCTCGGACAAGGCTACCCTGGATTGTGCGGTGCTTGCTAATAAACAAGGCAAAGGACAAGATGGTGGATAGGAGTGAGGACAGCAGACTTATTTTTAACACAGATACCTTCTTCTTTGTCGGGATTTGGTAATCCTGACCTATGCTGTATGTAATTAAGAGTCTTTTCTCTATCCTTGTTTGAAGAGTAGTCCCATTGGTCAAGTCTTCATAAAACAGTGTGCTGGAATTGGACAGATGATACTCAATGTCTCGTCCAGAAAGTGTCTAAAGAAGAGGGAAAATAGACATATTTACCAATCTAACTCACCCAGCTGATTTTACCACTAGATTAAATTCCCTGGCTGGCTCTTGAAATTCTCCATTTCTGCTACTTGCATTCCCTGACATAGTGGTCTTGAGCAAGAGGGGCTATAGTTCTTTTGGCCCGAGAGTGTTACACAAAACAAAACACGTTAGCTGGACAAAAGGCTTCCCCTTCTTGCTGGTCTTGCTGCACTATCACAGGCACAGAAGAGCCTTGAAGAATCAAACACCGCTACAACCCCACTTCTTTAAAAAATGTGTTTGTGGGAAACCTTTAAGAAATGTACAGGTTTCAAACTACCTAGTGCACCACTGGGGGATCGTGCAGGCCACAGGATGAACTTCTGGTCCCACTGTGGGATAACCCAGGCCTTAGAATGAACTCCTGACCACACTGAAGTCAATGACCAGGATTCCACCCGTAAAATTTAAAGCAACAGTTGATTGGAAAGGGATGAAGGACGTGATAAGGTAGAAGAATAACCTCCTCTGAATGGATGTGTAACAAATACCGGATACCAAAATTACACACAACTTTCTCTTAATAACTGTCCTTACAGATGCAGTTGCAGATAAGTGAGAGCTGACCTTGCCTTGAAGGACTTTCATATGTGGCAACAAAACCCATTGTACGGAAAATTCTTAAAAGTGGCTCAACATGTATTCATGATTGTCTGAGAAAAAAATAAGACAGACAAGTCTGCCTATCCGATTAGCGACCTAATAAAACCCTTCGGCCTGCTGTCTCTTCCTGAGATTTATTCATTCAAATTAAATTTTAACAGTTACTATTGGACTCCAGCATGCCTGCTCAGAATGAAAGAAAAGGTTAAATAGATACTCACCTCATTTTCTCTTAGCCCATTATTGTTTGGGGCAAAGAGAGTGGCCCGGGTTGACAAGTTTGTGAGGTATTTCAGGAACTCTTTGCCTTTTGTGGAGCTGTTAGAGTAAACCAGGACTTCCTAGGAAGAAACAAAATTCATTCTTAATTGAGGGCAATCTGGATTATGGTCCAGTTATTGTGACAAAAGCTGAATGAATATGTAAAAAAACACAACTTCATTGTTAACACTGAAACAACTTTGAACTGACAACCATTTTATCCTATTAAGGGAATACGTACACTGGAGCCAGGGTCGTAACTCCCAGCTCGGGGAGACATACCCACACTAGCGGTGACTGAGCTAGCATGCTAAAAATAGCAGTGTCGCTGCAGCCACCCAGGCAGCAGGACTGGTTAGCCACCCAAATACAATCCTGCCTGAAACACTAGGTGTATATGCAGGATGGTTAGCCCCTCCTGCCGCCCGTTCAGCTAAGGCTACACTGCTACCTTTCGCACGCTAGCTCGATCGGAGCTGGCGTGATATCTCTGCCTCAGCTGGAAATTAGCTCGGTGCAGACATACCCTTAGAGAGAAATTTTTATTAAGACGACAATTTTAACCCTTGATGCTGCAAATTCTTATGCACAGACTTAACTTGAAAGCACGAGTAGACCCATTGTCATCAGTGAGCCTATTCATATGAGCAAAGTTACATACCTACCTTGGTGTTTGCAGGATCAGGGCTTTAAATGTCAATCTTTTGCCTCTAGCAGTGTGGTAAAATTCAAATAAAATATTCTACCCGTTGTGGCATTTAAAATTAAATCAACCCCCCTATTAACATATTAGTTCAATCTACATTTTTCAACACCACAAATTTTCAATTTATTTTTATAAAGTCTCCACCTGATTTAAACCAGTGATTTTTTTAAATCATGATTTCAAAGGCTCCACCCTGCTTTAGTGCTGCATTTTATAATGCTCGTATTTACTTTCTCATATAGTAAGAGAAGAGTGAGATTACCCAGCCAGGTATGCTATTCAATGTGAGTGGAATGAGCTAATAAAGCAAACATTTACATGTAAACAAATGTGTGGGGTATTTGCTATGCTATGCAACTTGGTTTAGTTTGTTTGTATCTCAAAACAGTGTACTTCTTCTTTAGTCCATACCGACAAGAAGTTTGTAAACATGGGGAAAGACATCAGGACCTGTAGCAGGTTCCCGCTACATGTGAAGCCATTACCCACATAGCCAGTCTTACACGTGCAGTTCACATCTGTAAAATACAAATACATGTCTTTTAGATAACAAGCCAAGAATGAATGGTCTATTCCAGGACACTGGTTGCTACTGCTCTGTGGAAGAAAAATAATTTTCCAGTCCAAAGAAATTTTTCCTAGCTTAGAAAGAGAACCTGTTGCCAATACTATGGGCTGGGCACTTTAAACTTAGTGACATTACTGGAACTAATTATAGTGTCCTTTTGACCAAACTACCATAGATGTAGGCAGTAGGTACTCCGTTACCTTTGACTCTGTAGCAGAAGACATCCCAGGTTTCACTCAGGTTGACTCTAGGTCCATAGTCAACTATTCCAACAAATCCTGATCCACAGTTTGGGGAAGAGAAGGCAGTTGGATAACCAACTCTTTCATTATCTAACCAGCCAGCAGCACAGAAGTGGTATTGTGCCTGTAACCAACACATTAATAATATTGTAAAGCACAGAGGAAACAGAACTGTAATTACTCTAACACACTGTGAGTGAAACTCCTCCTCCCACCAAGGGCCAACATAATGCCTACATGCCACAGAAGTCCTACTTAAATCCTATTTTGAGGGCTTAAGCTGTGCATTGGCTTTGTGTGGGCTCTCTGCACAAGGTGAATTTCAACTCAGCACAATCCTGCACTGACCACCTCACCTGTGCGTGGAGTCCCAGGTGCAGGGGGTTTGTCTATGCAGAACTCAATGCAGGAGCAGGGCCAAAAAGAGTGCTTAGCAGCGGTTGGGTGGCTTTTGTGTGCAAAATAGGAATAAAAATGACCTCTTTTTATCAACACAGAAGAAGCGTTGACAAGTTCAATTAAATGTGAATAATAAATATTCAGGTTTCAGAGTAGCAGCCATGTTAGTCTGTATTCGCAAAAAAAAAGGAGTACTTATGGCACCGTAGAGACTAACAAATTTATTTGAGCATAAGCTTTCGTGAGCTACAGCTCATTTCATCGAATGCATCCAATGAAGTGAGCTGTAGCTCACAAAAGCTTATGCTCAAATAAATCTGTTAGTCTCTAAGGTGCCAAAAGTACTCCTTTTCTTTTTTTAATAAATATTCAGTAAACTCAAAGCCAATGTTACTGCTGGCTTTGCTGTCACAGAGAAATATTTACACTAAAGAGGAGTCTGAACTGAATTGTTCAGATCCAGAGCTGAATGTGCCCAAAGTCCAGAGGGCTCTGGATCCTTGGGGTTGGTTCAGGCTGCTCTACGTGCCCAAGAAGAAAATTTACACACTTGTACACACTCCAGTCTTTCATCTTACCAGTATCTCTTGTCTCTTTAAATAATGGGTCTCTTTAAATAATTTCCACTGATGATGACTGAAATTTACAGACAGGCAAAGTAAGAAAAATGCTGCTTGAGAACTTAGTCAAAACCCAGCGATTTAGACTTTTGAATTAGCCTTGTTACAAATGGACTAGTGAATGAATAGTAAAAACAGGTATGATTTGTTGATTTCAGGTTATTTACTTTGTATATTTTGACCTGTGATATTGGCAATTTGTGTTTTAATGGTTATAAAGCTTTAACTGTTTGGATCTCAACATCTACTGTCAATAAATAATTGTCTGACCACTCTGGCCCCCCCCCCCAATAATTTCCCAGAAGTGTGAATATTTAAATAGCTAAAAAAATGTTTAAAACCCATAATTTTGCACAACTGCCAAAATTTAAATTAATAAAAATCTAAAAAAGCTTACAAATAAACATTAATATTATCTGTTGAAATTAAAAAAATAATAATCAAATTCTACCAAGCCTACTCCTACAGCGAAGAAGTTGCACTCCTTAGGATATAAATGTATATCCTCGTAGCATTCAACTTCCAAATAGCTAAGTCTCACAGTTGTGTTTCAGCCTTGTGGAGCCACTAAATACAGTACACACACACTGACACACTGAGTCCATTGCCACTGAAGTTCAGCACTATGTCACCTTCTGAGCATATGACAGCTGATTATATGTAGCTATTGTTGCCCCTTCCCTGGCACAGGCCTCCTTTGCTTTTTCATAAGTCAGTTTGTACTGCCCTTGGGGAGAGCGCAAATGGAAGACTCCAACTGTAGCATCTGTAAGTAAACAATCAATAATTTAACTTTAGGGCTGTAGGTGGGTTAACTCTCTGGGCATAAAGTGCCCTGTTCTGTAATAGCTTGAGCAATCCTTGAGGAATTTTCATGAAATGGAGCTAGCATGTAACAAGCCACTTGTGGGGTAATATTTCCATTTGGAATCATTTTAATCGGTTGCTTTCAAAGGTCCCAACTCACAAAATATTAAAGCACATTCTTAAACTTTAAGCATGTGCGTAAGTCCCATTACTTCGCCAGGACTTAAGCGTGTGCTTAAGTGATTTGCTGAAGAGGGATTGATTGCTCAGTTGGGGCCTAAATGACTACATCTGTGCAGAACCCCTTTGACTTCAGTGAAACTTGACATGGACACAGGAGTCCACCTGGAGGGATCCAGTTGAAGGATCCTAGCCTGAGCTCTGCATACCACACTACTTCTGAGTCTATCTGGCATACTGACCCTGGAAGTGAAGATCGGCACAGTTGGCATCGGCATGGCACTGCCCGTTGTCTTGCAAACAACGGTCAACTGGAAGCTGCATCACAGTGCAGTCAAGCCCATCACCAACATAGTTATTTTTACATTCACATTTGCGTTTATCCTGGTAGGAGAGAGAATAAAAATGTCCAAACAGAATGTTTTAGAAACATAAAAATGACAGCCTAAAATAGCATTTTCTGAATGCATGGAAGTATCCCGTTTGCTGAGTCCCGCAACAGCACACTGTGCATTTGCTAACATGCCACTAGCAAAAAAGCTATGACTCAATAAACCACTTACACACATATTAGAATTCATCCTTATTGAACAAAACACTTATGTACATACTTTTATGTGCTTTGCTGAATTAAGGGTCAAAGCATTTATACCTAAACCGCTCAGAATATGCTTTGAAGAATTATAATAATAAATATACATGGTAGCCACTCAAAACAAAATTAAATAAATACATATGGAACCATGAAAAGAATTTAATAATACACTGATTGAAACAGGCTGAGAAGATAGATTTAGCTGTAGGAATATTTACATCTCCTCTAGGCATCTTATACATTCCAGCCTGCCAAGGCCCAAATGTGGGGAGGGGTGAGACACTCAGCATAAGGGTTATCAAAATATACATGCAGAATACTTGAACATGCTGTGGGATCCATTCCTTTAGTATAAATAACCTCAGTTTCATGATACTGCATTTCTAATATAAACAGTTTCCACCAGTAAGCTGAGTGGACACCAAAGTTATGTAGAAAGCAGGCTGGGACTGATGAGTCTCAAAGTCAGGGACATTTGGGAGGGGTGGTCTGGTCCAGCTCCCACTGAAGTCACTGGAAAGACTCCTGTTGACTTCATTAGGAGGTGGAGTGGGTGTCTAGTCAGGATTTCAAAGACAAAAAAGCCAGCCCCATCCCCCTCCCCCTCAACAACTTACAGGTCCTGTCATTGTACAAAGGGCATGCTCATGGCAACCACCATTGAGCCCATCAGCACAAGGATTGATAGGAAGGCAGGTGTGTCCATCTCCTGTGTATCCTTTCTGACAGCTACAAAGGACTTTCACACCAGTTTGGGTACATTTCGAATTCTGGTGACACCCACCATTGTTTTGTTTACAAAGATTCACAGCTACAAAGCAAAAAAAAAAAAAAAAAATAGGTAAGTTAGGGTATTTTTAAAGAGTGTCTTGCCTTCACAAGGAAATGCTGGCTCCAGTTATTTAAAAGCAACTGGAACATTTTTTGGCTGACGAGACTGTAAGCTTCTTTGGCTACTCTCTATTTTGTAGAGAGTCCTGCACAAAAGGGGCCCCAGTCCTCTTCAGGGGCTTGGGCACATCCCTTATCTAACATAGTAGGACTGGCCCAGACCTCCTCTCCTGCTTCAGCATGGGAATTTTTGAAAGGAAACCTCCATGAGGATTATAGATTCCTCTGCATTGTCCCAGAGGGCAGCAGGACAAGTCCCTCCTGATCTCAACCCCATCAAAAACCAGTCCCCAAGAGTGGCAGATTCTCCAGAAGCCAGGGCCACGCATGCTCTGTACCTCCCAGTGGCTCTGCTTGGCTCCTTGGTACCATGATGGAGCTACTCTAATAAGGACTCCACCCAGGCCACGTTGGCTCCTAATGAACCTGGGGGTGGATTATAGAAAGGTTACTACAACCTGGGGATGCACTAATTTTTCTGGCTAACTTCTGCTGGGATGGAAGGGGGACAGTGTGTATTTGCTGTGGTCCTGCAGCCTACCTACTCCTTCCACAATCCTGACTCCATACAACAGAGAGTGGGAAATGTGCCAAGCCCCCTTACCAGATGAAGGAACCCTCCACATAATGGGTCTGTGGAGGAGATGATGTGTCCCAGCAATAATGACTGACTAGCTCTCAAGTAATATTGTCAGAGAGTTTCCTTGCCTCAGGTAATCAAACAAAGATTGCTGAAAATGAATTATTGAGCTGGAAAACCACAAAGTCCTCCCATACCCAAATAGAGCTGGCTAGCTATCTTGTTGCCCTCACATATATATGTGAAGCCCCAGTGAAATCACCCTGTGTTGCACCTTCCAGGGCCAAACAGTACCATCTATTACAATGGTTGCAACCACGCATTGACCTCACACTCTGTATAAGAAAAATCTGTAACTACTCTTTATTTATTTCAGAGACTGATGAGTGATGTGTCTCAAAGTCAGGGACGTTTGGGACGGGTGGTCTGGTCCAGCTCCCACTGAAGTCACTGAAAGTCTTTAGATCGGAAGTTTTGGTTCAGGCCCCTCTTTGATAGTTAACATTTCACCCTGATTAGTCCTGTGTATTAAAGTGAATGGCTAGGTGAAAACAACGTTTGCCTTTAAGGTTCAGGGAGAGACAAGGTGGGGGAGTTAATATCTTTTACTGGACCAACGCGGGTTGGTCAAAGAGGCAAACTTTTGAGCTACACAGAGCTCTTCTTCAGGTCTGGGACAGAAGTACACGAATTCACCTGTACACGTGATTCCATCTCCTTCATAAAACGGCTTACACTGACACATGTTCTTTTCTTTGCAGACGGCATTACTAGAACAATTAGGTGAACACACAGGCGGCAGAGCTGTGAAGAACGTAAAATATCTGATGAAAATGACTTTTTATACTTTAAAAATGTGCTCTCATCTAGAGAATAAAGGAAAACTTGTATACAGTACATGTTTACTTAAAAACGTGTGAGACAATTCATATCACCACGGAATACAATGCCTTGCTCTTGTATAGCACTTTTTATCATAGATCTCAAAGCTCTTTATGCTGGCAGTAAGCATCATTATTCCCATTTTACAGATGGGCAAACAAGAGTGAAGTGATTTGTCCCAGAGCACATAGCAGGTCAGTGCAGGAACAGAATGCAAATCCTCATTTAAAGCTCTATCTACTGGGCCATGCTTTGATGCTAATCAGTTGTAAGTGAAATGATCTTCATTACTCTGAAGCACATTTACAGTAATAGCCTGATATTATAAAAGGGGATGTTGTTTGAATTGATATTAAATACAGTTTTCAAAACATATGTTCATCTACAATTATGGTATTTTGCAGGCATGTAGTGCTTACATTTTCAAAGCACTTTTTAAACAATAACTAATTAATCCTCCTACCATCCCTGGGAGGTAGACTTGGATGAAGTTTTTTGACCAAAACATTTTTTCAGTGAAAAATGCAAATTCTCTGACACTAAAACATTTTGTGAATTTCTGTCAATGTTACCAAATAGTTTCAGTTAAAAAAAGTCTACAAAAAGAAAAAAATCAAGACATTTCATTTTTGACATTTTCAAAATAAATACTTTGATTTTTTTATTTGAAATGACTTTTTGTTTCACAATTTCCTTTCATTTTATTAAATGAAATGAAATTGTTTAAAAAAACCTTGAATGCCTAAAATTTTAGTTTTGATTCAACCCAAAATGATTTTTTTCCCCAATTGTTCAGAATTGCCAGTAAATAGTATCCCTATTTTACAGACAAGGTCAAAGCCGCAGAGTGGGTAAGCAACTTGTTGAAGTCCATTATGACAGCTGGGATTAGAACTCTCTGGTCTCAGTTCTCCATCCTGTGGTTGATACACAAGACCAGCATTTCTCAACCTTTTTGATACCAGGGACCGGCTTGCTGCCTTCCTAAACTGTGTCTGGGAGAGCTCAGGGACTGGTGCCGGTCCACGGACTGGTCGTTGAGAAACAATGCACTGGACCATGCTGCCTGCTCACATAGGACAACAGAATAATCTGCTAAAAGGAGTCATGGATTCACCAACACCTGAGCAATCCCAGAGTAGACAAAGACGTCTGCATCTGACACAGACACCATTGCTGCTGTACAGCAGGGAGAGGAACTAGATTAGTGATACTCAGCAACTGGTACGTCAGGCTCTTTTTGACTGGTAGTAACATTAATGAAGAGTCTCTGTGCTGAGTCCCTGTGCACTGCTGCTGCCTGCCTCTCATTCAGTTGTCTTTGGTTCCAAACACAATAGGCTTGTGTAGACTGCAATGTAAACCCAGGATTAGTAGAACTCGAGTTAGCAGACCCTGGGCTTGTTAAACTAGTGCTTGAGTGTCTACACTTATTTGTAACCCTAGGTTAGGAATTGTTGAATCATGGGTCCCAAGCTGGGGCTCCAGCATCTACAGTGCATTATGTGGGCCTGAGTCAACCACCCATATCCCTGGCACCCCCCAAAATGTGGCTGCTCTAGCCCTTTTTTTGTGGTGCAGCATGGGAAAACTTGACTGTCCAGAGGACACAAAGAGTTAGAATCATAGAATATCAGGGTTGGAAGGGACCTCAGGAGGTCATCTAGTCCAACCCCCTGCTCAAAGCAGGACCGATCCCCAATTTTTGCGCCATACCCGTAAATGGCCCCCTCAAGGATTGAACTCGCAACCCTGGGTTTAGCAGGCCAAAGCTCAAACCACTGAGCTATCCCCCCCCAGTTGGCCCATGGGATATTTTTGGCAGACTCCCACAGCACTAGTCCAGTAGAGCTCCTCTACCCTTCAGAGCAATAGGGTTTGACTCACGGTCAGATCCTTCACCTCCATGTGGGCCTGGGACTCTGGGTCTAAGCCCTGGGTTAGTGCAATTTGTGTGTAGATGGAATTGATCCTGAGTCAAGAACACCTTTGATACTTTTTGCAGTCAGTCCTCAAGCAGGTTTACAGAGCTCCAACTTTAGAGGAATTGCAGAATTTTTTTGTGTGCCATGCAGATCATGGCATAGTGTAGCACAATATAGTTTTCTTTATAGCTTTCAATCCTCCTTGTACCAAAAGCAAAATACTCTCCTTCACCATTTATCCTGCACAAAGCAGGATTTCTGGTATTATTAACCCTGTCTTGCTATGTCCACCGCATTAAAACAACTGATTTGATTAAATTCGCTGGGAGCGCTGTAACCTATTGTTTTGCAACAGATTCTGATGAGAAGATACAGACCTAGTTTGGTTTCACAGAATCGACCAGTCCATCCAGTTTCACAGAAACATTGTCCTGATCCAGAGATTCCTTCATCACATTGTCCATGGGCCTTGCAGTTGCAGGCTGTAAAGGGAATGTAGAATCATAGAATATCAGGGTTGGAAGGGACCTCAGGAGGTCATCTAATCCAACCCCCTGCTCAAAGCTGGACCAATCCCCAATTTTTTCCCCAGATCCCTAAATGGCCCCCTCAAGGATTACATTCACAATGCTGGGTTTAGCAGGCCAATGCTCAAACCACTGAGCTATCCCTCCCCCCAAAGGGGGCACCTGGATTTGAACAGGAAGAACCTCTTGATCTGCAGTCAAATGCTCTACCCCTGAGCTATACCCCCACCTGCTTGAAGATTGATGTTGATCAATGTAGATTGATCATAGACAGAATAGTAATTAGGAAAGGAAAATTCTTCCCTAGAGCAACGTCAGAAAACCACACAGGCCCATGGCAGGAAGGGGTTAGTGGTCTGTCTTAGAGACATAGGTGGAAACCAGGCTTAGCATGCAACAACTGTCAGTTATGTCAAACTTGGAGGGAGGGCTCTCTAGCCAGAGGGAATAAAGAGAGTTAACAAACTTTAACAAGCATGTTGAGTTGCTCTGTCAGAGAGATCTCAGATAGAGGATTTAAGGGGCGGGGGCTGAGCAGCCTGAAAGAGGAACCCTCTGAGCAGTCAGACCTGGGAAGCAGGCTCAGACTGGCCTTCATGTTGTCTGATTGTTCATTTGATTGTTAAAAAGGTCAAAGCTGGGATTTGCAGTGTAGGTTGACTTTGTCTCCAAGCAAGTGTAAAAGTTACCTGCTCACACATATTCTTACCCTCAAAAATATCTCAGCTGTTTTTCATGACTGACTAAAAGTGTCTGAATGTGGATGATTTTTTTTTTATAGTAGGGGGATGTTCCTCTTCCCCCATGCCCTGAAACTTTAAGCACAAAGTATTTCTTCATTGAGTAGTAGAGCTTTCTTTGTGGATGTATCAAGCAATAGAGCTGGTCTCTCATGAAGAATCTTTATTATTGATAGTTCTTTATGTGTTTTGCTATTTAATGGAGTTTTGGTTCTGCTGACCCACCCCTTTGCTAGGAATGTTGTTTTTTGTATGTGGGAAAGTAATGGCATGGGATTTGGCTTACAAGCAGTTCTGATTCTATGGGTGAAATTCTGGGCTCATAGAAATCAGCGGCAAAACTTCCAGTGGAGCCAGGATTTCACACTTTGTCTTTTGATTTGTGAAGGGTTTAACCTAGTAAATTAATATTTGATTTATATAAACAAATGAGTTATGTATATTAAAAAAAAATATAGGGCCACAAGACCTTTTTGGCTTTTCGTTTAGTAAACATAAGAGTTTGAGGTTCAGATTGATAGTTTATATAGTGCCATAAACATACAAATTCCCATACAACAGATGTCAAATGGATAAACTTTGGGTAAGCATTGGAACTTTTGCATGCATAACCTAACCTTATGGGTTAGTGCTAGTTACTACAAAACTGTGTTGGATTGAAAACAGTAATTTACGGTGAAAGAGTTAATAGCCCGTCTCTTCTGCTATCTTTAGTCTTTCAACTAAAGCCTTTATGCTGAGAATAATGTTTTTAATCTAGGATGAAATTTACCCCTGTGAGGATGCACAAGGCCAACGCACCTAGGATGTCCCACTTAAGCCCACAATTGAGGGATTATGTAGGAACTTCCATGGAGCATAGGCCTTCTGCTGGCCCTCTCCACAAATTAATTTCCCCTCCTGTGTTACTCTCTTTTTCATATGCTAAGTATAAAGTGTTGCCTTTAATAGCCATGAAACATCCTTCTGATTTCTTGTGTTTTATCAGTGTTTCCATTCTATTGTCTTGTCTGTTGCTGGGGTTGGGAGACAGCTATATTTTGATTAAACAGGACTGTAGATCAAGCAAGAAGTGAAGCCTCAACTTGCTTCATGTTACTGCAAAATGGAACTGTATAATTGATAGGAGGAGTGGGTGAAATTCACCCCAGTGTAGAAGGCCAACACAAGCCTATGTACCACTAAAGTCCCATGTAAACCCTACTCTGAGGTCTTGTGTTGGCTCTCTGCATGGTAGTGATCTTCAACCACTGTGCGGGCTATGGCAGCCACGTGTCAATTTTGAAATGGAAGAGCAAAGAATATACATTAAAATATTTTTTCTGCTTCAAAAATAAATATAGAAAAATAGTATATTTTAATCAGATATTAATTCAGAAATAAGGCTGAAACATACATGTACAATCAGAGCCATATCTTCCCGGCAAACACAGCTCACATGAAGTCCCATTGAAGCCACTGTTGCATTTACACTCTCCGGTTCCTGAGTATCCGTCGTTACATAAACCATGATTATTACACGGGGTCTCTGGCCCTCCTGGGCAGGCTAGGAAGGATAAAATGCAGTGAGTCAGTTCTGTTCAGCTCTGCCTTGTGTTTACAAGTTTGTTTTCTAAGAAAACTAGTTTTAGAAAATCTTTGAGCACAAAAATGTTAGTTCATAAAATGTGTTCCTAAATCCTTTAGGTGCTTTTGAAAATCCCCCCATACACACTTAGTGGACCACAGTGGATTCATACAACCTCATTTACTTGAAGGATGTAACCTGGAGCCCACTCATTTAGACTCTTGGCCCCCAGGACTGCAATCTGATCCACGTGGATGAACCCCTGAGCCCATACAGAGCTCTGGTGAAGTCAAAGCCAACAACTGCTTGGATTAAAACACATGACATTTGGCAAGCATGTTGGTGTAGCTGAGTGAAGGTTGGGAAGTTAGTTAGATGATACAGAACCAGCCTTGGTAGTGATTCCCCACGGCTGTGGTTTTCAAAGTCAATACTTGTTAAAACTAACAGGGCCCCACAGCCCCATTAATGCTTAATGCTCTTTGAACTCATATCAGATACACGTAGGCTCATGTACTAGCTGTGAATTCTAGCACATGTGTTTAATGCATTTTGATGTCATTCCCCAGAATGGCACATGATATGGTCCTCACATCTTTTGTATTTTTTCAAATGGCTGAAATATGTCTCCATGCAAGGTCACAACAAAGCAATATTTACTCTTTATAACATTAATTTTACTCTTCTTTATCAACATGGAGTTTACAAATTGCTAACATAAAAAAGAACCTTTTTGAGCATATTTAAGTTATTATTTGGAGTGGAAAATAATAATGTTACTTATGCATGAATGAACTCTCACTGCAGTATTACCCTGTTTTACAAAGAGGGAACATAGACAGAGAGAGGTTATCCCTGGTCATAGAGCAAATCTCTGACAGAGCTGAGATTACATCTCAGCAGCTCCTGTTTCTTAGTCAGCACACTAGTATACTCAGTACACTAGACTATGAAGCCTGTCATGACTCATGCATAGTCATGATTGCAGGACTTTATTCAATATTCCTTTTAAACAATTAAATATAATTATAGAATCGCAGGACTGGAAGGGACCTCCTCGAGAGGTCATCTAGTCCAGTCCCCTGCACGCATGGCAGGACTAAGTATTATCTAGCCCATCCCTGACAGGTGTTTGTCTAACCTGCTCTTAAAAATCTCAAATCATGAATTGCTTTGTCACCTTGTGGTGTCAGGCAGCTATTCCCAGAGAGATCTCAAAAGTTAATCAGAGCAATCCTACCTTGGCAGTCTCGCCCATAGTAGCTTTGACAGCACTTTGCAATCCAGACGACCATCGAACAATCCTGGCGACAGCCATCTAGGCTCCTGCCATAGAATTGGTATGTACACTTCTGAATCCCTCCCTAAACATTACACAGGGGGATAAAAACACAGGTGATTGAATGTTCTGTGTATTTATTTTTAACTCAGTGTGTTTTTTTAATGCAGAGCTGATCAAATTGACAGCCCTGGAGATCAAAGTGATCCACCTACAGAAAAAGCAAAGCATGGGCAGTAGTGGTGCAAGCTTCCCTCACTATGCTTCAGCCCTGATGTGATGAGGCTAACTCTGAGGAAAGAGGTAGTTCAGGCTTCCTGCCCATTTAATCTATGGCCTTTCTCCTAGGACAGCCAACAGGTAGCAATAAAGGGGGAGGACACATCAGAAGAGAGCTGGCACCGCCTCATTCATTTCACATGAGCCATCAGATGGTGGTAACTTTTGGTCACTACTGCCTTAGACTGGATTTGAACCAGTCATCTAGAAGAGAAGGGCCCCATGGTCCAGAACCTCAGCTGGTGTATGCTGGCCCAGCTCCAATGAAATCAATTGCATTAGGGCTATTTACACCAACTGAGGATCTGGCCTGTAATGTTCAGACTAGGATAAATATTCAAGCCAGTTTTCTGGAGCTCTCATTGAAGATTCGGTAGATAGAAACAGGCAAACTTGAGAACAAAGAGTATGCCAGTCTAAACTTTCTTTTTAATTATTAAAATGTCTGTAGATAAATTTAGTGCTGGTAAATATTTAAGGTTCCTACAGTAGCTAATGCCAGACAAAATGCTGACCATGCACTTTGACCCTGCCACTCTCCTCTAGCTTGTAGGTCCACTCTGCTCACTATAACACAACCTGCCACATGAACAGAAGCACCAAGTGAATTTTTGGTGTGCAGTATGTGCGAGGGTGAGACCACCAAACTCTCTGTCACTTCTGACCTAATAGGATTTGATCAGAATTCTTAATGGGGAAAGGCTGATGTGACAGGGCCTAATCCAGAACCCACAGAAGCCAATGGAAGCACTCACTGTGTATCAGATCTGTAACCCACTACTGACTCCAGGAGGACTGGGATTTTATTGTTCCATTTAAACAAGTGATTTCATTGCTCACAGCTCTACTGTTCTTTGAAAGTGTGTGTTATTTTTAGTTTATTATTGTGCAGTGCATGGAAGCCTGTCGATTAGACTGCCTTAAAAAGCTACTATTACCTTTGGTTTAGTCGCTGTAGGGCATTTAGGGTTATTGTAACAGCCAACACAATCTCCCTGTTGTAGAAAGGGAAAAACATATTTAAAAATAAGAACAACAAAAAGCTGTTTGAAAGCACCAGAAAAGTGTCTACTTTTACATAGGCAGTTAAAATTAATGACCAGAGAAGACTACTTTTAAAAACATCCAATTTCATTACTTGTATAAGTTATAGGAGCTTTCCAAAAGAGATAACAGAGGGGAAAAAGTAACGGAAAATGACAACAAAACAGGTACATTAAGTCAATTTAACGAAATGAAAGAGAAATGAAATTTCACAGTAGAATAGTTCTGGAAGTGCAAATTTGCTATTAAGCTAAATAGGTAAGAGGGGGAGATGTATTTATCTATTTGTACATAGGCCTACACTGGCAAAAGTGACGATGGATTTGGGGTGTCTCCGATTTGGATGTCCAATTTGAGATGCTTTAAGACACCTGATTTCATAAAGTGCTGGGGACCCACCCTAAGCAAGCCCCTTTAAGGTGACTCAAGCTGAGGACTCAAAACCACTAGTGGTTTTTTGGCCATATTGTATTTCTCTTTAGAAACTGATATGGCCCTCATCAACATAGTAAATGAGCACCTTGTGAGTATGAGAGTTTCTAGATATAGATATTTATACAAAGAGCAGAAGCATCCACAGACATACCAGTTAAGCTAAAAATAAGCACTAACAATCCTCCTGCTTATAGGGATCACCATCTAGGGTCAGGAAAAAAATCCCCTTTGTGTTATGATAATACACATGTAGATGTATTATAATAGACTTTTACATGTTTCTGCAAAGGCAGACAGCATTAGCCAGTAATAGCATCATCCTCTTAGAGGTGGTAACTTTATTTGGCTCTCTCAACATGCATTATTCAAAAGGCTTCAAAGAGAATTAATTTTTGCACTCTGTTCATAGTCATATTTGTCCATAAAGGGTTTGTCTAGACTAGGAGAAGTGGCTGAAATTAGGTCAGGGTTAGCTAACATGTTTTAGCTAATCCCAGCCTAACGTTGCCCTTTTCCTTACCGTAGTTGCAGGTGGACCTTAGTGTATCTTTTAGGCACCATACCTCACCTTTCTGAAGAAGTGGGTTTTTTACCCACGAAAGCTTATGCCAAATAAATCTGTTAGTCTTTAAGGTGCCACTGGACTCCTTGTTGTTTTTGTGGATACAGATTAACACGGCTGCCCCATGATACTTTATTTTAGTTAGTCAAGATAACTAGGCTTCCCACCAGAGAAACCCAAAGTAGCATTTAAACAGTTTCAGACCTGCAGCCAAATCCTGACTGCATTGGAATCAATGGGAGGTTTGCCATTGACTTCAGTGCGGCCAGGATTTGGCCTACATTTCACATTTCCCCAAGGGTCACAGAACTGAACTGAAGGACTGACTGACCGAGAAATCTGCAGTGATAAAATTGTCACATCGCCCGCCAAGGGTGGGGTCCATTAACATGCAGTCAATCCCGTAAGCGATGCCACCATCAAACTCCAGGTACCGCTGCACTATCCTACACCTCCTGTCATTCAGAAAGAGGTCACCCTGAGAGAGAGGCAAGAAGACAATCGCACAAAATAAGGAGTCTGCTTCACTGGATGCTTGGTTCAGTCCATGTGCAGTTCCTGTTCAGGAATTAGTAAGAATATAAATCTTCCTTTGAAGTCAGTTCTCTCTCTTACAAAGTAAAATTGCATATAATTTCCAGATGGGATAACAGCATTTCCCACTGGGCTTACGCATGCAAACCCCTGTCTCTAAGGTGGGGGTGACCCAGTTTGCCATGCCCCCCATGGTGCCAGAGGGAATGGTAGGCAGATGCCATCACCCATGAATCCCCTCCCCCACAAGAGTATGCAGAGTGCTCCTTCATAACAGTCACGGTGTCTCCTTATTCAGTGTATATACACATAAGGCCAAATGTTCAGAAACACCTACCTGCAAAGTCAGTGCACCTGAGTGCTAACAGGTGCTCACACACACAAACCATGCAGTTTGCACAACAGATTTTGTACAGGTTTGTATCTAGGCCAGTGGTTCTCAGACTTGTTCTGCTGCTTGTTCAGGGAAAGCCCCTGGTGGGCCGGGCCGGTTTGTTTACCTGCCGTGTCCGCAGGTTCGGCTGATCGTGGCTCCCAGTGGCCGCGGTTCGCCGCTCCCAGTGGCCGCAGTTCGCCGCTCCCAGTGGCCGCAGTTCGCCGCTCCCAGTGGCCGCAGTTCGCCGCTCGAGGCCAAGGGGAGCTGCTGGAAGAAGTGGCCAGTACATCCCTTGGCCCACACCACTTCCCGCAGTCCCCATTGGCCTGGAGCGGCGAACCGTGTCCACTGGGAGCTGCGATTAGCCAAACCTGCAGATGCGGCAGGTAAACAAACCGTCCCATCCTGCCAAGGGCTTTCCCTGCACAAGCGGTGGAACTAGTTTGGGAACCACTGATCTAGGCAATAATAATTTGCAAGTCCTTAGTGCTAAAATGTAGCCCATACTGTACATCGTACACTTAGGGCTCTTCTCCCAGAGTCAACTTCACTTTGTGTGAGCTCATTTTATATTTTGATGTGTTACCTGCTAAGGCCTACATCCTCAAAGGTATTTAGGCACCTAACTCCCATTGAATTCAGCTACATTTGAGGATCTGGGCCTGAGGCATGGTGGTATTTCTCTTTTGAGGTATGTGCCAGCCAGTTATTTAGAGAGACTACTCCCTTATGATAAAGAAAATTATTCTTCAATAAGTCACTGTACCTGTAAGGCAAATCACAAACCTGTGGATCTGTTTTCTAAGCCTCTGCTCTTGCACGGGGATATGCTAATGTGGACCACTATGCATATGTGGAGCACCATTAATTCCAGGGTTGTTAATACCTTAGGGAGGCTCTGCATAGGCATAGAGGGATTTGCACTATTGGTTCCCAATGTAGTATCAAGGCCTATGTTATTAAATAGTACATTCCATGAGGATTCCCAGTGTGCTCGTATGTTAACCACTTACAAAAGAGTTGTTGTTATCCCCACATTTTACACTGAGATCAGAACCTTGAAGGGTCTTCAGAGAATTGGAGCTGGGGAGCTCACAGGCTAAAATCTGTGAAAGAAATACACAGAGTGGGAAGATTTGTGTTGGAGAACAGTTTTAGCAATGCTTCTTCTAAACAAATCAGGAATTGTTTGAAAGCACCTTAGCATCTCTGATGACATGGAATCTCAGATATTGCACCAGTTTGTCCTTGTTAGATTTTTTAAACAGGAAATCCTGCTGTTCCTTAGGCAGAGCTCTGAGAGCTTCATCAGTAGGCCAGAACAAGGTGACTGGTTTATGAAGAGGATCATTGATTACACTCATCAAACCGGCATTCTGCAACATAGAAAAAATGAGTGATTTTTTTTCTTACTGTAAAATTACACCCACTGTACAGGATAAACTCTGAGAAACATGTACTGTAGCTAGGAGTGAATTGGCCCAGCAGCGAGGATGCTGAATGGATCATAGCCTTCCTAGTAAATGGCCTGTATTTTTGCCTTCCTGGGCACAAAGCAAAGATTTTAAAAAGTGGGTGTCTACATTTAGGTTTCTAAGTCTATTCTGAAGCTGATTTTCAAAAGTGCTGACCACCCAGCAACTCTTATTAGGGATCAGGCCACTTATTTACGTGCCTATCTCTGAGCTTAGGAGCCCATTTTTCCAAATCCGGGCCAAAAAGTTTTAGCACACAAGATGGATTAAAGAGCAGGGAGGGGATGGATCTTAGGGACCCATGAGTGCTCAGACCTGTCTGCCATTCTCCCATGTGGAAGGCGAGAGAACTGATTGCAGGGGCTCCTCCATAGCTTGTGGGGAGGGAGCCTATGCCCCATTCCACACTGTACACAGGCCCATCACTCAGGCTGTGTGCCAATTTCACAAAACTGTGCCAAATGGTCATTGCCTCCTGGATTCTCTTACCTCTAGCAAGTTGCTGAACATGATGTATCCTTGTTTGGCTGCAACCATTTTAAGGCTTTCCTAGAAAGATAAGAATATTAAATGTGCTTACTTGTCTTGTCTGGGAAATAAATTGGATATAGATTTAGTAAGAAGGTATTTGGCATGTTTGATCTTGTACATATTGTACCTCTACTTATTTACCACTAGCATATGACCAGTAACGTCGTCGATTAATTTGACCTTACTGTGAAATCAAAGCCACCTTAAAGGTCTTTACAAAGCAGAACATCTTTAATATAAATTTAATGTAGGAATGATTCTAAAGAATTTTAAATATACAACACTGTAAAACTATGCTAATCATTCAGTATAGGGGCTTTATAATGCCAATGCTTTGGTTGTAACTACTATGCCAAATGGTAATTGGCAAGAAACATTCCAGATTAGACTGTGGCAGAATGCTACAGGAATGAGGTACGTACCCGCTCAGTCCCCGATTGCCCCTTAGGGAATTCCTGCATGTGTTGTGGAAGTAGGATTTTATCTATGAGGTGTATCACACCATTTGTGCTGACAGTATCGCTGAATATAATCTTAGCCTTGGTATTCAGGTACACAGAATTCTGAAAAGGTAAACAAAAAAAGAGTTCTCTACGGAAATGTGCAGGAGGGAAATGCTGAGATGAAAACTCTTTACTGTGAGAGGCCAACTCACTGCTTGCAATAGACTTGCAACAAATAGGGCTCCAGTTTTAGTAATTTAGGGCTTGATCCTGCAACCCTCAGTCACACAAGTAGTCCTACGAAAATCAATGGTGCTACTCATGTGAGTAAAAATTACTCACATGAGCAAGGACTGCAAGACTGCACCCTTAGTGGGGCAAATAGAGAGGGTGGCAGTTGTGAAAGCAATCAGCAACAGACAATTCTTATTTTAAATACTATTTATTATTTTTAGGAGGAAAAGGAACATTCTGATTTTAAAAATGACAAATGAAAATGGTCAGTTTATTATTCTAACAATTTTACCTTGGCTATCTTGTTACCTGTGAGAAAGTGACCTGGATGGGGTCCCCCTGGAGTGAGGTGACATTAGTAATTGTTGTCAGGTCATTATAGAGAAGTCCGGCACAGCCCACCATATGGTACCTAAGGATCTGGGGCATCACTCCATTGACAATCCAGTCTTTAATCTAGGGCAGGAATTGGAGGAGTTCAAAGGCAAGGACAGAATAACATACAAATCCAAAAGCTCCCAGCTGACTCACCCAAAGTTCATTGCCTTTTTCTTACTTACTTTTGGTTCACTGTTAAATGCTTCTGTATTGGGTGCAAACACAGTGAAAGGACCAGAACCTGCAATATCTTTGAGAGCAAGGGCCTGGAAAGTTTAAAAGAACGAAGCAAAGATCATTCATTAATGCACATAGTTTCATACACTGGGCAGAATTAGACTGGATCCCAAACAGGGAACCAGACCCCTTACTGTAGGCAAGGCCTCTAGACTGACCTCTGTGGCTGCCCACAGCTCTGTTCCTTGCTGCCATCTGCCTCACATTGCATTCCCTTCTCCCATCCCACCACAAGTAATGTAAGAGTGAGGGAAACACTCTGTTGCTATGGGGAAGATGCCCTCCAAACTCCTTCGGTCTTACAGGATTTAAAGAGGTCTCTCTGCAAAATTTGCCTCACCATACTCTCCCCCAGCTTCCTCTGCTGCTACTTAAGGGCACAGAGCTCTCCTTCTGTCTCTCATGTGCTGCCTTCCTTTATAACAATGGACAAGTAGTGCTTGAAAGTAAGAGAGAAAGCTGTGCTCAGTAGCGATTAATATGGAAGCAGAAAGGTTACAAGCTTTGCAGGGAGAGTGGTTAAAACCTTTCATCTTGAAGGAACCCAAAGTGTTTTCATATTCACACACACATATATCTATATCTATATATATCTCCATATGCTTATGTACAATCTTATGGTTGGAAACCTACAGCCCATTGCTGTAGGTGTTGGACAAACATATAGCAAGAGAGAATCCCTGTACAGAAACACTTACAATCTAAAGCGTGGAGGAGAAACAAAGACACAGAAACTTTTCCAAGGACACAGAGCACAGCTGGGACTAGAACTCAGGTTTCCTGCCCTACCCATTGTTCCACACTGCCCCGCTACATATGCCTACACAAAGGAATCACCGTCCTCTGAAATGTGGTTAGAACTGCGGGAGGCAGAGAGCAGCTGTTTAGAAGCACACAGCAACACACCGCCACATTTTAGAGAGGCGGTGAAAAATACCAGGTCAAATGCAACGGGAACTAGATCAACCGAATGTAGTTACCCACATCAGAATTTGGAGAAATGTGCCATGGGATCTCTGTCTGTGGATGGGAAGGGCTTCAGTTTTGGGTCTGATCTAAAGGGCACTGGTGCGTAGTCCCTCCAGCCTCAAAGCCATTGTAGCAGTACTGACTCAGAGGGGAAAGTGCCACTTATTGAATAACGAGCACTATTACATGCAACACTCTAGGTTTCCTGTGGGTCTCCAACATAAGTAATAGTTGACCAACTCCAGTCCTGATTACCTTGTGAGATTAGGGCCAGAGATGTTGTGGCACAAAAAACGTTCAAGAATTTTCTTACCTTGAGATGGAAATAAAAATGAGTAGTATTGGAATCCTTAAGAAGCTCCTGCAACCAAGAGTAAAAGCACTTTTATATCGAATTGTGTGAATTTAGAATTCAGAATTGTGTCTAAAGAATATTAATGAATGCCGCCCTCACGGAAGGAACATGCCTGGTACTAGAAAGGGAACTTTTTGGTCTAGATGATACAGTAATCGCCTGCATTGGTACAGCTTGTCAGCTGACCTCTCACTGTAGCTCTTATCTGGCTTGTGGTATGTGTTATCTTGCCAGTCTATCAGAAAGCAGTTGTGAGAATCGAAGAATAGCAGCATCCACGTTCCTTGCAGTGCCAGCTAGGTGTCAGGTCACTCCGTTTCCTCATATTATAGTTCTAGTCTTATTATAGAGACCCAGAGAGACAAAACCAGGCCTTGATTGTCAATATTGAAGATTACAGCTTGTCACGGAACATGCATTTTGCTGCTGCTGCACAAAGAACATGGTATATTGAAAGTTATATACAGAAACCAAACTTTATAAAAGTGACTAGTGATTCTGGGAACCTCACCTGAGACACTTCAGAGAGGTCTGATTTTCAGAAGGCAGGTCAGAACACTCTCTGAAAATCTGGTCCCTTTAAGGTGTCTCAGGTTGGGCCCTCAAACACACTAGTCTTTGTTGAAAATCTTGTCCAGAGGTAACACTTATGGGACTAGGGAGATAAATTTCTATATGGTATTGAAGCGACCACATGAAGAATTCTGCATGTGGTTCTGGGCTTTATGCAACAGAACTTTGTTAAACTGGGGAAAACCCAAAAGGCAAGCAAAACTGCAAAAAGTTTTAGGAAGTATGACATATGAAGGAGAGGTTAAGAGAAATGAACACATAACCTAGAGAACCGACAACTAAGAGGAGACATAACCATTCCTCCATGTCTTTGGAGAAGTAATAAAAAGTAAGGGAGGGAATTATTCTTCAGGACATAATTCTTCAGTAATAAAAAGTAAGGGAGGGACATCTTCAGGACAATCCTTGTTTAAAGGGTAATAATCAGGTAATCAGGGTAATAATAAACCCCGCTGGGCTAGGGGCTGAAGAGTTAATAGGATATAAACTCTGAGGTCTTTCTGGCTATCAGAGGAAACCCTTTCCTCCCTTTCAGTTCTGGCCTTTCTATCATTTGTGCAAGAAGGGAAAGAGCCAGCTGTGCACTCTCCGGGGTGCAGGTTCTGCCGTTCTGCCTGGCCTTCATATGGACTGTATGAAGGAGCAGAAGGCTCCTTGCGCCTCTTTCCCCTTCCACTGTTCATCCATGAAGGGCCAAGTGGAATCTGGCCCTTTCAGAAGCACCAAGAACCTGAAGCTCCTGGTCACTTCACTTGGAGTAGTAGGCGCTCAGCATTTCTGAAAACAAAGCCATCCTATGTGTCTCAGATTGGACACCCAAAGCCCAAGTATCGAAAATTAGTGGGCACTTTGGAAAATTTAGTCCTATATGATTTATACTGAAATTCATTGGCAAAAGAGAGACTAGAACTCATAAGTTCCTCAACCCTAGTCCCATGCTTATGCCACTGCTTCTTAACAAGCTATCTGATGTGCAGCACTATTGCTCTTTAAAAGGTGCCACTTCTCCGTTAGATAAACACATAAATTTACTTCAGCATTTGCAGTATTCCCTATAGCTACTGCAGGACATACCTAGGAAATACTTGGGTAGCTGTACCTATTTATCTATGCAAAACTGGCATGGTTTTAAGAGTCGCCACTGTTTTACATAACTCTCTGAAAAATATTCAATAACAGTGAACACACATAATGTTTTACCTGGTAGATGTTGCCTCGGCATTTAAATCCATCCCCAACATAATCAGGTTTGCAGGTGCAGGTCCTCTCTGTCAGCTCAGTGTCATTGCAGATTGCAGATTCACTGCAGCCACCGTTATTCTTGTAAGATTAGGAACATCAGACAAAATCAAATTAGTTGGCGTATTTGTGTTTACAAAATAATTTCAGCTCATTTGCTCAAACTTCCAACAGAGGGAAATAGTCTCTTTCTTATGAATAGTAAAAAAGCATTCAAGATTAATGTAAAGATAGTTATTGACACTTAAAGCAAAGCACACTGCCAGTTTCTTTAACACCCGCTTGCTAGCTCCTCAGTTCGGAGTGATGTAACTGGCTATTGTATACTGCTACCCAAAAGATTTCCATGCAGGCCTCATCATGGACTCCTGGGCTATGATTCTGAGCTGCACTTCTTAGGAGGTACATCCTGAGAGGGAAGGGAGCCAAAAGTGGCTCTGGGATTCTGGGTTGCAGAGGCTGCTCTAGTTTACTCCTTATGTGTCTGGTAGCCCAGAATAGCTGGAGCACAGAACTGCCACACGTGTCCTTCCTCCAACTCATTCCCGTCTCCCATAGGTCTCTTAATCTGGCTTTCCATCTCTTGGGAGCTCTCTTTGTCAGGGGAATTCCCCAGAGGGGAGATCTGGCTGTTCCCAGCCCTTGTTACACCCACTGAGCCAATCCAGAATTGGTGCCTACTTGATAATCAGATCTTCAGACTGCAAACCGGTTTACTTGTGGACAAGGGAAAACATCTCTTCACAACAAACCAGGGAATGCTGCCAAATGAGAAATGTAGCTCATTTTCTTTTCACACGCTCATTTCTAAAACTCTGATGCCAGGCACATGGGAGCCCACTTCCACTTCGTCTGACCTCCCACTCTCAGTGGTATTGGGGGGGTCCTTCTTGAACTACCACCAGGGGTCTAGTCGGGATGGGCCCTACCATAGTTCTCACCCTATGTAGTGAGGTTTGGTTTTGTGTGCTGTTTATTTGGGTAGATCTAGCTGGATTGTTGGACAGGGAACTGAGTTTATTCAGAGCTCTCTGTGTAGCTTTGCCATGGAGCACTTGGCTATATTACAGTCAGATTAGCATGCTGCACAATGTTGACAAAAGGCAACCTTCTGTAAAAACATTCTTTTAATAGCATTGCAGCCAGTGAAGTGGAAGAGAAGCTGTCAGAATGAAGCTCACACAAAACCATATGCGGTAGCTCATAAATCTAAACATTCCCTCCCCTGACTTTTAATTTACATTTGTTCGCTATTCCATCTGGGCAATCTTTGGAAAAGAATCCAGTGACAGACTGTTGCCAGGTCAAGGGATGATGACTACTTGTCACCATTCTCTGGAGACGAAAGATCAATGTGCACAGGACAGTGAAATGCATCAGCCAATGCATCAGCCATCCTTAGCCTTTGATCACAGGGAGGCAGCTTTTGAATGTTGAGGGCTTTTCATCTGAGACCAATGAGCAAGTGCTTGTATGCATCAGAGGGCTCGATCCTACACTCCGTATTTGGTCTCAATGTGAACGGGAGTTTTGCCTGTGTCAGAAATATGGGATTGGGCCCGTTGAGTAAAATTCAACCTTGTTCAGAGGGTCAGCACCAAGGTTAGGAGTCATATGGGAGCCAACTGGTGCCTAGAGCTTGTGCCAACTCTCTGCACGTAATGAGTAGTTCCAAAGACAGAAGGTTTGGTTCTCCAAACCATCTGAGCACAGGGTTATGGTTCCCTGATGACACATGCACAGGGAGAGTCCTAAATTACCTGAGGAAACTTACACCAGTGGAGGATCAAGCATAGTGGAGCTCTGCTCTACCATGCCCCTCTCATCTCCCTGTCCCCCTTCCACCCTGCTCCCAGAACACTCTCAACATGCCCTCTTCTCCCTCTTACACTGCGGGATGCACCAGAGTTAACACCAGTGAAGAGTTCCACTGCATAGGGGGAATTCTCTACCTGCCGTCTCGCTACTTTACGGCCACATTGTGCCATTTTCAGGCCACTTAGCAGACTGGAGAATCTGGCCCATAATACATTATCCTGGGAGCAGATGAGCTGACAGGAATGGAGTTGTGAGATTTGATTTGTCATCTTGGAATGATCAGTGAGACTGGCATCAGAGAAGAATTTTCACGTTATCATTGGAATTTGGCTATTTTATTTGGTCTTTCTTAGAAACTACATTCACTTCTAAAACCTTAGAAGTTTGTAGATACTTCAGAAACTGTGAGTAATTTATAGAATGGATTTTTAAATTTTAACTAATTCCAGCAACACTGAAAAATCTGTACAGAAATAATGAAAATTACTCCTTGCCTTTAACCACAAAAAAACAGTATCTCCCTCAGGATTTGATTTAAGTTTTTTTTTTTTAAATCTTGAGCACAGCCTAAAAACTAGACTGTTCCATATTTGCGGCCAATTCAGTAAAACATCTAAGCATAAGCTTAAAGTTTAGCACATGGTTAAGTGCTGTTAGCTATATCTTAAGCATATGCTTACATGCTTTCCTGAATCAGGTCCAGATGGGCTATTCTACACATTTCTAAGCTAGTCTTGCATGCAGACCAAACCAAAAGCATATTGGTGTTATATATAAAAAAAAAAATTTATGATGAGAATATAGTTTCCTGTAAAATGATACTCACCGATAAACACACATTGATGTATGTGCATGTTTTACCATCTCCTGAATATCCTTTCAAACAATTACACACAGCCTACCAGGAGAAGAAAGGATCCATATTAACACAGAAACATATGGAACTTGGCTGTGTAGTACCTTTTGATTTTATTTATTTTTATTGGCTATACTGATCTGCATGGTAAAATGAGGAGAGAAAAGAACTCAAAATCCCATTTTATCTTAACATCCATTCTGTAATTTACCATTTTTCACGCTACAAGCGCATCATCTCTTTAGGGCAGATCCTCAGCTGATGCAAGGTGTCATAGCTCCATGATCCTTTCTCGCTTCTCCTCTGCAACTGAGGGCATCAGAAATGCCCTCTCTTTATCTCACCTCTGACAGTGTAGCTCATTTCAGATACCAGCTGAAAACACAACTCATCTCCCCATCCTTTTAGCTGTATTATTTAAATCATTAAAGAAGGTGACCATGTTTTCAGAATAAAGAACCAGGACACTTTTGTGGGGACATTTTTGGGGTGGTGAAATACTCCCACAAAAGTACTTTAACAAATGTGTCCTTGTGTCGCGACTGCCAGCATCTTACTCAGCAGCGTCATGTGCATGTTTCAGTGTAGTTACCCTGGGCTTATGCTTTTTGATACCCACAATTATCACACAGCTGGAAGGTTACCATGGCTAAAGGAAATTACTTATTTTCTCTTTAAAGGTCAGACTTCAAGCATGACAAGGTGGGGGAGGTAGTATCTTTTATTGGACCAGCTCCTGTTGGTCAGAGAGACAAGCTTTTGATCTACACAGAGCTCTGCTTCAGGTCTTCTTCAGGACCTGAGGAAGAGCTCTGGGTAGCTCGAAAGCTTGTCTCTTTCACCAACAGGAGTTGGTCGAAGAAAACATATTACCTCCTCCACCTTGTCTCTCTCATATCTTGGGACTGACATGGCTACAACTACACTGCACGCTTTATGCATGTCATTTGAGAATCTAGGGCCATTTAACTACACTATTCTGATGCTGGCATTACTCTGCAGTTATTCTTTTGGAGGTAGCTGGTGCGTCAGAAAGCAAAAGTACCAAGCAATCGCAGTGTAATGACAAGATATTCAGTGTATCTGCATTCTAAAATACATTGATAAATCTCCAGGCTCTTTGGGGAAGGACAAGCAATTCAGGCATGTAGTTAGCCCTCTAGTTACAGGAGTTTGTAGAAATTATATGAATAAAAAATAGTACTTCCTAGGGGTCAGTGGTGAGCCTTCCTGCACATCTGTACAGGGGAGAAAGGCAGTGTAAGGAGCCCCTTTGGGGAGGCTACCAGCATTGCCAGTGATTGTGAAGGGTAGAGGGCAGCCACTGCTGGGTGGTTACACCCCCTCCTGTACAGGTGGGCAGAGCTTTGGCACCATGCTCCCCTCACCCAATATGCCATCCCGTACATGAGAGCTGAGGCTGGGCCTGTCCACATGGCTCCTGACCGGAGCTGGATATTTGGCCCAGCTACCCGTCTGTCCTGGTGAGGGATAGGCAGGCCGGATCTGAGTGGTACTGCAACACTGTGTGCTACTTGGTCCCCCACCTCCACCTTTGCAGTTCTCCTGACATTTCTGGGCACTGGGCACCCTCATCCTCTGGGGAGGAGAGAAGCAGGGGTCACTGGGAACTCCCAGTCCCCATGAGGGTGGGAGGGTTGGATCCAGGCTTTTGGTGCTTCCTGTGGAAGTGGAGACGCAGAAGGGGATGGGGGTCTGGTCTGGAGCTCCCAAAATTGTCTGGCGCCTGGTGGCGATGGTGCTTTCCAGCCTGGCTGGCTCTCTGGGGAAGAGCTTGGAGTTAGGTGCGGGGTGGGGAGACCACAGGGCTGGGTGCAGGGGGAGAGCTTGGATTTGGGGGGCAGGGCAATGTGGGGAGGGAAGTGGGGGGCTGAGTGTGGGTCAGCAGGCAGGGACTGTGTGTTGAGCCGGATGCAGTGGGGAGAGCTCAGAGCCGGGGTGGGGCAATGTAAGGGGAAGAGCGCAGGGCTGGGAGTGGATGGCAGGAGGACAGTGTGTGTAGAGCTGGGTGCAGTGGGGAGAGCATGGATCTAGGTGCAAAGGCCAGGGAGGGAGAACTCTGGGCTCCCTCCTTAGGAAAATTCTGGTTGCACCCCTGGCTGAGGCAAAGGGGAAGTAATCTGTGTCAGCCAAAGGATGCAGATTGCTCCAAGAGGGGAGTTAAGGGGAAGCAGGAACCAGATTGTTATTTCCAGTCACTGTCTTTTTCTTGCCCTGCTCCCAGGGAAGCACAGCTATGCAGGCTGGATTGTAGAACTACCATCCAGCCCATAGCGATAACAGTGAAGTATGAAAGTAGAAGGGTAGTAATAAGTACTTCAGTTATAGCTAAACTTCTAGTCATGTGAAAGCAGTGGTAATTGCTGGTGTAAAACTTATTGCACATTGATTGCAGAGTTAACACAGCACTTGTTTTTATCTGCTTATGCATAAATCTGTTATACACTGGGAGCAGAGCTGGTTGGAAAGTGGGGATTTTTCTGCAGAAAATTTTGACAGAAATTAAAAGAATTTCATTTTCAGCCCCCCCCCCCCAAGTTTTCAGCTAAAAAAACTTTGAAAAAATGAAAAAATAGGGTCAAAAAACAAAACAAAAAAATGGTTTTGGCCAACATTTTTCAGGTTTTTGGTTTCTAAGGAAAAACTGAAAAATGGTGAGGAAGGCAAACACTTCCCACAAATGTCGTTTAGTTGAAAACCCAATTTTCTGTCCAAAAAGAAGAAAAGAACAGAGAAAAAAAGTTCAGTTGGAAATTTTTCAGCCAGCCCTAGCTCAGAGTGACCACACTCGGCCTTTTTAACTGTGATGACACATAACTTACCTCATTGGGTCCAGTCTGAGTGCATTCCGCATTTCTATCGCATCCACCGTTGTTCTCTAAGCAAGGGTTGATTTCTTTATAAAACAAAATTGGAGAGAATTGGAGAAAACTCAGTGATTTACAAATTCTCACTTCACTGATTAGCTAAAGTAACATGTACTAGGAATGCAGGCTTGTGACAAATGCATAGGTGCCGACTCCGTGGGTGCTTCGGGGCTGGAGCACCCACAGGAAAAAAATGGTGGGTGCTGAGCATCCACCGGCAGCCCCACTGTCAACGCCTCTCCCTCCCCCCAGTGCCGCCTGCCTGCTGGTGGGCCCTGCCGATCAGCACCTCCCCCGTCCAGTGCCTACTGCCTGCCGTGATCAGCTGTTTCATGGCATGGAGGAGGCGCTGGGGAGGATGAGGGGAGAAGAGAGGGCACAGTGCGCTTGGGGGAGGGGGCAGAACTGGGTGGGGAAGAGGCAGGGCAGGAAGAGGCGGGGTCGGGGTGGGAAGAAGCAGGGTGAGGGAAGGAGTGGAATAGGGGTGGGGCCTGGGTGGAGCTGGGGGGAGCACCCCGTCACAGATTAGAAACTCAGCACCTATGGACAAATGTGATTCATTTAGACTGATTCTCATTGCTACCTAATGCTCTCCTTGTAAGTATCTTTCATCTTTCTCAGCAAGAGCTGGAAACATGCAGACAATATTGCTTTTAGAATGGTTCACAGTGAAGTTTAATACAGTAAAGCCTTGGCTACATGTAAAAAGATGGAGTGCTTCAGTGTAGACACTCCCTGTGGTGATGGGAGGGTTCTCCCGTCAGCGTCGGAAGGACTCCAGCTCCCTGATAGGTGGTAACTATGTTGACAGAGAATTCTCCTGTTGACATAGCGCTGCCTACAGCAGGTGTTAGGTCGGTTTAACTACATCTCTCAGGAGTGTGGATTTTTCACACCCCTGAGCGATGTAGTTATAGTGACCTAATTTCCTAGTGTAGACCAGGTGCAAGTCTTTTATCTTTTCCTTGGATGGGTATAAGGCCTAAGGCCTGATCCAAAGCGTCCATTGAAATCGGTGGGAGTCTTTGACTTCAGTGGGCTTTGCATCAGCCCTTTCAAGCAGGTTTCAGAGTAGCAGCCGTGTTAGTCTGTATTCGCAAAAAGAAAAGGAGGACTTGTGGCACCTCAGAGACTAACCAATTTATTTGAGCATAAGCTTTCATGAGCTACAGCTCACTTCATAGGAATGGATCCGATGAAGTGAGCTGTAGCTCACGAAAGCTTATGCTCAAATAAATTTGTTAGTCTCTAAGGTGCCAAAAGTACTCCTTTCAAGCAGTGACCTGAATGTTAGGACTCTTGGATCCAAAGGGCAATTCACTGTTATGATTTCATAGGATTCGTTTTGTTTTGGAGATACTTGAATTTTGAATTTCCTTTTAAAGTGTCTTATAGTTTGTCCCAAGGTAAGGAAGTGTGTGTGTTTGTGTGTGTGTGTGTGTGTGTGTGTAGAGAAATATATCTTTGGGGATCCATCTCATACACAGTGGACACCATGCAGTATTGACATACACAGTACGTACATTGTGGAGACATCACTGTACCACTTCCCTGTCTTATGACAAGTGTCCTGATCTAGTGATCACTTACCAAGGCAGACTATTCCATCTCCAGTGTATCCAGCTGTACAAACACATACTCTGTTTCCTGGAGTAGTTCTTCTACACTCTGCTTTGACAGAACAGCCACCATTGCTGGTCTCGCATGCGTCAATAACTGTATAATGGGAAACAAAAAATAAAATAATTGTGCTTAATTTTGTATTGGCAGATTAACTAATCTCTGTCATTTCTCCAAAGGTAAAGGAATTTAGTGATATTTCCTAGACAAACTCTGATTGAAGAGTCCGTAGATGTAATTAGAATCTTACACGTATTTCTTGTAAACTGCAATAGGAAAAGGGAAAAGTGCATTTCTAATGTGGAAAATAAGAAGTCAGCTGTGATTGGTTCTCCATAAGTTCCCATCGTCCAAGGCTGCCTAGTCTTAACGATGAATAGTGAAGAGAGGGCCCTCCACGTGTTTCATGGGATTATACAGATCCTTCCAACTTTTCCTTAGTTTGGAAAAGTTTACACCTCATGTGATGGGATGTAAACCCTGCGCTGGCACTGAAAAGGAAAGGGAGCCTGAGAGTGCTAGTCACATCACTTGCATGTGTTAAAGGACTTTGGCCCTGGGAGTTGTTAGACTCTTAAATGTGTCTTGGCTGGAGCTTGAGGACATAAGGGTCTCAATACTTCTAGGTTCTGCAGAACTTTGGCTATTCAGATAGAAATTCTTGCCTTTTTCTCAGTTCTCCCAGATTTTGAGCTGTGCTGGGTAGTGCAAAGGTGGGTAGGGAATCATCTGGTCCCCTGTGCAAATTAGAGCAGTGTGACAACTGCTTTAATTGACACACTGCTACTCATGACGTCAATAAGCTGTTCCTGTAGCTAGAATAACTAGACCACAGTGGACTGGCAATTTGGCCCATAACCCCCTTTTTCTCAGGAAAGTCCCTACACCAGGGCCCAAGAGTAAGTGGAATAGAACCTTAGGCTGGTTCTATGCCACCCTAGTTGCTCCCTACATATGGGGAATTTCCCAGTAACAGATTAAACTGGTTTTCTGGCTGATTTGTGCTGCTAGGGTGTTGCGAAGCAGGGGCTAGAATCTGGCGTCAGGACAGTGCTATCCAACATGGTTAGACAAATACTCCATTGTTCCAAAGGGCATTATTTTAATCAGATAAAGATTAAGGAATTAATTACACACACTACAGAAGGAAACAGTCTGTTTCATAAATCTGGATTTTCCACGCTTTCAAAAGGACACCTGGTATTAATGGCAATTGCCCCTTTCTTAGGTCATCCACAGAGCCGTTTTAGTTAATCACCACAAATTTACATCAATTCAGAATTCAGAAAATGGACAAAACCACAGGACTAGCTAGAAGTGCTACTGTACCTCCAATCAGCCTATGTTCATTAAGCTGGGTCAGAAAAAAAGAACAGACCTAATCCAGGTTTCCCTACTCCAGAACTACCCCAGCTCCAGGTGTGCACAATACGTTCCCTCTTCCCCGTTCTTTCCCCTGAACACAATATACTGTATCTAAGGGATTTCTAGTCCTTTGTTTTTTTGAATCTGCACCTGTTGCAGTCCGCTCATTTTGAACAAACTGGCAGCAACTCCTCTTTTCACTTCCTGTGGGGCACCATGCATCTCTCTGCAGCTCTTCTGTTTCACAGTGAACACCAAGTGCTTCAAGCTCTTCTTTGAACAGATAGAAAACAAAGCCCACTTGCCTGTACAGTGTGTTCCATTCCCTTTAAAGCCAGCCGCACACTTGCAATATGCAGTGCCCCCAGACTTGAGGAGGCAGCTAGAACGGAGAAAGGGAGTTAGATTAGAAATCATTGCATGCTCTGTATTGTCATCGCTGCTCTACTGTATCTTTATTCTGATTATTTTTTGTAATACCATGGTGCCTCGGACCCCATTGTGCTAGGCGCTGTACAAATGCAGAACAAGAGAACGGCCTTTCCCCAAGGAGCTTGCAATCTAAATATTAGACAAGAGACAACAGATGGATACAGGGGAGTACAAAGAAACAGTGAGACAGTACTGGTCAGCATGATAGGCAGTGGTCTCAGCACAGCTGTGGTCTGACCATTGTTTTTTGTAGGCAGCACAAAAAAGGAGAGATTTAAGAAGGGTTTTGAAGGAAGATAAAGAATGAATTTTGCAGATATTTTGGGGGAGCTTTTCCTGAGTGTGAGGGGCAGCCTGGAAGAAAGCACAAAGGTTGTTCACAGGTGGGTGATGGAGGCTTGCACAACTGGCCAATTGAAGCGGGGAGTCAACAATGCAATCGAGTGCAGTTGTATGACAGGGTTGCTTGTGATGATAGAAAGAGGGCTCAGCAGCTCTGGGGCTCACTTCTGGTTATATTTTATGTTCCTAAGGGTATGTCTACACTGCAATAAAACATTTGCAGCTGGCCCAAGTCAGCTGACTTGGGCTTGTGAGACATGGGCTATGGGGCTGTCAAATTGTGGTGTAGATGTTCCAGCTCGGGCTGGAGCATGAGCTCTGGGACCCCACGATGGGGGAGTGGCCCAGAGTTTGGAATGTCTACACCTGAATGTCTACACCACAATTTTACAGCCCTGCAGCCCAAGACCCCAAGTCAGCTGACACAGGCCAGCTGTGAGTGTTTATTTGCAATGCAGACAGACCCTATAGCTCATGCTTCAGGGTTTCAGCCAGCCACCTACAGGGGTCAGAAGGGGATTCCTCCTGGAGTGTATTCTTGGTGGGTTTTTTGACTCCTTCCTCTGAAGGGGGCCATGGCTGGAGATGGGACATTGGACAGGGAGGGCTTAGGATTGCCAGGTGTCAGGTTTTTGAACGGAAGGTCTGGTCAAAAGGGGACCTGTGCAGTGTCCGGTCAGTACTGCTGACTGGATACCAAAACTCCAGTTATCGCAGTGACTGGCCTCCACTGTTGGGAGTGTGGGAAGAGGAGAAGCTCAGCTGATGGACTGGAGAGAAGCTCAGCTGATGGACTAGAGAGAAGCTTAGGAACGGATGATCAGCTTTGGCGGAGCAGGGTGTGGGAAACCGCTTTTTCAGCCAGGTGGCCCAGGCCTCAACTCTCTCTGGCTCCTCACTCCAGGGATGACCCCTGCCCTGCTGTGCCTCGATTGCCCCTGGCCCCTTGCTCTGGGGATTGACCCCTCCCGCCCTGTTTTGCCCCAACTGGGCAAGCAGGCAGGCTCCATGTCATCTCCTCCCGGCCTGGCTCTGCAGATGGCAGGTGAGTCCCAGGGGAGAGGGGAGCGAGTGATGGGTTAGGGGGGCTTGTCGTGTCCAGTTTTTAAAAAATTGGAAAGTTGGCAACCCTATGCGGGCCAGTTCTGTGAGGTGGATGGAGCATTGTTTCTCTCAGGTGCTTGGCTGGCTGGTTCTTGCTGATATGCTCAGGGTCTAACTGATCACCATATGTGTGGTCAGGAAGGAATTTTCCCACCAGGTCAGATTGACAGTGACCTTGGGTTTTCTTTTGACTTCCCTTGCAGCACGTGGGTGCTGGTCACTTGCCAGGATTATCTGGGTACATCTCACTTAATCATTTCCGTGCCATTGTGGGGGCTCAGGCACTGGTGCACCTTGGTCTCTGCTGTTCTCTTTGGTTTAATTTCAGTTGTTGGGTTTAGTGTCTGGGTGGTGTTGGTGGCCTGTGATGTACAGGAGAGCAGACGGGATGATCTGGTGGTCCCTGCTAGCTTTAAACTCTATGATTCTATCTTGAAAGCAAATGAGAGATAGGTAGAGTAGGAGTAGACTGTGAAGGACCTTGATAGTGAATACATTGTTTGATGCAACACAGAAGGGGAAGCCCGGGGAAGAATTCAACGAGAGACCATTCAATGGTCAAAGTGACGGGCTAGCAAAATGATCTTTGCAGCAACATTCTGAATGGATATGAGTGAGGCAACATGTTTAACTTGAGCTGATGGCTAGACAGCCACGAGGAAAGGCCAGAGAAACAGGCTGGAATTTTAGTTTGGACAGGAGACTGAGCTGGAGTAAACAGAAAGACCTGTGAGTCATCAGCACAGAGATGGTAGTTGAATTTGTGTTTATGGATGAGATTACCCAAAGATAAGTGTAGCAGGAGAAGAAAAGGGGAGCAAGGATAGGGCCCTGTGGAAGCACCACAGAAAGCTGGAGGAGTAATGAGAAGGATCCTCTGAAGGACAAACTGAAGGAACAATTAGAGAGGTAGGAGGAGAACTAGGAGAGAACAGTCATGGAAACCAATGGAGGACAAGGTTTCAAGAGAAAGAGCGTGGTTGATGGTGTTAAAGGCAGCTGAGAAGTCAAGGAGGATGAGGATGGAGTACTTGTTTTGAACTTTGGCTAAGACGTGGTCATTAGATACTTTGGTGAGAATGGTTGCAGTGGAATGCAAAGGGTGGAAGCTGGATTGGAGAGGGTCTAGGATGAATTGGACAGGAACGCCAGACAGCGATTGTAAACAGCATGTTCAATGAGCTTAGAGATGACAGGGAGATGGGTGATGAGGCAGTAGTTGGAGAGGCACGTGGGGTCAACAGTAAGGTTGTTATTGTTGTTTTTTAAAATGGGATAGACTACAGCATGTGTGTACTGTAATGGGAAAGAGCCAGAGGAGAGCCAGAACAGTAAAGTAGAGGATGAGAGTAGGCACAAGGGAGATCAGGAGATGGGATAGGAGAGGGTCACTGGGGCAGGTGTAAATTTTATCAATTTTCTCCTGGAAGAAATTGGGGAGATCCTGTGCAGAGAGAGAAGTGGAGGCAGGAGGAGAGGAGGGTTTGAGGAGTGAATCAAAGTTGGCAAAAAGGTGGCTGGAGTTGTGGGCATGGGATTCAATTAAGCTGGAAAGTAAAGTTGTTTATCAAGGAAGATGGCAGAACTGAAGGAGGAGAGAATGGATTTGTAGAGGAAGAAGTCAGCTCAGTTACAGAATTTCCAGCACAGATGCTCTGCAATGTGAGAACAGAAGCCGAGGAAGTGGATGTTGGGGATAATCCAGGACTAGGAGCTGACAGGGCGGACCTTGCAATGGGAGAGAGGCAAAGAAGTCAAGGGTGGAAGAGAGGAATGGAGAGAATCAACAGCCCTGTCAATGGCAGAAAGAAAAGAGAGGGCAGGGAGAAGATGGCTGATATCAGATGAGAAATCATCAGTCCTGCTGGAATGGAAGTCATAGAATGGCTGAGGGATGGGGGGCTGATAGGAAGGAGTTGGGTGGCCAATAGATGACAGCACCATGGAGGAAGAGAGGAGAGCGGAGTTGGGTGCAGTGCTGTTCAAAGGAGGAGAAAGGGGAAGGAAGAAGGGATTAGAAGGGGCAGGAATGGGAGAGGGGAAGCCTAACACCCCCACCACTGCCTGACCCAGGGCAGGAAGTATGAGTGAAGGAGAGGCCTCCATAAGAAGAAGGCAGCTGCAGAGGCAGTGTCAGAGCCCTGGACCCCCTCATCTGCCAGAGCCAGGAACTGCAGGGAGCGAGAGATACAGAAGTTGTGATTGGCTGTGATGTTTTTTTTGAGAGATGGAGTGGGCATTCCCGAGACAGCAAGAGAAGGAGCGGGAGGGGCATGGGTGGGAGGTTAGGAATGATGGCTATCGATGGACAGAGGTGGTGGCAAGGATTGGTATGGGAATGGAGAGGGTGGAGATGGTGGGAGGACCAGGGCTGGAGCAAACGTCACCAGAAATGAGGAGCAGCAGGAGGAGGAGGCAGAGGAGGGTGTGGATGTGGGATCTGGATTTGGGCTAGTGGGAAGAGGAGAGAGATCAGGGTGGAAAGGGGAAGAGGAGTAGGGGAAGAGGAGAGCTGGTGGGAACTATAGAGGAATGAGGGTACGAAGGATGGGGAAATGGAATCATTGGGTGGGGGGCGGGCGAGAGAGAGGGAAGGAGAAGGACAGATACTATGATGCACGGTATCTTTGACTGTAATGCTCCCAAAAACAAATGGACATGCAGCCTTGAAAAAGGATAGTAATGCTATCAATTAAACTGAAAAATGCCAAGACTTTAAAGGAACTTCATGCTAACCTCTAATTTTAGGCATTGAGAACGTCTGCTCTGTGCACACACACTTACTGTCTATATGCATATCTAGCAGTTGCATGTCTGTACACCCGATTTTTGTGCATAATTGCCCTTGTTTGGGACACTAGAAATGTTGAGGCCCCAAACTGGATAACCAAACATTTCATTGCCTCTAATTAAAGTCTACTTTTGAAAACGTAGTCCTGTATGTGTAAGATAAAACTGTGATGAACTAGCATGTATAAGCAGGGTCTGAATGAACTCTCCCTGACCGCTAGTGATGCTGTCATAAATATAAAGGGAAGGGTAAACCCCTTTGAAATCCCTCCTGGCCAGGGGAAAGCTCCTCTCACCTGTAAAGGGTTAAGAAGCTAAAGGTAACCTCGCTGGCACCTGACCAAAATGACCAATGAGGAGACAAGATACTTTCAAAAGCTGGGAGGAGGGAGAGAAACAAAGGGTCTGTGTGTCTGTCTGTATGCTGCTTTCTGCCAGGGACAGAACAGGAATGGAGTCTTAGAACTTTTAGTAAGTAATCTAGCTAGGTATGTGTTAGATTATGATTTCTTTAAATGGCTGAGAAAAGAATTGTGCTGAATAGAATAACTATTTCTGTCTGTGTATCTTTTTTGTAACTTAAGGTTTTGCCTAGAGGGGTTCTCTATGTTTTTGAATCTAATTACCCTGTAAGATATCTACCATCCTGATTTTACAGGGGGGATTTCTTCATTTCTATTTACTTCTATTTTTATTAAAAGTCTTCTTGTAAGAAACTGAATGCTTTTTCATTGTTCTCAGATCCAAGGGTTTGGGTCTGTGGTCACCTATGCAAATTGGTGAGGCTTTTTATCCAACATTTCCCAGGAAAGGGGGGTGCAAGTGTTGGGAGGATTGTTCATTGTTCTTAAGATCCAAGGGTCTGGGTCTGTAGTCACCTTGGCAAATTGGTGAGGCTTTCTACCAAACCTTGTCCAGGAAGTGGGGTGCAAGGTTTTGGGAAGTATTTTGGGGGGAAAGACGCGTCCAAACAGCTCTTCCCCAGTAACCAGTATTAGTTTGGTGGTGGTAGCGGCCAATCCAAGGACAACGGGTGGAATATTTTGTACCTTGGGGAAGTTTTGACCTGAGCTGGTAAAGATAAGCTTAGGAGGTTTTTCATGCAGGTCCCCACATCTGTACCCTAGAGTTCAGAGTAGGGGAGGAACCTTGACAGATGCACTGGGGGAAAATTCTTCAGGAGCAGATTGTAGTTGCATAGACGCCTCTGCTCTGCCTAGGTGTTCAGCAGACGGATCTGCTTTGCCAAAGTGATCAATTTTGGCTGGTTTGGGGTTACAATTCACTTTCATATTGAATGCAGGGTGGGAAACTGATGCGAAGGGATGGGTGTTTGCTTATGGTTCTGTGCTTTTGAATTGTGGTTGTGGGGTTTTCCTAGATTAATGCTAGGTTCCCTTTCCCTTTTAATAAAAGATTTCTTTTGTCATACACAGACTCAGCATTTGCGACTGGAGAAATATTGCTTCTTAGGGGTGCCTCGGTTATTTTCGCAGATTACTGGGTTGGGGCTCGAGCTGGTTCTGTTTTGGATTGTTAAGAGGCACCCCTATGTATTGAATGCAGATCCTGTTGCAGCCAACTCCACCTGGCAGAAGCTTACACAAGGGTCGATGGAATTCTGCTCTTGTAATCACAGGCTGGATCATCACTCTGGTATTTGTGCTCCTCTAACATGCATGGAAATTCAGTACATCAGTTCAGATTCAACACATGGAGGCACAGGCACCAGCTTCCTCCTTTCCCCAGGGGTGCTCAATCCCTGATCTGCCCCAGGCCCTGCCCCCATGCCACCCCTTCTCCCACGGCCCCCTCCCACCCTCTTCCTGCCCCCACCCCGCCTCTTCCCGCCCCCAAACCTTCCTGCCCTGTTCCACCACCTCCCCCAAGTGCTCCCTGCCTCCACTCCTCCTTCTCCCCCCAGCGCCTCCTGCACGCAGCTGATCGCTGGTGGGAGGGTAGGCGCTGGGAGGGAGGGGGAAGAACTGATTGGCGGGGCCTTCGGTGGGCAGGAGGCACTTGGGGGGAGGGGGGAGGAGCTGATCAGTGGGGCTGCCGGTGGGTGCTGAGCATCCACTAACTTTTTTATGTGGCTGCTCCAGCCCTGGAGCACCCACAGAGTCAGCACCTCTGCATGGAGGAAGTATAGACTACTAGAGTCAAACTCTGCTATCCAGATCTTAGTATAACTTTGCCCCGAAGTTTTATTAAACAGTAGAGCTATAAATAGCGGATGGGATAAATATTTAAATGGAGTTGCCAGCAAAGAAGAAAATCAGATCATTGTAGGTGTTTGGGGCTCTCTGTTCCTGTTTTCCTGATCGTCTTATAATAAGCAGTCAGCATATAAGAGGTGAACTTCTAAAATATCTTCATTACTCTCTGAAAGTGTAAGATAATTTAGCCAGCATCTCCCTGGGTGTATACGGGCAGGCTGGATTCCTTACAGTAAAGCCCAGATTTCTAAAGGAATTTAGGTATTGCTCCACTCAAGGTCATTGCAAGACTTAAGTGATAAGGGCTATGTCTACACTACGCAGCTTTTAGTGACACGGCGGTGCTGCTACCGCCGGGCCGCTAAAAGGCGTGCAGTGTAGCCGCCGTTTGTCGGCAGTGCCGACTAAAAACGTCCACTCCTAACGAGCGGCATTAGCGTTGTCGGCAGGAGAGCGCTCCAGCTGACCAAGTGCTGTTCACACTGGCGCCTGTCATAGGCAGAACTTTTGTCTTTCGGGGGGGTGCGTGTGTGTGTTTTTTAACACCTCTGAATGACAAGTGCTTTGTCTTTCACTTGCCAGTGTAGACAAAGCCTTAGACAGCTAAGTCCCATTTTCAAAAGTGGCTTAGGCACTCAGTAGCCCAAGCCCCATTGACTTTCATAAGATTTACACTCCCAACGGCTAGAGTCACAAAAGGACTTGGGTGCCTAACTTCCAGTTTAGGTGCCTAAATCCCAGAATCAGGACCCACTGGGGTTCACAAAACCCTCGCTCAGCTGCCACCTAACTCTGTAGGCACTGAAACTTGTTCAGTACCTACACTGAAGTAAAAGTTCCCTAGGTACCTATGTCTCTGCAGCCCTTTGCTGGGTTTTTGGACACCTAAGCCCCTGTGTTCTTCATGAACTAGCGCAAGACAGGTGCTCTTCTGCCTAACTCGCCTGCCGGGCCCAATCCTATAGGCATGTTTAGAGACTGCATACCTGATCAGGCCATGCAGGCAAGCTCACAGAAAACAGTGCGGGGCATGAGGAAGAGGCGGTGATCCTTTGTAACTTTTAGCCCAGTGGTTAGGGTACTCAGCTGGGATGTAGGAGACCCCTGGTTCAAGTCCCCCTTAGTGGGGAGAATGGATTTGAACAGGGATCTAACAGTGCTCAGTTGAGTCCCCTGGTCACTGAGCTATGGACTATTCTGAGGCAGGGCTCTCTGAGAGAGAGTGTGGGAATGAATCTGGAGCTTGGTGGTCCACTGGGAATCCCAGGATCCAGTCTCCCAGCACCAATGACTTTTTAAATGACTTAATCCGCAGCCTCAACAGGAGAGGCTGCAGGAGCTCTACCTCAAAATATCCCTTAGCCCAATGGTTAGGGCACTCACCTGAGAGGTGGCAGAGCCCTGTTCAGATCTTTTCTCCCTATCAAAAGTGGGGGGAAGGGGTGGATCGTACACATTCTCGGTGAGTTCACTAAGCACCGGGTTAAAAGTTATGAGGGAGGTGAGCCTCCAGCGAAGGTACCTAATGTTAAGAGAGGGTTTGCAGTTGAGGACCTCAAGCAGAGGGAGATGTATCTCTCCAGCCTGGATTTAGGCACTGAGTGGGGCAAGGCTTAGCATACACCCCGTGGCATCTCCCATTGGCTAGCTTAGGCAGGGAGCCATCTAGGATGGTGACTTCTGTGAATCCCATTTTTAGAGAGCTGTCTCTCCACATTCGTTGGATAGGGAGACAAGCACCCAACGCAGGCTCTGTGAATCCCAGTGATTTTCTAGCTGCTTAAAAGTTAGGCGTGGTGACACTCAGTGCTAAGTTCACTTGCGAATCTAGCCCCCAAGTGCCTAGATCATGTCTGAAAACAGGATGTAGCTGTCTAATGACTTAAGTCTTGCAACACTGAGCCAAGCAATGTGTAAGGATCTCTAAAAAATCTGGGCTTAACTGCTTAGGTTTTGGTCGAGACTGCTCCTTTGAAAATGTCTTTATTAATGTGTGGGTACTGAACTTTTAAGGTTGGCCTGTCACTACTATATTATCTTTCCAAAGTGCTGCAAACCTGTGCTAAAAATGGGAAGCCTAGGAAGTGATCTAAACTTGGGACAACTAATTATTGAACAAGACAAAATAGGAGACTATTCACAATCTATGTAGATGATGGGGAAATATGGAACATAAAAACGAAGAACGTTCACTTTATACTACGCGCATGACTCTCCAAGTGGCCGGATTTCATACATACTTAGCGCTGGTGTGGCACGTGCTGTTACAGGCGTCATCTTTGATTTCTGGAAGAGACAAAAAGAACGTTTATACCCTTGCAAGTCAACATTCTAAAGCTATACATTTCTTTACCCCTTTCTGTGGTTTCAAACTCTTCCCCTTCATTTTCCTTATGCAAGGTCAGCTTCTATCATCCTTACATTCAATAATGCCTTATTGCCCAAAGAAGTCCGTGGGAATGCTTGGAGTAAGGGACTGCCCAATGTGAGTAAGGGTGAAAGTCTTCCCTGTGCATACGTCACCACAATGTGTATGCTATGCACCACTGACATCCTATTTTGGGAGGTACATGGGATGAAAATGATGCACCTGACTAGGGTTGCATTTCATCCCTGTCATTTTACTTGTTTAAAAAAAAATTAAAGACAAACTGTTACCATAATTGTTACATAAGCAGTAAAAGTGAGGCTTATCAAAAATACGACTGAAAGGTGCACAAAGGCATCAAAGAGGTATAAATTATGGGTTACAGTACATTTACATACTGATGTTACAAAAGTCATCACTGATTTATCTTTACACAGTTCTGCCGACTTGGCCCATCCTCCCTCAGGCAGTTCCACTGCTAATCTAAGATGGGGAAGAGAGCCGTACTTGTTCTTTTAATTCTTCTATTTTGTCAAGCCTAACTGTGAAATACAGCTATTGGCTTCATTATCCCAACTCATTGTACCTCATTTCATTTTCCCATTTTAAATCTTACGCAAAAATCTCTCTTTTCTCCCCCTCTAACTATCTTGGGGTAGGATTCACCTCTGTGCAGAGAGACCGTACAAGGGCTATGCACCACTCAAAGCCCATTTAAGCCCCCAAAACAAGGAGTTAGTGAGACTTGAGTGGCACATACACCTTGTGCTGGCTGCTGCACAGGGGTATTTCACTATTAGTATATTGATGTCTGTCCTTAGCTGAGTATTGCATCTGCATCAGGAGCTTCTGGGCACTGGCTTTTGTCCCTTCTGTGCCTGTTATTTTGTTGAATATATGATTATTTATTGTGTTTCCTTTGTAAGTCTTGTCCAGTGCCTTGCTATTGAAGATACTCTGTTTTATCTAACATGTGAATTTTATATAGCATCTACCATTTTGGTTTCCATGCAATGATTTGTGTTGCATGTGAGGTCACAGTTAAGCATGCAGGCTGGGGTTTGCAAAGGAGCCCAAGGGAATTAGTTATTCAAATCCAATTGAAATTCTAGGGGAGTTGGATGCCTAACTACTTTGGGTCCCTTCTGAAAATTCCAGCATAGTCAGCTTTCTCTTCTAGGCCCTGGTCTTATTTCCCCACCAACTAATTAAAAATAACTCTTATTTACTTGCAAGTAAATAATTCTAAAACAATATGTAATATTATATAGCTGAAGCCAATTTATTGTAAGAGTTGAAGGAGAACGGCTCTGAAGAGCAACTCTGCTCTGAAAATAGTACAAATTTACAGCAAATGGGAATTTCGTTTTGAAAAGATCCTGGATGAAATCGGTTAGGCAAGCAAAGGGATATATTTAAGTGCGAAGCTTGTAAATTGGGTTGCATGATTCTCCAGTACTATTGATGGCTAATCCCTTCGCACAGGTCTGAAAGCTTTCCAAAGACATTTCTTTCACGGTCAGGCTGAGGGTCTCATTGCCTTTCTGTAGCCTTGGGAGGCTGCTTGTTACCTAGTATTGTGGGAGAGAACCTGAAGTACGCAGTGCAGTGGGATGTATTCCTTGCCGCTGCTCTGCATTTCAGAACACAAACTAACTTCATCAGAGAAAGGAGAAGGCACACTTACCGCTTTCACATTTTACACCTCTCCAGCCAACGTCACACTCACAGGAGCCATCGCCCTCAATCCCACTGCTGCATTTCCCATGGACACAAGCACATTCTAAATGCACAGATGTAAGTAAACCACTTAAAATATGCAGTGTAACATAGAGTGTGCACAGCAGAGCAACAACTGAGACAGTAGATGGGTTGCCCGTATGCACTCTCCCTACACACTCTGTTTTCTAATGTACTTTACTCAGTTGTATATCTCTAGTATATAGACATTTAGTAGAGATACCTACAATATTTTCATACACAGAAGAATATAAATGACTCAATGGATAATGGTCTGGATATTTTCCTTCATTTATGGCCATCCTCTCCTACCAACACATGCAAGCATTCGACTGTTTCCCGCCTCCCATGACTGGTAGAATGTTACATATATACAGTCACTATTTTCTTTGATCACGTATGGATTTAAAATGATTTGCATGGATTCTACATTGATTTTAGCCCATTCCCTCCGTGCAGAATTCACATGCCTTTGCCATAAACTTACTTGTAAACTCTTCCCTCCTACCCAGAGAGGTTCCTCTAAGGGTATGTCTTCACTGCAATCAGATGTGTGACTGCAGCACACAGGTAGACATAGCAGTGAAGCCACGGCAGCATGGGCAGCAACATGGGCTGTACAAGCCCGCCTAGGACCCTTGGCATGTACTTGAGCAGCTAGCCCATGCCTTAACTCCTCTTCCCTGCCTTTGAAAATCCCTCTTAGTGAGTAGTAATCTATTTAGAGAAATGTGCACGGCTTGTCTGTTTGCCATTTAGCAGACAATAAATCTAAAAGCATAATTTTATCACTGTCAAGTTAATGTTTCCAGTTACGACTTTTTAACCAGAAATGACCGAGATGAGAGGTGAAAAGAGCACTAAGGGGAAGATTACACACACATCCTGTCTTGCCATTAGCTGCTAGACCAAGGCAGTGATATACAGGCTCAGCAGGTGGAGTCAATGAGCAGAAAAGTGCTGTGAAAAGCAGAGCAGAGGGAAAACACCATCAGTAGGGTCAGAGAAGAAGCTGCTGTGGTATCATGCATGAGACAGGCCCAGTGTAATGTTAGCACGTGGCCTAAGGATGCTAGTAGTGGAAATACAGTAATGACAAGAGTGCTTTGTGGATAAAGGGGTGAACCTAGATGGGTCAGAGGGAAAGAGATTGTCCCCTCCTTGGGTGGAAGGCTTAAGGTCAGACTTCTTAATTTTAAACGAAACTATATGGCCTACAGTGTTGTGAACTCTTTGCAACTTTATTTCAATCTCACGGTATTTGGTGTTTATCATAAAGCCCCAGGTCCTGTTAATAACGTAATCTTGAGAGAATCTCAGCTTTCATTTAAAAATAAGTACGTTTCCAACCCCCATGGTTGCAGAGAAAAACTCAGAAATATGACTTGTGTGTAACCTAAGGGCTCAAGAACAAACAAACAAACACCCCCCTCAATTTTCTAGAGCCAGTCATGATTTTTTTTGTCTATGACTCACTTTTTGAACATTTGGTGTTGGCAATACTGGATATAGTCTTCCCCAAGAGCCTGCAAATATCCCCTCTCTCTTTCTCACTACATTTTATATAATGTGTCTGCACGTAAAGAAAGGCTGATTTCCCTCCCTCTTACACCACTTTTACACAGGTGTAGCTCCAGTGACTTCAGTGGAGTTATTCCTGATTTCCACCAGTGTAAGTGGGAAGATAATTAAGGCCTACAACGTTGAGAGGATATCAGAGGCAGGGGGTTGAGAGAGCTGAATCATACGGCCACTGAATTCTGAACTAATTTCAGAGATTTTTGGCTGGTCAGCTTTCCACCTGTCAAGATTTGAGAAGATATCTGCATAGTCTGGAGGCATTAATTACCTTGATTACAGTTGTGACCATATTTGCCTTCAATACATTTCTCACAGGCGGTTCCATTAAACCCCTCTTCACATTCACACACGCCTGTGCCATTAACACCATCCAAGCAGATGCCATTTCCAAAGCAGGCATTTCCACTTTTCCCTGGACAGGGCTGGCACTGTTGACCAAAGAAACCGGCACAGCATTCTCTGGTCTGAAATGGAGAAACAACATAACAAAGGCTAGAACGGAGGCTTTAAAGCCACTTTCCTGTGTAGGAGATGGTGCAGAGCCACACTGCTTCAGCAGAAGTGCCAAAGATCTCACTAGAGAAACACAATCTCTCCTGGGGCTGGTTCTTATGCATGGGCAGGTGAGCCATAGAGCAGACGACTTCGCCGAGCAGTGCATCAGATCTGTTCTATGGCTTGATGTGGAGAAGGCTGGGCCATGGCTCCACCTCTGACTGCTTCTTTTTCAGACTCTTGCTCCCTAGCGGGGAGCAAGCCCAGCTAGTTCCTGTGCTCCCCACAATGCAGAGAGTGTAGGGCTTGCTACTGCAAGAAGTTTCAAAGAGTTACTGTTCTCTAACCTCTGCTCCCCTTCCCCATCCATGCACAGCCCCCCCACTGTTGAACTACTTTCTATTCTGAAAAATGTCACAATTGGATGGCTTGCCATTTTCAAAACTGGTTTTTCCAATTTTTAAATTAAAATCTCTATTATTTTTGTGAAAAATTTTGTTTTAATCTAAACAGCATTTTTTGACAGAAAACTTTCAATGAAAATTTTTCAACCTGCCCTATTAATCTGATCCTTCTGATCACTCACCGTAACTGGAAGCTATTCTGATAAAGAGGCCTACTCAGAAAGTCATTAAACCTGGGACTGCCTTTTTGTACTGTGTTTGTACAGCATCTGGCACAATGGGGTCCTGGACCATGAGTGGCGCTCCTAAGGGCCACCACAAAACACATAATAAATAACAATAATGAATAATAATACTTACAATGATAGTTTTAATACACTTTGGCTGGCATCCAATGTGAATGGATGTCCTTCCCATAAAGTTTTCAGTATAGATGCAATATTTCTTCTCTCCTAGCTGTACAAAAGTTGGCAAGACAACTGCTTCAGTGTTTGATATCACACAACTATTTTTAGACATTTAAAAACGGTGTCAACTTTGTGTAAACAATATACTCTGTACATCCGTAAACAGTCAGCCCCCGTTGGTAAATATGTTCATAGCATATGCTAAGAAAATATTCTCCGATGCAAAAATAAAGTAGGCAAACAGATAATCAGCTAAATAATTTACAGTTAACTTAGCCAAGTGCCACTGAGCAAACCACTTCAATTTAAAACTAGTCACCTTTGTCCAAAATTTGAACTGAAGCTTTTTAGAAATTTGAAAAATATGATTTCTTCAGTTCTTTATTTTTCTTTTCTGGTACTTTTCTGCACTTCCTAGTTGTTTCTGAAAAAGGGTGTGTCAAAATACTGTGAAAATGGCTGTTTTTACATTATTCTCAGCCTGAACAGAAGCAGGATATGCTATAAATCTTGGGAAAGCCTGTTCTCATAAGACAGCCAGCCTAATTTTGTAGTCCCAAATTCAGATAAACATCCAGTCATCTGGGTATTTTTTAGAACTGAAGTGCCAAAATTCTTGAAGTTTGTCCATCATTATTTTAGTAGGGCTTTGCTAACCAATTATCTGAATAAAGTGGAGGGAAGTTTACAGTAATTATGTAGACTTTTGTAATCACATTACTGACATAATTATTTGCCCTTAATAATAATAAGAAGAAGAAGAAGAAGAAAGAAGAAAAGGTATATAGCAAAATCTTCTCATACTTAATCTAGATTCCTTAAATCAACCCAGTTTTAACTTAATCCTAAAGAGGAGTCTGCCCGTAAATAAAATCCAAGGATGATATAACTCCTAGTGACTATTTGGCTTCCTGAGGATATTATCTTGCCACTGACCTATCCTCACTGGCCAGAAAATGAAATGTCTATGAAACAGATATCTGGGAGATGGAAAAGAAAAAGAATCCTCATTAAATGTTCAAAACACACTATAACATTAATCCCTCACCTAACACCAGATCATGTGCCCCTTTGCTCATGACACAAATGGGCCCCAAAGCTGCCCAATAAGGCTTTCTTTTGCATAGATGATTCCCCAGCTGGCACAGAGGCAGTATAGTGGGCTCTCTTCTATTCCCAGTCTCCCACCCAATGTAGGGACTGGGAGGGACCCTGGCCAGAGCACTTTGCTTTGTAGCCGGCACTGTTTAGAGCAGTCTTGAGAATGCTCTAATGTATGCCAGGGCCTGAACTGGCTCGGGGATTGGGGGAGCATAAAGATGTCTTTAAATTACCTTGTTCCCACCCTCCTGGGGAGCTGAGGCAAGAATGGCTCAGTTGGACTCAAGGGCTGTTGAGTCTGAATAATTTAAATAAATGTAATAGACCAAATTCACTGAGGTAACTCCATTGAAATTAATGGGTTTCCACATGGGATAAACTTGGCCCATTAAATCTCTCTCTGTATTTAGAGTTGACGATACAAACGATGTGCATTTAAGGTTAATTATAGAATACTTACAAATTCTTTAGTTCCAGGAGGGCAGCGTGATCGATATGAACACAGATTGCACTTTTCCTTGGCAAACACAGAGGGGTACACAGTTAAAGATTTATACTACTGTAGATAGCTTCAACCTATGTTTCTATTCCCAGCCCTTGGGGGAATCAGGAGATATAAAACAGTGAAAGATCATCACTTTGGAAAACTAAGCATTAGGGCTGTCGATTAATCGCAGTTAACTCACGTGGTTAACTCAAAAAATTAATCGCAATTAAAAAAATTAATCGGGATTAACTGCAGTTTTAATCGCACTGTTAAATGATATTTATTAAATATTTTGGATTTTTTTTACATTTTCATGTAGTATTCTGTGTTGTAATTGAAATCAAAGTGTGTAATATATTTTATTACAAATATTTGCACTGGAAAAATGATAAACAAAAGAAATAGTATTTTTCAATTCACTTCAAACAAGTACTGTAGTGCAATCTTTGTCTTGAAGTGCAACTCGCAAATGTAGATTTTTGTTGTTACGTAACTGCACTCAAAAACAAAATAATGTAAAACTTCAGAGCCTACAAGTCCACTCAGTCCTACATCTTGTTCAGCCAATCACTAAGACAAACAAGTTTGTTTACATTTACGGTAGATAATGCTGCCCACTTCTTATTTACAAGGTCACCAGAAAGTGAGAACAGGCATTTGCATGACACTTTTGTAGCCGGCATTGTAAGGTATTTACATGCCAGATATGCTAAACATTCATATGCCCCTTCATGCTTCGGCCACCATTCCAGAGGACATAGTTCCATGCTGATGATGCTCGTTAAAAAACTAATGCATTAATTAAATTTGTGACTGAACTCCTTGGGGGAGAATTGTATGTCCCCTGCTCTGTTTTACCCGCATTGTGCCATATATTTCATGTTATAGCAGTCTTGGATGATGACTCAGCACATGTTGTTTGTTTTAAGAATTAAGAACGCTTTCACTGCAGATCTGACAAAACACAAAGAAGGTACCAATGTGAGATTTTCTAAAAATTTCTAAAAAAAAGCACTCGACCCAAGGTTTAAGAATCTGAAGTGCCTTCCAAAATCTGAGAGGGACGAGGTATGGAGCATGCTTTCAGAAATCTTAAAAGAGCAACACTCCTATGCGGAAACTACAGAACGCAAACCACTAAACAAGAAAATCAACCTTCTGCTGGTGGCATTTGACTCAGATAATGAAAATGAATGTGCATCGATCCTCACTGCTTTGAACTGTTATTGAACAGGACCCATCACCAGCATGGACGCATGTCCCCTGGAATGGTGGTTGAAGCATGAAGGGACATATGAATTTTTAGGTCATCTGACACGTAAATACCTTGCAGTGCCAGCTACAACAGTGCTATGTGAATGCCTGTTCTCATTTTCAGGTGACATTGTAAACAGAGCAGGCAGCATTATCTTCTACAAATGTAAACAAACTTGTTTGAGCAATTAGCTGAAGAAGAAGTAGGACTGAGTGGACTTGCAGGCTCTTAAATTTTACATTGTTTTATTTTTGAATGCAGGTTTTTTGTACATAATTCTAAATTTGTAAGTTCAATTTTCATGATAAAGAGATTGCACTACAGTACTTGTATAAGGTGAATTGAAAAATACTATTTCTTTTGTTTTTATATAGTGCAAATACTTGTAATCAAAAATAAATATAAAGTGAGCACTGTACACTCTGTATTCTGTGTTTTCATTGAAATCATTATATTTGAAAATGTAGAAAACATCCAAAATATTTAAATAAATAGTATTCTATTATTGTTGAACAGTGCAATTAATTGCAATTTTTTTAATCACGCGATTAATCATGATTAATTTTTTTAATCGCTTGACAGCCCTACGAAGCATCAAAGACTACCACTGCAGCTGGATTGTCCGGCAATGTAGGGCATACGTCACAGCAGGACTGTAGGGATTTCCCACAGGAAGAGTCCTACCAAAGAACTCTCATTGTGGAGAAGTGTAAAGGCTCTACAGGGCCAAAAGCCAAAGGAAATCCATCCCAAAGAGTTCCTCATAGCAATAACATTAGGGGACAGATCCTTGTCCTTGGCTCTGCCCCTGCATCCAACTCAGGCAGCACAAAGGTAATGGTGAGTTGCCTTAGCACAGGGGTGGCCAATCTGAGCCTGAGAAGGAGCCAGAATTTACCAGTGTACGTTGCCAAAGAGCCACAGTAATACATCAGCAGCCCCTTATCAGTCCCTGCTCCCCGCTCCCAGAGCCTCCTGCTTGATCAGCACCTTCTCCTCCCTCCCCGCACCTCCCGATCAGCTGTTTCGTGGCATGCAGGAGGCTCGGGGGTGGGGGGAGGAGTGAGGGCATGGCAGGCTCAGGGGAGGGGGTGGGAAGGGGTGGAGTGGGGGCAGGGCCTGTGGCAGGGCCAGGGGTTGAGCAGTGAGCACCCCCCAGCACACTGGAAAGTTGGCATCTGTAGCTCCAGCCCCAGAGTTGGTGCCTATACAAGGAGCCGCATATTAACTTCTGAAGAGCCGCATGTGGCTCCGGAGCCACTGGTCGGCCACCCCTGCCTTAGCAGGACAGCTAGGGATTCCCTTCTCACAGGGGAAATCCCTATTGGTGTAGAGCCAGCTATGCACATAAACCCTGCTTCAGCAAAGCACTTAAGCACAAAGTGTTAACTTTAAGCACATAGTAAAGACCACCCCTATTCAGCTATGCACATATTTAAGTACCATTGACTTCAAAGGGACATAAGGACATGCTTAAGTGCTTTGCTGAATCAGGGCCCTAGTTGCGGGAAGAGTTTTCTAGGGCAATCCAAGTGTCTATACCGAGGAATCCTGGTGTAAGATTGAGCAAAGGGAAATGTAGGCTACTAGGAAAATTTGCCTGACAGCAAAATATGCTTGTTTGTGCAATAATCTCCCAAGGCAAATAACAGAAGCACCAAAGCTTGAGTCACTTAAATTTGAACTGGAAAAAGCACAAATCTTGCATAGCAAAATGCCTTTTCCAAGTCTAATTTCTGTGCCATGTCAGCCTTAAGAACAAGCAAAGTGAACTGTCTGTGGGCTGTCCTATTTGCCTCTCCTGTAAGGAAACCATTGACTGCCAGCCCCATGGAAAACCACATCCTGTTCTTCAGAGGAAGGTAGAGCCAGTCCTTAATTTGTGCCAGGGCACCTCTAGGCTTGGGCAGTTCATAAGCCTCTGCACCTCTGGGCTTGCTGCATCAGTTATAAATGTAAAAAAATTGCTTGAGCCCTGTCACCTCTTTCATTACAAATTAAGCACTGGTCATTGCAATTTGTCAATCAGTCTGATCTATGTTAAGAACGCAATGGGAAGGAATGCCTTTGTTAGCGGTTAAGAATGGGAATGGCTGTGTGTAGAAGGAATCTACATCTCAGAATGGAAAATGGAACTTCTCTCCTGTAAAAAGTTTTGTTTGGAAGGTATTTTCATTAAGCAAAAGAGGACAAAACCCAATCCGTGTTTATTAAAGCGGTGGGTTAACTTGGGCCCATATCGATGTACTGAAATCTGGCGGGGATAGTGGGCTTACTGCTGTGATGTTGTTATTGTATTCAGGCTGTTAATATACTGAGTGTAGAATCAAAGTACTTTTTATATTCTATCAAAGCTACTGCAGGAGTTTGTTGTGGAAAATTCAAACATTTTTGACTGGTCAATACAATCCAGTATGTTCAATATGCCTTAGTTATATTTTCGTACAAACATCTATGACAAATTTTAAAGCACCAATCTCAAACAAGACACAACTTACAGTTGTAATCACAGTATCATTGATATCACATCTGTTCTTCTGGATTTCCAGAATTTTTCCCAGTCCATGGATAACCCCTTTGTCAGTTGCAATATTTGTGTAATTTATAGGTGCTTCATTTATGTACAACTGTAAAGGAAATGCAGTCCATTAAAATACAGTAGATCAGCTGAACTGCACAGCAGTAGTACTGACTTGACACAGGAAATAGACTCAGCTGGGGGGCTATAACAAAAAATATTGCCCAAGGAGGTCCCAGACTGAAAGAGTGCTCTGGAGTGGTGATGGAAGAAAGAAGGAACAGCATAACATCTTCAGTTCTTCAAACCATCCCTATTCATCAAATCAACTAAGAACATGATCAGGTTTATGCATATGCTCGTGTCCCGTTGATGTACTTGAGTGCTTTGCTGAACTGGGGCCTGTGATGGGGTGTACGTACCCTGGCCTGGGCCGGAAGGAATCAACACCACACTATGGGCAGAGGAAGTCCCGCTCCTCAGCCCGTACTCGGCATGCTCCAAGTGCTATGCCAGTATAAAAGGGAGCGGCCCAGCTCAGTCCGGACTGAGCACCGGAGAGGGAGGACCTTTGGTGGCGTCTCCAGCTGAGGAACCATCACAGCCCTTGCTTGAGGGAGCTGGAGATCCTGAGAACCGGACTGGAGATCTGTGGCCAATGGGAATTACCCATGCTGAGGAGTCTGGAGACCCTGATATCCCATGGACTACAGCTTTAGGAAGCATGATAGGAAGTGACCCAGGGAGGGTGGGCGAGGGGTATCTTCCACCCATGTGAAGTTTGCGTGTTTTGGTTGGATTCCCTGCTAACCCAGTGGCGGACCACTCCACCGCAGATAGGGCCCTGGGCTGGGGCCTGGTGGAGTTGGGTGGGCCTGTGCCCCACTACCCAGGCCGCCATCCCCCTAGTGGTGGCCCCTTGGGTATTGGCCTCTAGGCCATAGTGCCCTGTATCTGGGGGCTGTTATATTGATTCTGGCCACTAGGCCACACTGCCTTGTATCTGAGGGCTGTTATATTGTGTCTGGCCACTAGGCCACAATGCCCTGAACACAAAGGCCGCTGTATTGACTCTGGCCTCTAGGCCATGTTGTCCTGAACGCAAGGGCCGCTGTATTGACTCTGGCCTTTAGGCCACACTGCCCTGAACACAAGGGCTGCTGTATTGACGCTGGTCAGTAGGTCACGCTGCCCTGAACACAAGGGCTGCTGTATTGACGCTGGTCCCTAGGTCACGCAGCTCCAGACCCAAGGACCACTGCTTTCACTTTGACTCTTGGACCTCAGTGTGGTGAGGTCCGAGACAGTCAGGTAGACAATAACCTCAGTGTCGTCACACCCACTATCTACCCTGGTAGGGGATGGGGTGTGTCTACACTGCCACAGGGCTATATACTGTGACTAGAGAATAGGACCAGGAGCAAGGAGGTCTGGGTTGTTTTTCTGGTTTTGCCACGGATTTGGGCAGGTCCTGCCCCTTAGGTTCCTCATGAACATAAGGGTATTGTGAGGGTAAATTCACTAATACTGCAAAATGCTTTGAGCTCCTGGGATGAAAGGGGTTATAAAAACTACAAATCAATACTACTACTATTTTTAAAATTAAAAGAGAATTTCCAGAAAAGCTGTTAGAAATAGGATTAATGATTGCTTTGCAATGCAGGTCTCTAGCCACCAGATGTGTGAGACCATCATATTGTCTTGTAAAATCAGAAGCTAAATCTGAACAGCATAATTTAAATCCTGTCAAAGGTCCCTTCCAGTGTGACTTTGAATTAAGCAGGCTTTGTCTAGACCAGGGTTGGGCGAACTTTTTGGACCGAGGGCCACATCTGGGTGGGGAAATTGTATGCAGGGTCGGGGCAGGGGGTTGGGGTGTGGGAGGGAGTGCGGGGTGTGGAAGGGGGTGCGGTGTGCAGGAACAGGCTCAGGGCAAGGGATTGGGACAGAGGAGGGCTGTGGAGTGTATGAGGGGCTCAGGGAAGGGGATTGGGGTGCAAGAGGGGTGCAGAGTGCAGAAGGGGACTCAGGGCAGCGGTGCAGGAGGGGTGCGGACTGCAGGAGGGAGCTCAGGGCAGGGGGTTGGGGTGCAGGAGGGGTGCGGGGTGTGACAGGGCGCTCAGGGCATGGAGTTGGGGTACAGGAGGGGTGCAAGGTCCAGCAGGGGGCTCAGGGCAGGGGGTTGGGGTGCACAGGGGTGCAGGGTGCAGCAGGGGGCTCAGGACAGGGAGTTGGGGTGCAGGAGGGATGCGAGGTGCATGCAGGGGGCTTAGGGCAGGGAGTTGGGGGGCGGGGTGAAGAAGGGGTTTGGCCTCCGGCCCAGCGCTGCTTATCTAAAGCGGCTCCGGGGTGGCAGCAGCATGCACCAGGACCAGGGCAGGCTCCTTGCATGCATGCCCTGGCCCCACGCCGTGCCTCTCTGGGAAGCGGCCAGCACCATGTCCCTGTGTGCCCCCAGGGGGGGCATAGGGCTCCGTGCGCTGTCCTTGCCACGCCTCCAGGTACCTCCCCCGAAGCTCCCATTGGCCGCGGTTCCCCATTCCCGGCCAATGGGAGCTGCGGGGGGGCGGTGCCTGGAGGCAAAGACAATGCACGGAGCCCTCTGCCCCCCTCCCCGGGGCCCCAGGGAGGTGGTGCTGGCCACTTCTGAGAGTGGCGCGGGGCCTGCGGCACCACAGGGGGCAATCCCGCGGGCCGGATCCAAAGCCCTGAGGGGCTGGATCTGGCCGCGGGCCGTAGTTTGCCCACCCCTGGTCTAGACTGTCTGGAGACTCAACAGTATATTTGAATGGGATCTCTTGTAATATTAAGGTGTCAGAAGGCAACAATGAGTCAATAGCTCTTGTTGCCTGCATTTCAATTTAAGATAGAAGTTTCATTCCTGTAGTGAAGAAAACATGTTTCTACATTTAAACACAGACAGTAGCACCTGGCCGTTGTGCAGAAAGAATCCCACTTGATAGGAAAACCCAAGCATGGTCTCCCTGTGCATGCCGTTGTGCATGTCGTTCTTCAAGAGCTTTTCCTCCAACACAATGTGATATCGGATTTGGTCCTCGTCCTGCAAGACACGGGGGGTAAGCCAGTGACGTGCTGCCAACGTTTTAACAAAGGTGCCCTCACTAAATGTTCAGCTTAGTCGGCAACGGTTTGGGTGAAATATTTCTCTCATCCCCCAATGAGTTACATAGCACAGCATATTGTTTGCAGTGTTGTTGTAGCCTAGTTGGTCCCAGAATATTAGAGACACACAGTGGGTGAGGTAATATCTTAATAATTAATAGGTAAGTTGGTGCATTCAAAGATATTATCTCCTTTACCTCGTCTCTCTAATAACAAAGCACAGACATGTAGACAGGTTATGGGCCCTTATGCTGGGGACAAAGCCACTTACTGACTACCAGGGTTTAGGAAGAAACTTCCCCATGGGCAGGTTATTCCATATTGTCTATTATGGAGTTTGTTGTACTTTCTCCTTCAGCATCTGGTATTGGCCACTGGTGGAAGCAAACTACTCTAGTCTGAGCCACTATGGCAATTGCTATATTTCTGTGCATAGGGCTGGCCGATGGATTTTGGAGAGAGTTAGCAAGATTGATTGTTGGGCTACATCCCAATCTTAACTAATTCATTTTACATAAAATCCTGCATGTTGAGGAGCTCTCTATAGAATCATAGAAATGTAGGGCTGGAAGAGACCTCAAAGTCATCAAGTCCAGCCCCCTGTGCTGAGGCAGGACCAAGTAAACCTAAACCAGTGGTTCTCAAACTTTTGCATTGGTTACCCTTTTCATACAGCAAACCTGAGTGAGACACCCCCCCCCTTATAAATTAAAAACACAATTTTTATGTTTAACGCTATTATAAATGCTGGAGGCAAAGCATAGTTTGAGGGTGGAGGCTGAAGCTTACGACCCTCCCCCTTCATAATAAGTTTGGGACCCCCTGAGAGGTCACAACCTCCAGTTTGAGAACCCCTAACTTAGACCATTCCTGACAGATGTATATCCAACCTGTTCTTAAAAATCTCCAATGACAGGGATTCCACAACCAACTTTGGAAGCCTATTCCAGTGCGTAACTCTCCTGATAATTAGAAAGAATTCTTTTGCGTAGAATAAAGAATAAATGGACACAAATCTGACATCAGGAATCATAACATTCAACAACCAGTAGGAGAACACTTCAGTCTCTCTGGTCACTCAATAACAGACCTCAAAGTGGCAATTCTTCAACAAAAAAACTTCAAAAACAGACTCCAACGTGAAACTGCAGAACTGGAATTAACTAGATACCATCAGATTAGGCCTGAATAAAGACTGGGAGTGGTTGGATCATTACAAAACCTAAACTTAATTTCCCCAATACTAATTTCTCCCTACTCACACCTTCTTGTCAACTGTCTGTAATGGGCCACTCTCTTACCACTTCAAAAGTTATTTTTCCTCCCTTGGTATCCTGCTGTTAATTGATTTAACTCGTTAGACTGACCTCACACTTGGTAAAGCAACTCCCCATCCTTTCATGTATTTATACCAGCTCCTGTATTTTCACTCCATGGATACGATGAAGTGGGTTCTAGCCCACAAAAGCTTATGCCCAAATAAATTTGTTAGTCTCTAAGGTGCCACAAGGACTCCTCATTGTTTTTGCTGATACACAGACTAATACGGATACCACTCTGAAATCTGATTTTAAAATGGTTTTTGTGTGTCTTCAGGTCTTTTCCCATCTTGCTGGAGTTACTTTGTAACATACATTTTGTATGGTCAGGAATGCTTTGTTTTAGTGGCCTGTTCTGCTTGCAATGGACTTGTGGGATCAGGGGAATAATTTTCAAGAGCACCTGAGTCTACATCTACATTGCAAATAAGGATGAGTGGCAGCATGTCTCAGCCCAGGTCCACTGACTCAGGCTCATGCTATGGGGCTAAAAATAGCAGTGTAAAAGTTCTGGCTCTGAAACCCAGCGAGGGGGAAGGGTCTCAGAACCTGGGCTCCAGCCTGAGTGGGGAAATCTACAGTGCTATTGTTAGCCCTGTAGCATGAGCACCACAAGCCCAAGTCAGTTGATCCAGGCTCTGAGATTTTTTTCTTTTTCTTTTTGCAGCATAGATGTATCCTAAGGGACTTAAGAGCCTAATTCCCATTTGAACGTCTTACTTTAGATGTTCCACTTTTAGCAAGCCTGTTTTGTTTTTCAGGAAGCCAATCTATTTTTAACTCTGCTGTCACCTGCCCAGAAGGCCAATATATGTGGAACATGTTTAGAATGTTCTTCCAATTTACATCTTAAAATTCATGTCATGTCATGCTCTTTAGGTCTTTCAGAGATTCACTCTAGTGAAAGAAATGACTCCAAACTATGACATTTGTAAATTTCGCTATGTCACTTGGCTTTTTTTCATGCAGTAATGTAGTTTCCACTTTGAATTCCCACTGGGTAGAAGTCCTACTGTTTCGTTTTCAGATATCTGATCTCCCTTAACTGGGCACTTGGGATGGGAACATTAAATCTCACTCATCATCATTTAAAATGTAGGGAGATATTTCCTGCCACCTATCACCAGCAGGCTGAGAAATACCCCTCCTGACCAATGTTCTGTTTGGGCCAAATTTTGCTCCCACTGAAATCAAGGATTGGGCCCTGTGACTGCTCCAAACTCCTCCCTCTAAGGTAGCGCTTCTATAAAATGGGAAAAGGTCAGGCAGAGCTAGCCCTCTGACCACTTCCTGTTTCTGCCTTTCAGGGAGCCGCACCTCAAACACAGGCAATCAGTGACTGTGGCCAAGAGGAGCCCCACTGGAAAATTGCAGGTACAATATATAGTGGCAGAAAAGCAAGAAATGAAACCTCCATATGACTGAATAAATAATAGGAAAAGATGAGGGATACATAGAAAGCAAAAGCCTGATCTAGTGTGTGCACCTACCAGTCACTGCTTGCTCTTGGTTTAATTACCTTTTAAAGAAGGGCCAAAATTAAAACCATTTTTCCACTAACCCATTCTTAACCCAAATTTCAAGGTGCAGTTACAGTGGGGATTCAGCTGCTAAACATCTGTTTCTGCAGTACCAAAGCCTGATAGACTGGCTTTTGAAAACCGAAATCATCCACAGCATTGCCCAACTCTACTTTCTATTCAATTTAAAAGAAGAAACTTAATAGACCACCCATTAAGCTTTTTACATTCTGAAAGTTTGATCCTGGAAATACCTGTGTGTGAGTTGACTTAGGCAGGGCAGCTCAGCTGAGCTTAGTTTCATTCATGAGCGTTGCAGACTCACACTACCAACTTATGTCAGTACACCACCACCACTCAGGGGTGTGGAAAATCTACACCCCTGAGTGATGCGGTTATACTGACTTAACTCCTGGCATAGACAGCTTTATGTTGACAGGAGGGCTTCTCCTGTTGACATAACTATTGCCTCTTGGGGAGGTGAAGTACCTCTGCTGACAACAGGAGATGTTCTCTTGTCTGTGTAGGTAGTGTCTTCATAGCTGCAGCACTGTAAGTGTAGACAAGCCCTTAGGCCTGAACTCTGTGAGGCTGAAGGTCTTGATGTTGCTGTCCATGTCTAGCTGCATTGTCATATAGTTAACTAACATTTTTAAAACCAGGTTCAGTTTTCCAAGTGAAAAGGCAGCTCTCAAGGGATACCCGTTCAAATGCTCATTATGGATTTTTCCAGGAAGATGATATAGAAATAACAACATTGTATCATTAGAGAACTAAAATAGTATTGGCACAGTTTTTCAGGAGGTTGACGTTCATGAACAAAAAAGGTAGTGTTGCCTAGCAGATAGATTACTAGACCAGGGCTTAGGAGATCTAGGTTCTATTCTTGGCTCTGCTGCTGGCCTGCTGGGTGACCTCAGGTAAATCACTTCACTTCTTTGTGTCTCAGTTTCCCCATTTGCAAAACAAGCATAATGATATCGCCTTTGTAAAGTGCTTTGAGATCCACTGAGGAAAAGCATTACTAATAACATTATACCTGTTATTTTCAAGTAGAAATGGACAAAACCCAAGAATGATAATTAGAACTTCCCATGATTTGGGGGAGAATAGCTCATGAACCCATCCCCACCTGCCTCTTTTGGTTTTAAGCCAACTTGACTGACTTTTTACAAAACCCAGACCCTGCTGTTTTATTCATTTTATTGTCATCCATTCTGTGGAGCACTAGCAGTTTTGAAACTGAAAAGTTTCAGCTGATAAGACAAGACTTGTGTATAATACATACCAGAGTGGCAGACTTTTTATTCCTGAGGTAACTTTCAATTGCATCATTATTTGGGGCAAAAACTGTGTAAGTGTTAGCTGCTTCTATTTCACTTGCCAGCCTATATTGCTGTTGTGGAAAGACATAAAAAAACAAAACAACACCTTGTAATGATATTCTGCTACCAGCCCAAACACACATAGTCTAGAGAACTACTTGTATTCTTAAAATAGCATGAATACTTGCAATAACATAACCCCTGAAAATGGAGTAATCAGGCATCTGTTCTAAGCGGGCCAGCAGTTTTGGCAATGTGCCACTCAGACCTCTGAGTGGTGTTAGAACCTGAAATCAAAGCATACAAACAATGTCAATATATTGACATATACCATGCTTGCAGCTGCAAGGACTGGAAATAGAATAAACTGATGTACCATACAATATTTTTCCACAGCTGTTGGCTGTTTCCCCATCCAATTTGTATTGCCTTGCTCAGGAGGCAAAGGAATAGAGAGCAGGGTGCTAACTTTTTAATTACATGGTGATGTACCTTATCAATAACATGGATGATTCCATTCGTGGCTGCAATATCACCAACGACAATGTTAGCTCCTTCAATAGTGATGTTCTGGAAAGAAAAGGACTAGGGTTTACTTTTAATCACAGTTACACCAGTTTGCTGATTGTGTGCAGCAGACTTCCACCTGTCTAACTGTTTACATAGAGCTAGATTGTATCCTTATCTAACGTGGTCAAGCAAGGTGCCTGGGAGACAGTAAGCATTCCTCCCCCGGCCTAGGCATTGTTAGGGCTCCCCAGATCCACAGTCCTGGAGCACAGGGGCTGCACCCCTGATGATTTGCTCTGAGGAAACTGGTTGGGGAATAGGTGGCATTGTGGTTCTGTCTTCCCCACTAGAGCTGGGTGAAATTTTTCAGATGAATAGTTGACAAAAATGCAGTTTGTTACCCTGAAACTGGTCACCAATTGACACAAATAGCTTTGGCCAATCACAGAATGACTGGAAAAAGAGGGAGGTGGGTCAGTACTGGTGCTTCCACTGTTGGCCCCTGGTAATATTTAACCCAGTGGTTTGGGTACTTGCCTGGCATGTGGGAGACCTGGGTTTGGATCCCTGATCTAAAACCAACTTTTATGATTCACCACAAATTCTGAAAAATTTCCCATTCGGTTCAGTCTAAATCATACTTTTTTTCCCCAGGTGTGTTTTGTTTTTGTTTGTTTGGACGTGACACTGAACTGAAAAGTCAGTTATTTGCCCAGCTCTGTTCTCTACATGCAGGCCAGCACAACTGACTAGCTGCATGGAGGCAGCATGCTGGCTTCTTTAAATAGGTGAAGTAAATTACTTACTTAAGGAGCCTCAGGAAGAATTGTGCTTCTGAGGCAGAACCTCCTGGTGCTTCTTTTGAGGTGGTGCACCGAGGCGCCGCTTCTCTTATTACGGCTTGCATGCTAAAAACACCATCTAGCCCTCAGTAATTTTGAGACGTCTGTGCATTCCCAAAGCTTCACTGGTCTAGTGGAACCTCTTCAACATGCTCCCCCAAAGAATACTCCTTCAAGGGACTAAATACTATGGAGTTCGCATAATTCCCAGAAACGTGTATAGATTCCTACAATAAATCAGCCAACTTCTGAAGGCTAGGTTGAGAGGTGGTCAAGGACACCTGGCTTCAGCTTATTTATCTTTAAAAATACTTTCAAATGATTTGGGACCATCAAGCTGTGCATGCAGTCAGCCAATGTAGTCGCATGGTATTGCTATTACCCTAATCCTCCCTCCCTCTCGCCTCCCAGTATTGTTTGTTATACTTGCTTGATATGTCTTGTGTTAAATTAGAGGGTAAACTCTTCAGGGTATGGATTGTGCTTTCCTATGTGTACCCCCCTTACAATGGGGCTCTGACCATTTAGGGTTTCTGTCTGCTACAACAATACCAATAATATACATATAAGAATTGATGAGTCACAGTCTGGCTGTCTAGATAAAGCAGTAGAGAAAACAGTACTTGTCAGAGAACCCAACAGTGAGAGAATGTTATAGAGAAATTATGTTAATGCCTATGTTATAGGCATCTTTAAATGTAAGCATATGCATGGGTATTGATATTATTATAGCACTACTGATGGACTGAGAGCAAAATGGGATTTCAAGCTGGCTGACAAGCGATCTTACCTCACTTTCTTTAGACAGATGCAGGAAATTGTTATGCAGAGATGTGGCCAGTGTGTCAGATGATAAATTCTGGAGGTCAGCAAGTCTATAAGCTCCCACTAATACATGATACCTAAAAGGAAATTCAGCTGGATTCTAATGTTTGTATTTTCTTACAGCTTGCAGATAAATAAACATGGCGTTTCAGACCACGGTTTCTAGGTCAGATTCTGCTTTGAGCTACGCTGGGGTAAAGTTGGGGTTGTTTGTTCAGTGCATAGCACAGTTGGGCCTTGGTCTCAGCTGCGGATCTAAACACCACAGTAATGATACAAATAATAAATAATTGTCTTCAATGGGATTACCATTTCAGTGTAAAAAAGGAGAATCTGACTCACTGTCTTTAAGGATGTAAAAGCTGCCTCGCTGTAATGAGTTCAAATCAAAATGATATTTGCATTGAAAACCAATTCATTTAAAGAATCAGATGCATCAAATATTAAAGAAAACATCAACGTACTTTAGTAGAGTTGCAATGTTAGTCTTTGACATCCAAAAGGCTTTCTCATCTTGATCCATGTTTTCAATTGCCCGAAGGGAAGGCACAAGGATGGTTAAATTTGAAGTCACTGACAGCACTGTGTTTATTGAAGCCTCCTGAATCAGAGTAAAATGTGTTATATTGTATATCCTAAGCTTATGTGTCATCAGGTGACCCTTTTAATAGGGTTCCGGACATGAGCTGTCCTGTGATTGGTGTGGGGAGGAAGAACCATTAAGTAGCCTAATGATTTGAACCAATGGCTACAAAGAGAGCTACAAAAAATGTGTGGAAAGCCAAAACAGTGAATTTTTGGTCCGCGTATGAAGAATAGAAACAATCTTAATAAGGATAGGAACCAATTTTAATATAACCATAAAAAACAAGTCAATCTACACAACTATTGTACTATGCCATTTATTTTATGTATTTGAATTAAAAAATATTTTGGTTACTACTGCTGCTTGATAATAGTTGCAACTGAAGTACCCATGAAGGGTAGGCAGAAGTATTTAAGAAACAGGATGAATAGAGTTAATAGCCATGAAATAGGTAATCTGCCTAATACAAGATTCACATGTGAAAGACTGGTTTCAGAGTAACAGCCGTGTTAGTCTGTATTCGCAAAAAGAAAAGGAGTACTTGTGGCACCTTAGAGACTAACCAGTTTATTTGAGCATAAGCTTTCGTGAAGGTGCCACAAGTACTCCTTTCCTTTATTTGAAAGACTGTACATTTAAGCAGAGATTTTTCCAAGAACCATAAGGGAGTTATGCATCTAACTCTCAATGAATTTCAATAGGATTTGGGAGCCTAATTCCCTTCAGGTGCTGTTGACAATCCCAGTTTTAACATAGGGCTGTAGGCTGCTAATGTTTGAGTATGCTAACTCGTGTTTCATTTAGCAGTGTTGGATCTTAGGCTGTGGAAGAAACTGGGGAGGAGAGATTAAGAGGATTAACCTCAGTATAACCTCTTTCTCATAAAACAAAACAAAATACCATCAGCACCATCAAAATTTGCTAATTTCACTCTTGTAAATTTCCATGGAGCAAGAGGTTCAGGTTTTGCCTTGCCCTAGCTTGTGTGCTGCCTGGAGACTGGCCATGGGCTCTTCCTAGTGCTCCTTCATCACTTTTGTCATTTCAGTGTCAAGAAAGGAGAATTGTGCAGAAACCAGTCCCTTGAAATAGCTGGGAATTGTATCTGCTAGTGTCATCTTTCAAGTCACCATTGCCACAAGCATCTGAGGGCCTCCCAAGTATTTAAAAATAGAGCTAACAATAACAATCTCCCTCTTCCTTCCTAGTCTGTAGGAAAAAACAGCATGCAGGTATGAAAATGTATAAACATGAACATTCCTGCTAGAGTATGAAGTTAAAAATATGCCCAGAAAAAGACCTCCCTGTTTGCTTGTCTTATCAAACACCATTTGATCCAGAGAGAGGTTTTCCCCTACCACCAAAACATCAGCATAGGAACATAGCTCAGGCAACCATAGGGCCTGATTCAAGGCCCACTGAAGTCAGTAGAAAGATTCCTACTGATTCTTATGGCTTTGGATCAGGCCCACAGTCTCTTTCTGTGCAATATGCACAGCTAGCAATAAGTATCTAAGGGCCAAGATCTGATTTGTACAAGCTCGGATAGTCACTGTGCTTTGATTTGCCAGTTCCTGCTTTTTATGAAACTATTTTGCAACTGAAAAGGATATGAGTAAAGACCGATGACAACTGGTGTCTTGTTAACCACTTCTAGATGGCTAGGATTCTTACTGTGTTGGAGTAAAATCTGAGGACAAACCTACTTCAAGAACCCTGTACTTCTTATCCTTTAACAGAATACTTGGCTTGTGTTTCAAGACAATGGAACTGAAAAAAATAAATATTAGGTGGTATGTGACCATGGGTGTGGCGTGGAGGAAAGACTGAAGGGAATGGGGGAGGCTAGGGATTTTGATAGGAGATAATTAAGACAATACATATAATTGATTTAAAGTATTTTTGGTAGGTTATTTAGATAGCTGTGATTATAACTACAACAGCGCCATGAACAATATCTATGTAATGGGAGAAGGAGCATCACACAAATATAAAGAATAGAACTTGCTACTCACCTGAGATGTTAAAATCATGGAAGTTGCACTGTCTCTTCTAATAGACAAGTGGGGAATGCGACACTATAGAACACCAGTTCTCAAACTGTGGGTCGGGACCCCAAAGTGGGTTGCGATCCTGTTTTAATGGGGTCGCCAGGCCTCGTGTTAGACTTGCTGAGGCCGGGGGCTGAAGGCTGAGCCCCATCACCTGGGGACAAAGCCCAAGGACTTCCACCCTGAGTGGCGGGGCTCGGACTTTGGCTTCTGCCCTGGGTGGCAGGGCTCGGGTTACAGGACCCCCGCTTGAGGCTGAAGGTGAAGCGCTTGGGCTTCGGCTTTGGCCCCCCTGCATGGAGGCGGGTCTCGGGGGTCACAGTACAATGATGTTTGAGAACCTCCTGCTATAGAAGAATATATTTTTTAACACTACAGTTCTTTAATTTTAAGAGGTGGAGTTTCTCTGAAGTAAAGCAGGAATGTCCATATCCCTATTTCAATAGGCTTTGTGGTCTGCTCCCCGCATAGTGTGTTCACTCTTCTCTTTCTCCCCTCTACCACCTGACAAGTTTTGTGCAAACCTAGCAGCACTTTCATAATACTTGACTCCTAATACATGACTACATGTACTTATTTCCGCTCTGGTTTTGTTGTTTTCTGTCTGTAAAATTGCCAATGGAATATGCTGCTGTTTGAGAACCTGAATCAAGCAGGCAGCCAGATAACTATTTTACAATTAGCCACATTATCCTCCAAGTCCTCTCGGCCATGATGGCTACACTAAATGTGACAATGGTTAGGCAGCTGGCGTGTTATGACTGCTGCTTGTCATACTGTTCCTAAGGGTCTGTCTGTTACCCTGTGCTTGCTCCATCTATTTGTTGTATCGACCAATTGTCTCTTGTCTTATATTTAGACTGTAAGCTCTTTGGAGTTGGAAGTGTCACATTACAGGAGTGATCTGGCAAATATGAATCCGTTTGTTTGGAACACTTCTCATTTTGTTCAAACAGGTGTTTCTAACCCTACTATACAGTCAGACATTCTACTGTGATTTATCTGCTCATTCATTTTCTATGGTTCAATCAAGTCAGTGCAGATGGTGGGTTCCTCCTCACTTGCTCTGACAGTCAGAATGATGACCACACACAGTTTAGGATTTTCATGCCATCCAGCACTGTGCAAATATGCAGGAGAAAGAATTCTTCTCCCATCCCCTTTGCTGTGGAGGCTACAGCAGCCATGGGTGCCACAGACCTTGTGCAGCCTTCTCACCAAGGGGCAGATAGGAGGACCTGCTCTGTGGTGAAATCTGATGTCATCTGCATGCCCATAGAGCTGAGCTCTGTATGCAGCCTCCCACCCCATATACCAGAACTGGTATTGGTTCCTCTGCCAGTGGAGCTTCTGCGTCTATTGAGATTGGAGCTGGAATTTGGCCTCAGTGCAGAAGAATTAGATGACCAGATTCTGCCCCGAAGTACACATATTCACCTGTTCATGTCAGTACAGATCTTGGACTATATTATTTGATGGGAACATCACTAGAGAGCCACGTTTCTATATATTAAAAGGATAGTATTTTCCTCAAACAAAAGTATACTCACATTAACCCACTGGTTAAATCCAGCTGCCTCTGACAGAGCAGACAACTCCTGATCCAATAAAGAGAAGAATGAATACAGTGGTTATTCATAAGACCTATATAAGTGGTCTGAGTTTCAGAGGTAATGAGCACCTACCTACAGCTGCTATTGCAATCTGTGGTGACACAGAATGTCTGTCCTGGGTGCTATTACATGGAGATGCAGGGGTTCAGTAGGCATACAGAATGAGGACAGTGGCAGTTGTATCATCAGCAATCAAACAGTAACATTTTCCTAGTACTATGGTACACTTTGGTTTCAGTGGGAGTTGTGAAAGCTCAACTCCTCTGAAAATCAGGCCACCTAATGCTTAAATATGCATGTGTCAATGACTTTATCATTTAATGTATAGGTGTCTAACTTTGGGCTAAACATTTTATCTCTAAATATTCAAGTACAAATCTTGTCTTAACTAAATCCCAAATAAATCAAAAGAGAATTCTTTGTTTTTGTGCTGTATGTACACCACCTAGCACGATGGGGTCACGGACCATGACTGGGACACCTAGGCACTATCGCAATATAAATTAAATGATAAAGTCATTAACACAGAGTTAATGTTGCCTGGTGATAGTCTGTGCCCTTCCAGAATGTTAAGTTCAGAAAAACTCAGACTTGTGGAAACAAAGAAATACTGAATTAAGGTTGTTTGCCCATTGTGACAAAGTTCCTGCTCTACCTTGGTGGGTCTTGCGCTTATTGACGGATTTGCTCGCTTTGGAGCTTCACAGCAGCCCTCAGTTTGGCCGTTTTTCTGAATTCATGGTCCAGGTTGACTCCTCCTGTGTCTGACCAGGAGTTGGGAGGATTTGGAGGGAACCCGGGCCCGCCCTCTACTCTGGGTTCCAGCCCAGAGCCCTGTGGAATGCAGCTGTCTAGAGTGCCTCCTGGAACAGCTGTGTGACAGCTACAACTCCCTGGGCTACTTCCCCATGGCCTCCTCCCAACACCTTCTTTATCCTCACCATAGGACCTTCCTCCTAGTGTCTGATAATGCTTGTACACCTCAGTCCTCCAACAGTCCGCGTTCTCACTATCAGCTCCTAGTGCCTCTTGCTCCCAGCTCCTCACACGCACACCACAAACTGAAGTGAGCTCCTTTTTAAAACCCAGGTGCCCTGATTAGCCTGCCTTAATTGTCTCCAGAAGGTTCCTGATTGTTTTGGAACCTTCCCTGTTACCTTACCCAGGGAAAAGGGACCTACTAAGCCTGGGGCTAATATATCTGCCTTCTATTACTCTCCTATAGCCATCTGGTTCGACCCTGCCACACCATGTAACCTTAACTCTGTCTTCTTTGAGTGTTGCCCCCATATCACCCATAATGTACTTTCTCATACTCTGCCTGTTCGCTGTAATGCACAGGCACTCCCTGCACTTGCTCTACACTCAGACATGGAGCCTACTCCAACAAAATACCACTGGCAAAATTTAACAGCCGCCTCAGACCCTTTTACAACCCCTTTACACGTGCACACAGGTTACTATCTAAATCTATACTTTCCCCCACTCATCATTAAATCCACAGACTGCTCTTCTATCCCACCTCACTATTGATAATACCCATGACAAGAAAAGCCCAGTGCCCTTCTGTTTGACATAATCCACACAATTCTGTATTGAAACCCTGCATCTCCATGTATTGTCACCCAGGATTGACATTTTAGGTCATCTCAGATTGCAGTGGGAGCTGTGGTTGCTCATTATAAAGAGACTGAGAGCAGGGCTCAGACACTCCCACAGAGGCAAGGCCCCCATATTCCAACTTACATGAGAGGGGCAGGGAGGGGGACTCAGACTTCTCTGACGGTGTAGGAGCCCCAAGATCTGGGCACACACTATCTGGAGCTCTCCCTATTCTCCTCCAGTCCACCTGCCACTCACCCCCATGTCCCTTTCCCAGTGTCCCTCCCCTATCCCCATTTATCCCTGCTCCCCTTGATATAGCCCCAAAACCCTCACTCCTATACCCCCACTCCTCCACCCCCTAAAATGCCCCTCCTGACAGTAAGCATTCTTACATCTAACTTTTGTTTTGTTACAAACATACTTTAAATGTATTCCTGCAAAATGCCTCCCTCCCAAAGGGGGGTAGATTTTTTTTATATGCCTTTCTGCCCTAGGCAGGGGCTGGAACTGTCATTAGCTGGGTGAGTTCAGGACAAAAGGCTTACTGCTTATCGCCTTGAACTATCCAGCTACAGAGAAAGCTTTCCACCTACAAAGCCTCTTAGCCTCCTTTTTTTGCACATGCTCAGTGTGATTTGTTTGGTGTTTGACCCTTACTCAAGAGCTTCACTGGAGAGCCAAACTCTTACTAAGAGTGTTTTGAATTTTGCTCCCCAAAAGGACTTGTTGGTGCTACACACGCTTGGACGGTAACGCTTAAGTGAGCGAGACCCTTATGTTTGATCTCCAGGCCTGGGCAAAAAAAAGATTATATATTTAGAAAAGCTGTTTATTTCAGGGGGCTGTATCTCAGGAATCCCTTGGTCAAATGACCTCAAATTTGGATCACTACCCATGCTCTGCACTCCCACAGGGCACACTACATTTCAAGGCAATCTATGTAACTGTGCAGATTTTACAGCACTAAGAAGAGTCATTCTTTACACACAATGGTCTTCTCAACCTTAACTATAGTGAAGCTAGTGCTCCATTATAATAAACATAACAACAATTAAAGACAAGTCAATTTTTAAAACTTTCTTTTTTGTAGTACTGATAGTGAGTGGAAATCCTTTAGGGTCATTTTCAGAAATGGGACAGTTTTAGTAGCCAAAGTGTACTGTAGTCCTAGAAAAACTATACTGCTATTCAGTTATGATTCCCCATTCCCAGGCAGCATGTTTACTGCAGACCTTCATCTTGAGTGTAATATCTCCCTAGACAGACATTTTGTTTTCCACCAACTGGAGAATGGAAGAGTTTTCAGGCTGTGTGTTGCCATTTCCAAGTAATGTGAAAGGCTGCAAAATTAACCGGATACTATAAATCCATTGGCAAACCTGCTGTAAATGTCTTTATGTTCTGTAATGGAGTCTTAGTCAGTAGTTTATTTGGTTTCTGTTCATTTCAGTGCTGAGACTGGGAACAGATTGGGCTATAAATGGTAATGCCAATCCCAGCTTCTTACTGCTGCCAGTTTAAAAAGAAAAGATAAAATAGCTGAGAAGATTGACACATACCTTTCCTTTTCCTATCCAGTTAAATAGTTGAAAATTTACCTTCACTAAATGACCTGTTTTGTTCTCCTATTTTATATATGATAAGTCGATCTCTGATCAAAACTGACAGGTTCAGATGAGACTAATTTTCAAGACCAGATTTTCATATAAATGGGGCATCCACAGCTCTCAATGACTTCAGTTGTATTTTGTGAAAATTAGGCTCTAATGCTGGCATTTTCAGAGGCTTAATGAAATCAGATGCCCAATTCCCTTAGGCCCTTTGAAAGTGCTAGCCTCTCTCTTTAAACACAGTATCTCATTTCTGGGATTTGCAAGGGTCTCAGGAGGCACGCTGTCTGCAGTCAGCACAGTTGTGCATTACATTGTTAGGGTTGTTCAGAAGTTACTTTACTGTCTCCCTGGCCAGCATTACAAAAAGAATCTGCAGTTGAACTTGCCCTTAGACAAAAGATCACTATCTTACTTACATCTGCTGCACTTCCATAGCATATGATGCCATTTCCTTCGTATCCCTTTGGACACACACAGTCCCAGACACCAGATGACACAAACTGACAAGTTGCCTTTAAAAAATGAGGGAGAGAAGATTTAATCTGTCAAAGAGCTGTGGATTCAAGAGATGTTGCTGATATAATATGCTTGCACATAATACAAGGCAATGCTGAGATGTGGCAAAGTTAAAATAGCTGAAAATCCCTTCATTGAGGCCCTCATTCAGTAAAGTATCCCTATTCTGGAAAGCACTTAAGCATGTTCTTAAGTCCCACTGAAATCAATAGGACTTAAATGCTTTCATGAATGGAAGAAACAAGGTGTGTGAGGTAATATCTTTTATTGGACCAACTTCTGTTGGTGAGAGAGACAAGCTCACCAACAGAAGTTGGTCCAATAAAAGATATTAGAAAGCTTTTCATCCAGCATACAAGAAAAAATACTTTACAATTTAGATAATCAGTCTCATGCCACAAATGATGAAAAGTTCAGAGAACGGTTAGTGAAAAACCTATAAACTGTCAAACAATTGTGAATTACAAAATCGTGCGCACCAAAGCTGTTTGCAGATAATTTAGGAATGGAAATGAAAGGCTAAATTGATCAGATAATTTATTGGCAATAAATAATCCAAACAGTTCTAAATTAAAAAAAAATCTCTTTATGCAATATAGCCTAACACATCTTGAAGAATCCCATAATGCCTGACTGAGCAGATACTTCTGGTCTGGAGAGAAGAAATTGTAGCGGCCATTAAGTATTTTAACTACTGTATCTGGGAAAAGCAAATTGGACCTTGATTTGAGACCCACAGAATAAATTGCATCATAGTAAACTTATGCACTGTGGATGGATGAGCAGGCCCTCCTGAAATTTGAGCCTATGGCTCCTGAGAGTCTATGTATTGTTAGACCAGATGATGAGACTACTAAGCCCCCTTTCTTTTGCCTTCTTTGAAAGGTGAATGGGATAACTGAACCCTGAACTAGCTATTGTAAGTAACCAAAAATAACTTGTTCTATGGTGTAGGGACTCAATGGATCTGCACCAATTTACAGCAGCAGAGAATTTGTCTCTGTATCTTCATGCTGTATTGCTGATATTCCAAAAAAACAAAACCAACCGTCTAGATATGTCAGAGAACATGGAGATCAACTTTCCAGTCTTCTTAACAGACCAAATTGTAGGGGCCTTACTCGATTATCACTCAGACTTCAGTTAGGGAAACTTTAATGGATCTCAGTGGAAAAACCTAGTAAGGATCTCAGGATCTATTTGGATATCAGCAATCCTTTCACCTGACACTGAAGGACATTTTTATGCACTCAACTGAGCTTTAAAGATCCTACAACATGAAGCTGCGACATGTTTGCTCTAGTGGAATGCCATTCATTCTCACACCCATGGAAGAAATATTATCCACTGATGCATACAGTAAAACAAATGTTATTTTAATATTTGTTCTGAGAATAATTAACTCACCAGATGATGGCACTTTCCATTTTGTTCCAAACAAGAGTTTATTGGTTCACATTCAATTCCATTCCCCCGAAATCCTTCCTTACATTCACAGTCATTCTACGATTCCAAACAAAACAAGGCAATAAAGTAAAACGATTAAAACATTGTAGATCTTCTAAACACTATGGATCAGATTTCCAGATGGTGTTTATCCATATAGCGCCACTGAATTCAATGGTGTGACACCAATTTACACCATCTGAGAATCTGTCCCTTTGTACTTTAAACCCACAAAGCGTTTGTGCTGAAACTCTGAACATGCTGTTGCATTTCCAACATTAATACCAGTAAGTTGAGGCCCAGCACATGGTGGAGCCCAAGTGTTTGATCTTTTGGCATCATTCATGGGGAGGGTGGTAGTCTCTCAGTGTGTCCTGCATGGATGTTTAAAAGAATTAGTGATTTAAAAACTATATACATATGTGCTCTAGAAATATCCTAGAGAGATAATCGGCATTCATGGATTGTGGATGGATTTTTTTTTTAAATTTTTCCTGAATAGCTGTAAATAACTAAAGAATAAAGTACAGTCCCTTTCAATAGAGAATTAATGTTGATAGATTTTTTCAGAAGAAGTGAGTTTTAAGGCAAGATTTAAAATGGAGAGAAGGGTACTCATTTGGGACATAAGACCATCAGATTTGAAGGGGCCTCCTGTATCATTGATTCCAGTCCCCTGCTATTGCAGTCAATCCCATCATATAATCAATCCCTTCATAAATTTATCAAGCTCCATTTGAAAACCACTTCAGTTTTTTGCCCCTACTCCTATGAGATGAGGAACACAAGATGTGGGAGGCTGTTCCAGGTGGGGTTGCATGGAAGAGGGCACATAGAGGGAGTGGGAGAAGACGTAGAAGGTAGTAGTTCGGGAGCAAACTTGGGCAGAACAGAATGAGGTAGAGGTAGTGCAGGAAGATATGAGCGAAACTTACCTGACCCGGCCCTACGTATATGCAGGTAGCATTGTCATGGCACCCTCTGAAATTTGGTAGCAGACAATTGTTGATCTCTGAGCAATCTCTTCCATTCCCACTCCATCCTGGCTGGCATACACATGTGTGAGTTCCAAGGCCTGTTTTAATACATTCTGCCTGTAGGGACATGACACAGTAAACAAATTTAATGGACACCAACCACCATTTTAAAATGGACAGCTCAGAAAAGGACATGCTGGAAAGGAGATGGAATCTTTGGCTATGACACTAGAGAACAAACTCTATTTTTTCCCCTTTAATATTTTCATAGAATTTTTTTTGTGCTGGACTTACAGCCCTGGAGGTTGACATCCCCCTTTGTCCATAGGAGACCGTGGTGGGCAGAAAGGTTCCCCCGCAATGCCATGTCAGTGTGTCTCACCCTGACTTGGAGGGGTGAAGGTCTCTCTTGACTGAATCAAATCTTCGACCTCTGAACTGATGCAATCAGCAAAGACGCCAATTAATGCCAGCCACTGTGGGTGTTATTATGTGGCTACCTGTGCACTGCTAACTATAATGCAACTAGCAACTTGTTTCACATAAGCTTCCAAACAGTCATCAGATGATAAGAAATAACCTTAGGTCACTAATAACTTGACCTCAATTTGATCTGACAATTTAAACATTGAAAATAGTTTTAAAATCCATTACTTAATCCCTTGAACTAGTTACGGGCTTCCTTGTAGTAGATCCTGCTCTGCCAACTCTAAAGAGGAAAAAGATCCCTCATTGCCATAGCTTTAGCTTCATTATGGAATGGGAGAGCATAGAGGCGTAGAGAGATTTCAATCCATGGGTCTACTGCTTTGAAGGAAGATTTTACTTTGGGTTATATTAAGAATGTCACAGAAGTCGCTAAAAAAGTTGTGTGGCATCCATCTTTGGGCACAATGACTATATAAGTCATAGCAATTTTCATAGCAAAGCAACTGTAAGGGCAAGAATTTTAATTATGGGAAGGATTTGAATTTGGTTGGAAATTCCGAATTTATATGTGCAAATGTTTCTTACTGGTATTCCTAGCCTTTCTTTAGATTTCCTCTAAACTAAGCAACTCCTTCTGTAAGAAATCATATACTTACATTGGTATTGCAACCACCTTGAACTAAACTAGCACAAGGATCTACTTCACTGCAGGTTGTTCCATCTCCCTCATATCCAGGTTTGCAGATGCAGCTATAAAAACAAGGTTTGATTAAATCATTTTGCATGATAGGACACTTGTAAAATTAAGCTGAATTGATTTTTGATAATTTTTTCCTTTAGCACATTGTCCAAATTACAGGCTGCTTAAAATGATTAGCTTTGGCTTTATTGAAGATACCACACCATTTCAAGTACATAGATGGTTAAGGGTGAATATCCGAAAAGCACACTGCCCAAAATTTTCAAAAGCACCGACATCCCATTTTCAAAAGTGACAAGTATTTAGCCTTTCTCATTGCAAGTTAATGAATTTAGGCTCCTAAGACATTTAGGCACTTTTGAAAATTAAACTTAGGTTCCTAAATTACTTTGACTCTTTTGACTGTAACCCTCTTACTTCTGCAATTTTACAAGCTCAAACATATTGATCTTAAGATCTGAAAAAGCTATGTATAATGTGTGGAAATGAGCACAGAACTGGGAATCAAACCACTGAGATCTAATCCCTGGTCTGCAATTGACTCACTGCATTGCTTTGGGTAGGTCCCTTCACTTTTCTGCCTCCTTTTCTCCCCCTATAAAATGAAAGGAACATGCACATACCACCTCATAGTATTATGATAAAGATTAATGTTTGTACAATAGTGTGAAGTGTTATCTTGAAACAAAAAATACCAGTCCTGGAGTTTGATTCTGAAAGTGTTATAGCACACCTAATATTACTTAGATATAACTACCTACCTCCTGGCACCATTACTAAGCTGACAATTTGCATGTGCATGACAGAATTGCACAAAAGGCCCACACGGAACTATCTGCTTATCACAGAGTTTCCCAGCATATCCACTTTTGCATGATCCAGCAAGGCAGATTCCATCACTACCTATCCTGTTATCACATTTCCCGTAAACACACAGGCATTCTGTAGGGGGAAAAATAAAACGTGAAATTAAACAATTGAAAAACAATTGTCCCTATATGGTATTTCTTAAATATTTCAGATTAGTTCTTTCTAAAATCTAAACACCTGTAATAATATTCTTCATATTTTTTATAGCACACTTGTCTGCCATTGGAATTTAAAGTTATCTATAGAAGCTGGTGAAGCAGGCACACCACATCATATCTTGGATTGAAAAAACTAAAATGATTACTTATAAACAGATCAAACAAAATCACTAAACTTTTACAAACTAAGGCCCTGATTCTGCAAAAATTTACCCACGTGCTTAACTTTATGCCCTATGAGCAGTTCTGTTGAAGTCACAGAACTACTCACAGTGCAAAAAGATAAACAAATGTGGATGAATTTACAGGATCAAGGCTCAAAAAGATCTTAATATTTTTTTAAAGTAGCTATGCTTCAGCCTCTGACCTCACATCATCTTATGGAAGGCCTAGTGGCCTCTTAGGCTATGTCTACACAGGGATAAAAAACGCACTGCTGGCCCGGGTCAGCTGACTCAGGCTGCGGGGTCCATATTTGCTGTGTAGACATTCCGGTTAGGGCTGGAGCCTGGGCTCTGGGACTTTTCTTTTTACTCTGGGCCCTACACTAACAGACACAGTAGTTATCTAGTAAGAATGATGTTTAAAGTGGATCTGAATCTGATTCCTACATAATCTTAAATATTTTCAGATTGTGGATTTTTTTTTCAAGACAGTGATTGTGTCTTCATATGTATGTAGATAGCTGCTATTACGTTTGTGAACAATTCCAGAATAGAAATACATGTTGAGGAGGAGGATTTTGTCTGTTTAGATAATTATGCAAGGAAGGCAGTCATGAAAAAGCAATTAACATAAGGCAATCTAAGTCTGATTCAAAGCCCAGTGAAGTCAATGGAAGCCTTTCCATTGACTTCAACGGGCTATGGATTAGGCCTTGTTGGAAACCATATGAAATTAACCCACCCCAAAGGCCTTTTACAGAGAGTATACCACTATCAGTTAGCTCTGATTGTAATACAAATAACGTTTTAGAAGACAACAGGTTATACACAGGGGAGGAGGGTGCAGCTATGCTTACTTTTGTCACACTGAGGGCCATATTTATCAGGGTCTGAACAGAACTGACAGTGGGATCCTTGAAATCCATCAGTACAAATACAAGTTCCATTTCCTTTCATTCCCTCCACACACTGCAACAAAGAAGATATAGGATTTATATAGGAATGTTAAAATAATCCTTTTTTGTTACTCCCTGCAGGAAAAGTTGTATAACTAACCTGGGCCTGTCTATACCATGATTGTAGCAGCGCCCTCTTTAGATGTAAGAAGAATCTCAACCTAATGATAAATATTTTTTCCAGTGGAAACTTTCCTCCAGCTTGTGTTTCTTCTCTGCTCCCATATGCCCATAATTCCATTCTCCTTCTCAATTGTAACTTTAAAATTATTATTTTGTTGTTGTTTTTTCCCCAGACAATCCTGGGCACCAGAGTGGGTCACTTAAAATCCCAACCATGCCCAATACAGTGTATTAAAACCACAGAATTGGATATTTTAGACAACTGGAGGGTTCCACCATCTTTCCCCTCTTATATCAGTGCACGACTCCCATATTGCCAACATAGATTAGCAGAGTGTGAACCTCCTGCAATATTTTCCACATCTGTTGTGTGCTAAAGGATCAAGGGAGTCTGGATGCTACCAAGCCCAGCCTGTCTCTACCCCCACATAAAAGTGCAAGATGCTGCTGGTTGCTCCATTTACCTGTCCATTTCCTGAGCAGGGTTTGGCAAATCCGCCTGGACACTGATTGCAGTCTGGCCCATAGAAGCCTTTGCAACACTTAGGTTCCTGTGAAGAAAAGCACATACTGCTGCATGGCATGTAACGTAACACTTTATTCCTCCATCTGAAGACCTGAGGGACAGACCAATCATTCAGGGCTAGACGGTGCAGCTCTGCACTGCGGTTGACCTGGAGTGACACTGTCCCAGCGTCAGCTGCAACCTGTCTCCCAAAGCTTCTTGGTGTGTGATGGACTGCACAAACTGCTATACTCCTCTAAGCTTTATGGCCATGTGGAGAAGGAGCTCTGACACAGACAACTGTCTGAGGCTCTGGGGTGCTGTGCACTCAAAAGGGCAGTGCCTGCACTCCTGAGATCAGGGACTGCAATTCTGCCCAGCCTACAGGTGGGCCATACACAGGGGTAGTCGCCTTACTTCCTCTTCACCTGCTTCACCCACAGACCTGCACCCAGATTTGGTCTAGCTACAACCTAGCCCTAAATAATTATTTCCTGTATCAAAATTTTTATTCAGGAATTGGGCTGCTATGCAGATTCATGAATATAAAAGCATGGAAACTGGCTAACTCACAGGGAAGCATGGGTCCAAAGGCCTCTCTTGTCTTAGAGATTTGCAGACCTTTTGCACCTAATATGTGTTATGAAACCCAGAAACCTAATTAGAAGGCCAGGAAAAAGGAATGTGGAAAATTAATGGTAATGAGTTGTGACTGACAATTTTTGTAAGGATTAGACATACCACAGGAGGCAAAATGTAGTAAAATCTTTGCAAGCATTTGGCTGTTCATTGCCACTGAGCAGCACATGAAGTCTTGGAAGAATAATGTATCCTACTAGTGTTGCTAATTGTCAAACTGTGCAGTCCTTCATAGAGACAGCCATAAGAATCAGTGAAAAGTGTTTGGGAGGTGTTGAGATTAAAAAGAGAGAGAACCTGAGTTATATAATATAAGAAAGTTCTAAACAGAAATGTGTGGCAGCTACAAAGCCTCACCAGGAGAGCTGAGGTAAACACGAAGAATGAAGAAGAGCTATTTCAGGTAGTACAAAGGGTAGTATATCAGAGAAGCTAAGTGTCTCTGGTTGGTACTCTTGCTCAAAGAACTAAGTTAAGAGGACCTTTAGATGCTGCACACATCCAAAAGTAAAATTAGCAAAAACCAACAGCAACATTTGGGCTGATTTCTATATAAGCCTTGTACAGTTTCTTACCTTTATTGTTACATTGCAGTACCTAGCACAGCCGGTTGTTGGATAGGACAGGGCTTCATAAATACATCTACGTCTTGAAAAAGCCTAGAACATAAATAAAACATAAACATATTTCCAGGTAGACATTCAATACTGCACTACAATCAAAATGTTAGGGAACAATTTAATTGAAGAACAGGAAATATCATCACATTGTTTGTTTTATTTTTTTCTATTGATACTTAAAAGGATATTTTGAGTTTTACTATAATGTGTATCTTCCTGAGTTTTTAATCTGTGGTTGGATCTTTACTATATTGTACATGGGATAGAGTGTTAAATACAAGTGAATTCTGATCTATGGACAACAAAATCTCTTGACAGCAACATGTGAGTTTTGTATATGGAAAAATACACCACCAGAAATGAAGATTAGTGCTTTTAAAGACAAAACAGATGAAGGCTTTCTACTGGTTCCAAAGCATGTGTACATGCATTATTATTATTATTATTTATTATTGATAATCGTAATAATCATGTTTATTATGGCAGTGTCTAAGGGCCAACCAAGAGAGGGATCTCGTGCTAGGCACCGTACAAACACACAATAATAGAAGATCCCTGCCCCAAAGAGTTTTCAGTTTAATTTGACAAGACAGACATAAAGTGGGGGAAGGGGTAGAGCACAGGGTGAACAATATAATGACAGAAAATGTCATGTTAGTTCCCTGATTTATTTTTGGCGGGGGCGGGGATGGGTTTACTTTGGAGGGGATCAGCTAAATGGGAAGGGAAGAGGTGTGAGAGGGACAGGGCTGGGGAGAAGAGTCCAAGAGAGGCAGGTGTGGACTGAAGCTGAGGTGGAGAGACTGATGAAGGAAGAGGATTGGTTCCAACAGCCAGTCATCATGGGGCAGAGAACATCCAGTCAAAACTAGAAAGTTCTCTGCGTGTCCAGAGGTCCCTGCTTTGGTGCCTTCTGCCCCTACTAGCTGGAGTCTCTGATAAGAAGGGAGGTACCACATTGGTCCTAGTGCCCCCACAGTGTGTGTGTGGGTTTCCTCTGTACAGTTCTGGGTCCAGGAGATTGCTGGGCCTCATTTTACCCCCTTCCCCCTCCGGCTGTAATTCCTGCTTTGGGTCCTTCTGCTCCTACTACTGGCTGGAGTCTCAGTTCCTTGGTACATCCTTCCCACCCAACCCCCAACCTCTCAGGTCATGTTGTGACATGAACAAGTGAAGGGTAGGAAACAGCACAGGCTAGGACAGTGTTTGACTGCATGTATTGCACATGGCATTAATTCTTTGGAGAGAAGCAAAGCATTGTTTTTGTGACTGAGAAGAAAGTTTTAACAGGTCTGGATATAGTGTAGTCTTAACCCTCCTTTATTTTTCACATACAAAATCTCAAAGCAGAGTCTACAGCAACTGTCCTCCCTTACTCCTTCCCTCCTCTAAAAGACAAAATAAAAACACCCCCCTCCTACATGGAATGCTACCCCAAGCATAGCTTCCGATACCCAAGATAGAAGAGTGGGAGACTCCATGAAATCTCCTAGGGCCTTTGCTATACCAATTTAATTAACCTGGGAGTTGCCCAAGTACTGCTGTGACAAGTATTAGTACAGAACTCTGAGACAGCTGACTCCCATAAAGCCCTAGTAAGCTGAATATTACTGATTTCCCAAAATGCTGAGTAGAAGAACTCAGTTATTGTTTGTACTGGGGAAAATCAATACAGAACATTGAATTTAAGTTTAAACAATACTATAGCCTGTTTGGCAGTATTTGTATAGGAAGGTCACTTACAATGGGCTTCGAGTCCCCTGGACAAGTGCTCCTGTAGAATACTGAACATTTTACACAGGTACCCTGAATGGAGACAGGACAGTAGTCACATTTTAGGAAGGCTATAGCGATGTCTGATAAACTTTATTCAATTATGTCATGATTTACAGAACACAGTAACAGCACCTGAACTGCGAATCCTCCCTCATCAAATCTCTAATGAACATTAATTTTTATCTTTTCAACCTTCCCCCTGCCTCCTTTCCCCGTCATCTTGCCCTTTCCCCATTCCTTTCTTTCCTGACCACTTTCTCTTGGAGAACTGGCATCTCCCTAAACTGGAGCGGTGAGCGACTGTTTCAGCAAATTCTCACACACACACACACAATGGGGCAGATTCTCAACCGGTGTTGATCTGCATAACTCATTGAAGCCAACGCCGACTTAATCCAACTGAGGATCTGGCCTAATTTGCATATTTCAATATTTATGAGTTGTTTTATGTAACTCATAGGAAGACAACCTTAGCAAACTAACTTGAGATCTATTTCATGCATATCCAGTGTGAAGAGAAAAAATATTTTCTCTGTATCCATATAATAAATCTTACATTGAGCCATAATCCAGCAATGATCATCACTCTTTTCTTATCACGTTTTAGCTCATTGTCACAAATGGTTAGTTTAGCATTGCCTGGCAATGACAGAGACTAACAGCTACAGTAGTGAGATGATTTAGAATCAACTGGCAGGTTTCAAGATGAGGAGTCATAAAAACTCAGCATCTACTAATGACGGTAGCTGTGTGAATAACTGAGTTTTTGGTTTGCTGACTGAACCCAAAATAATAATTATAATTAATAATAAAAACATTTTGGGTTGATCTAAAAAATTGTTTGATTTTTTTTTGTTGGATTAGAAAAGTCTAAAAAATTTTGTTTTGGGTTGAACAAAATATTTTGTTTTCGAGGGTTTCTTACCTTTTTAAAATTAAAATTAAGTAAAATTCAAAACAAAAGGTCATTTCAAATTGAAAAATGGAAACTTTTTTGGAAAATGTAGAAATGTTTCTATCTTTTCAGAATTATTATTTTTTAAACCAAAATAACTTGGATAACCAGATGTTTCAGTTGACACTGAATCTGCATTTTTTGTTGAAAAAGTTTTTTCTGAAAATTTTCTCCCAGCTTTAGTAAGTATAAGTAAGTACTGTCATCCTCACTATAGTGAGGATATAGAGTTTGTCAAGGCTTGAAAAGGGTTCCCTGGTTCCCACTTGCGTTAGACTATTCATGACTGATGATGTTACCCCTAGTCTCAGAAAGAAATTAGAATAATCTCTGAATGATGGTCCAAGATGTTTCATGTTTTCCATAATGTTTAAGAGCTTGATCTAAAGTAATTATGTCCACAGACTTCCCATTGGAGACAGTGGGAATTTTATTTGTGAAAGAACTGAGAATCAAGCCTTAAAATGTTCCATGTTTTGGATTTCCACATCTCCAATGTTATACAATGCACATAGGAACACAGGACCAGATTTACAAAGATATTTAGGATGCAGATAAGTGTCTAGTGTAATCTTTTTTTTTTAAAAGCTCCTAAGTGATTTAGATACCCAATTCACATTGAAAATCAGTGGGAGTTAGGCACCTTATCTGCTTAGGAACTTTTGTAAATCCCACTAACCCTTTGCCTTTGTAAATCTGGCCCATAGTTATTTAGAACACAATTCTTTCTAATGATACCAATATTTCAACTATTCAATGTCATACAATTCACCTATTTGCTCATTTCTCAGATAGGGCTTTGTCTTTGTTACAAGTCCAGACTTGGCTAACATGGCCTCCCTTGATGCTGACAGTGCTGTTAATTTGCACAACCTTCATGCTTCCTGAAATTCATGAAAGAACAGTTCCATGATTCATTTTGGCTCTCATGATATTAAAGTATGCCAGTTAGTGACTGGAATAGCACTGGAATGTCACCGTGGGTATGTATTCCAGGCTTTAAAATATTCAGATAACCAAGTGTGAATTCTGATGTGGTTCTAGAGCTGGACAAAAATTATTTTTTTGAAAATGCAGATTTGGGTTGACCCAAGCATTTCAGGAATTCACGTCAAATTTGGCAAATTGTTTCAGGCAGCGAAACAAACAGAAATTCTGAAAAGGTGTAAACATTTCATGTAGACATTTTTTAAATTAACCGTTTTGAAGTTAGAGAAGTCCATGGTAGACCCAAATACAGAAAACAGATATTCTGATACCCAGTCCAGAACGCAAATATCAGATGTAACAAAAGGTCGGAAGCTTTATTTTTGGTTACTTTTGTTTTAAAGCCAGAAAACTTAGTCACATAGATCCCCACCTTTATATTACTTATCGTTGTTGCAATGTGTGTTAATCAATGCGGGAAATGAATCCTACTCAGGTGAAAAGGTTTTGTTTAAGGAATTTGAAATACTAATGTATTTTAGGTGTTTCTCAATTTCCATGCCAGGAACTGTTGTGTGACATTGTGCCTGGTTTATGATTATACTGCACACATGGCACTTAGTTGTTATTACCATGGTTAATGGCTTTTTATCATCACCTCTTTCATTTCATTTCATTATAAATGGATGCTGTCCAGTACAGCTGAGGTTTTGCTTCAGAGTTGTGTTTTTGGATGGTTGTAAGTGAAGACTGTAATTGTTTTGCCATATTGTATCACTGTGTCAGAAATGTCTTTGGCCCAGATATGTACTTGAGTGTGATCCAAGAATAGATGATCAGAGCAACACCTATAGCAGACAAAAAGCTTTGTCTGACAGTTATTCTTCTCCTTACCAGATTATCACTGCTGCCAAGTGTACAAGCCCTATAATGTGCTACTCAAACTGAGTATGCTGTGGGGAACTCAATTATTTGAAATATGCAATAGTTTTTGTTTCCTAATCTGAAGAAATAAGGTGCAAAATGGAGCACAGACAAGTCCATATGTTGTATTTATTTAACTGTATTTTCTTCATGTGTCATAAAAAGAAAATGATTGATCTTAAATAGTTACCATGGGAACTAGAAGTGGCTACATACTGGTATAAGCACAAGTGGAACTCTGGGATGCAGATTGTTTGACTGGGAAGATAACTAATTTTAAAGGGTCGCTATAGAAACTGGATGAGAACTTGAGATGGGACGGGATGTGCTCACCTGAGGTTCTAGCTGGCAATTGACCTGTTTACATACTGTATTGTTGGCAGGGCTGTGTATTGTATCCAAAATGTTACCATACTTTATTGCTCATTTCTCTGATGTTGCAATAAAGAGGAGATTAAAGTACCATGCATGGAGTACTTAGTGGCTACAGTCTTAAACCTTGTTGTACGGGCTTTCCTTACCATTTTAATTTCACTCCTTCCCCCATCACATCTGTGTGGTAGAACAGGAACAATTGAGGGAGGAATAAGAACACCTGCAAGAGTATATATTCGACCATTTTTGGCAACGATATCTGTTTCTTCTGTTTCTTCACCATTCACCAAGATTTGTCCCTGCAAAATAAAAGAATCTGAAATTATCTTTGAAAACTACCACACCACTACCTCATAATGTTCTAATTTCATTATTTTTAGGCTATTGGCTGAACAAGAAGTAGGACTGAGTGGACTTGTAGGCTCTAAAGTTTTACATTGCTTTATTTTTTAATGCAGTTGTTTTTTGTACATAGTTCTACATCTGTAAGTTCAGCTTTCATGATAAAGAGATTGCACTACAGTACTTGTATTAAGTGAATTGAAAAATACTATTTTATTTTTACAGTGTAAATATTTATAATAAAAAGAAATATAAAGTGAGCACTGAACACTTTGTATTTTGTGTTGTAATTGAAATCAACATATTTGAAAATGTGGAAAACATCCAAAAATATTTATATAAATAGCATTCTGTTGTTGTTTAATGGTGCGATTAATCACGATTAATGTTTTTAATCGCTTGACAGCCCTATTTGTGATCCGTCCATGGTCATAGTGAAGCAGTGGAAGAACCAGGATTAGAATTCAGGAATTCCATCCATGCTCCTTGACCTTTGAACAGCCCTCTTTGCTAGTCTGCTTTGGTAAATTATTTATACAGATCTAATTTTCATCCATAACACAATTTTGGTTAATGCATGTGAACAACGCAAGGAAGTTTCATATATCAATTAGCTTGACTTACTAAAAGTATCTACAGTATTTTTTCTTTTAAATGTACTGCACACCAAAAGCATTTTCAAGAGACTAATTTATGGCTCCCTGATTAAAAGGCTGCATCTTGAACTAAGAGTATGAGCCGTCACTATATTTTTTTTAAAGTAGGTTAGCGATTAGAAGTTTACATAAGCTGGACTTTTTAATTTTGTTTCCACTTATTTAATTAGCAAAGATCTCAGGATTTGGCCTAAGTTTTCACTCAGTCTTTACTCATGTAAACTCCAGCTGAAATTGATGGGAATCTGCCTGATGAAATATTGAGAGTGAAAACTAACGGTAGATCTAGGCTAGGGGAGAGGTATGTTTTTAAACATGTTAGCTAACATATTATTAAACAAAATGTGGCGCCTAGTGTAGCCAGGGTTTAGTACCTTCAAAACCGTGTTGACTGGGTTCATCATGACCAGCTAAAACATTTTTAAAAAAGTGTTAAACCCAGTCTACACTTGGTGCTGCGAGATATTTAAAAATGTTAAATTAAAATATGTTAGTGGACACATTTTAAAAACACCCTTACTTTCCTCGACTGGACAGGGCTGAAGGAGGAGCTCAGGATTTGGCCCAGTCTTAAAAAAAATACTAAAAAAATGTGTAGAGCTTCCTGACAAACCCATCTGAACAATAATTTGTATTTTTTAAGTGTCTTTCATAGTGCTGAGCCCTGAAAGGCTCTGGGAGTGGAATGCTGTGAATTTTCCACTCACTTAGATGGGAAATTCCTTTGATCCCTTCCCAGTTCAACACTACAAAGTTTTGTTGCCATATCTAGGTTGTGGAAAAAATCCACACTTCTGATTGACATAGCTATGGCAGCAAAATCCCCCACATAGACTCAGCTATAAAGGGAAAAGAGCCCATTTGCCAGTATAGTTTGTCCTTCTGGAAGGTGGTTTAACTATACCATGAAAAGAACTCCTTTTGCTGGTGTAAGCTGTCTTCACTAGGAGGCTCTGCTGGTATAGCTATACCGGTATAGCTGCACTGGCAAAGCCTTTCTAGTGTAGATGAGCCTGAGGCTCAACAGGTTTTCACTTGCACCTAAAGTAACTGGATGAGTGGATCAGAGAGAAAAGTTCACCAGTAAAAAGTTGACTTCTCCTTGACTTACATTTCTGGTTGTGTTAAAATAGATGAACTGTCTAGCCATGGTCTTGACGTGATCTATGGAGATGAGACTGGCAACCTCCAACTGCAATGAGTAAAAGCGATTTAAAATAAACAAAGGAATGTGTGGTGGGGGTTTTAAGCTGACTGTCATCTGCTCTTCTCAGAAACAGATTGTTGAAAAAATGATGAAAGTGTATCATGAAGAAAGGGGGGTGAAATCCAGCTGGGGGCTGCCCTGATGCAGACCAGTACAGGGGGACCCCCATCTGGGACACTATATGCGTGGCCTGTACCGAGCTTATTAAGACTCCTCTCCCCAGCCTGGTGCAGAGGAAGCAGGGGCACCAGCAAGACAGGGGATGAGGCACCTTCGAACATGTGTGATGTCATGGGACTCTATGGTCTTCTGTTTTGACTCTGGTGGAAAAAGGGAAGAACCGGGGAACTTGTTTAGATATTGACAAACCCACGCCTTCTCAGTTTAAACCAGGCAGGTGTCAATCTTAATAGCATCGGTTCAGAGTCATATGTGCTTATTTTAGTGACAAAGATACGTTTGCCCTTCTTTTTATTCTTGTTAGCACTGCAGAGCCAACACAGCCAAATTATGTACCATCTCACATATTAGTAGTTTCGCAAGTTCCAGTTGCAAGATGTGATCCTGTCATTCATTGGATTATATCTTAGTGGCAAAAAAGGTGTATTTACATCAAAATACCTATCTTGATTTAAAATCCTAGAGTAGACAAGGCACAAGTAGTTTTTACCTTGATGTAGCTAGTTGAGGTCAATGCTAAGCACCCTATCCTGGGTTGTTGCTGACTAGCTATATCAGATAAAAACTACAGTACTGTGTCTCCATTAGGAGTTTACATTAAGTGGGGTGTTTCTATGTAAAAAAACACGCCTGTTTTGCAGTGAAGACAGTCTTACCCCGTGTGCTACCCAGTTGAATAACACTGAATGGAAACTGTGTTTAGAGCAACCTTTTGCTTTCAGCGATGCAGAATGTTTGAAATCACACTGCATGGCCAGAATGCTGCTTTCCTGGAGATAGCCTGAACAGTGACAGGACAGGACAGGACAGCCAAGCAGTTACACTAACCTGAGCATAAGAAACGATGTGGTATCGAACGAGCTCCAGACGTTTCCATGCACCCTGCACAAATGACCAAAGGACATTTTTAACCCAGTGCAGCCAGCACAAATCTGATCTGCTTTAATACAGCACTGACAAAATAAAGATATTTTTTATCATTTACATGAGTCTTGAAAATGTCTGTATTATTAGTGATGCTCCCTTGAAATCCAAACAGTGCTCTCCTCACTGCATCTAGTCTGTCCTAGAGTCTGTCTCATCTGGTCTGTGTCCTTGTGCATTCACCTGCATTTCCTTTTGGGAGCGACCCTTTTTTTGCTGTGCATTTCCTGCTAGATGTTCCCTAGGATCAGTGCGCAGAGGAAACCATCCTCCCCCTCCACCCCCGTGTTGATCTTCCCTTTCCACACAGATGAAGTTGGAAGGGTTGGGGAGGTGCTAGTGAGGGACATGTATCATCTCCCAGCTCCAGCAGCAGTAAATCTATCCAAAACGTAATGAAGCCTGAAGCTGCATTAACTCCTATTCAGTGTCACCTCTGTGCTGTGAAAACTCCCTTTAAAGAGTCTCTGGGGTCATCTCCCAGGGAAAGCCTTGTCACTATGGTTTCAATGGAGCCATGTTACCAGGAAATCAGAACGGGAGCAGGGGGCTGTAGCCAGTGTGTTTCTCTGTATGGGACAGAAACTCTGCATCCCAACCCTTGGATGGAAGAATTCAGCAGATTGTACTTTATTTCCACATTTTCAAGGAGATGGGCTGATCTAGCTTTTTCTATCAGGAACTTGTAGGACAGTGAATTTTCCACCCTTCACTTTGGGAGCAAGTAGAAGGGGAGAAGATGAATTAAGGGGGTGAGGACATTTTTGCCTAAACATGAAGATATTAGCAAAAACCACGAGGAGGATTAGATAAATCTAGTTTCTGAAAATGTTATGTTTTCTTGTTCCTTAGTGTGAAAGTTCCACTTTAAAGCTGCTTAGAAGCATGGAAATTACCATCTAGATCAGATCCAAGGCCCATCTAACTCAGTATCCTGTTTCTGATGCCTCAGAAAAAGGCACCAAAGCTGTAAAAGATACTTACGATATAAAAATCTGTATTGATCTGCATTATCTGAAGAGTTATACCTCTGTAGAAAGCAGGTAGTCCAGTGCTCCATCTTTCATGTTATCCAAAGCATTGTTGTTTGGAACAAAGATTGTGTAAGGTCCACCATCCTGCTCCAAGGCCAGTCCCAGAATAGTTTTCTGTTTTGTTTTATTTTTATTTAAAAAAAAAAAAAAGGGAAATTACATACTAGCTTTGTTGTGTATTCAAAAATAACTTTATAGAATTCCACTTCTATATTCTTACCTCTAACATGGATCTAAATCGGCTGTATCTTCTATTGTTTTGCATCACTGTCATTATGGTCTCCTAAAAATGTATTTTTAATTTTTATGTTACATTATCGTTAAATTAGAAATGAAATAACGAATGCATTTAAAATGTATTCATTACATGATCTTAAATGTATTATCAATCGTAAAATATACTTTCATGCTCACAAAATCCTTGTTTACAAATACTTGAATTCTTGAATGAGTCTCAATCATTAAAGACCTGGCCGTATTTGTTGTTTTTATTTGTTGTTTTTATTTATTATTTGTATTGCTGTAGGACTCAGACACACCAGCTGAGATCAGAGCCCCATTGTACGAGTTACTGTACTTTCACATAGTAAGAGATGGCCCTACCCCGAAGAATTTACATTCCAAATCCACAAGACACACAAAGGATGGTAGTATTGAAGGATTATTATCTGTGTTTCCCAGAAAGGTAGTGAAGTACAGAGAAATTAAATATCTTGCCCAAGATCACACAGGAACAGGTGTCTTGAGAAGGTATCTGTTGTTAGGCACTGAAAAATGGAGACACCCAAAATTAGTGGTCATTTTTCAAAATCATGGCCTTCAGTATTTTGGTTGCTGGTTGAACTTAACTCAGGTCAGGAGTTACCCAAAAGTCACTACCATCTAATGGCCATTCTGGGATATGTGTTGATGGTTTTAGTCCAGTTCCCAGTGGACAGGTGTCCATGTCAAAAACCATCATTACAACTGACCCTTTCATTGATCATCTCAGCAGAGAAGTAAATGTCTGAACTGCATGAAAACTACATTACCCCCTGTTACTTTGGAGGCTGCCCCTGCAAGTAGGATTGCCAACTTTCTACTCACACAAAAGCGAACACCCTTGCTCTGCCACACCGCTCCTCGGAGGCCCTGCCCCTGCTCACTCCATCCCCCCTCCCTCTGTCGCTTGCTTTCCCCACCCTCACTCACTTGCTCATTTTCACTGGGTTGGCTCAGGGGACTGGGGTGCAGGAGGGGGTGTGAGGGCTCTGGCTGGGGTGAAGAATCTGGGGTGGGGCTGGGGATGTGGGGTTTGGGGTGCACAAGGGTGCTTCAGGCTGGGATCAAAGAGTTCAGAGGGTGGGAGGGGGATTGGGGCTAGGGCAGGGAGTTGGGCCCGGGAGGGAGTCAGGGGTGCAGGCTCTGGGCAGCGCTTACCTTAAGCAGCTCCCGGAAGCAGTGGCATGTCCCCACTGTGGCTCCTGCATGGAGGCCCGGCGAGGTGGCTCTGCGCGCTGCCCTGTCCGCAGGTGCCGCCCCCCGCGCAGCTCCCATTGGCCATGGTTACCAGCCAATGGGAGCTGCGGGGGTGGTGCTTGGGGCGGGGGCAGCATGCAGAGCCCCCTGGCGGCCCCATGTGTAGAACCCAGAGGGGGCATATGCTGGCTGCTTCCTGTGAGCAGTGCAGGGCGGAGACTACCGGGAAGCCTCCCATCCCCTCTGCGTGGCACCGTCAACCAGACAGTCAACTGCCTGGTCAGCGGTGCTGACCAGAGCTGCCAGGATCCCTTTTCGACTGGGTGTTCTGGTTGAAAACTGGACACCTGGTCACCCTACATGCAGGTCAGGGTTGAGGCACATTGGCAGGATAGAGTGAGGAAACTTGTACAGTTGCTCTCCATCAGGCATCTTTCATGAGTACTAAATTCATGAGTACTAAATTCATTTAAAAGTAATATTTTGCTGATACTTGTATGTATGAGGCCTCACCTCTTTACTGCTCCCAAATGTTGGCTCCACGTTGTCCATGGCTTTGTCAATAATGTGCAAAATTCCATTGGAAGCAATTATATCCCCCTGTAAGAGTTTTCCTTTCTTCTTACTTCCCTGAATCCTAATTTTTAATTGATCGTCCTAAAACAAGCCAGAGAATAGGTGCTGAGTCCTTTTGTCTTGGAGCCGTTGCATTTCTATGGGGACTCTGTATTGCATACAGCATATACCTTTCAGGGTCATCATCTGAAATTTAAATCTATTAGGTGCTAGGGCCTGGTTCAAAGCTCAAAGGAAGTGGAAAGAATCCCAATGACTTCAGCGGACCTTGGATGTGGCCTGTATTGCTTGGTTACAGGATAGAAAAGTTCAGAATAGAAGCAAGGATGGTGAAGAGCATTAGCCTAGTGGTGAGGGGCAGGATTTAACTTTACAATAACACAGCTCTGATAACAGACGCTAATGAAAATCTGTCAGGAAACCACTTAAAGTGTGATTGCAGCTAAATGATAAACTCCAACAGTCCAGAGGGAATATAAACCATTTCCTTATATTATATATAATTAAAACAACAAAATGTTGCTGATCGTGCTTTGTACTGAAATCTGCAGGAAACCTCACAAGCCTCAGACTGCATTTGCGCTTTCCTGTTATAAATGGAATGACTGTTTGGTTAAAAAAAAATAAGTCAGATCTGTTTTCTTAGGCCTGGTCTGCACTAGAAAATTAGATCTGCATAACTGTATCGCGCTGGGGGGGAGAGGGGTTTGGAACCCCCCCTTCCCCCTGACCAATGTATTTAAGACAACCAAAGTTTCTGTGTAGAACAGCGCTAGATTGACAGAATAATTTTTCCATTGACCTAGCTACCACCCCTCAGGGAAGTGAATTACCTATGCTGACAAAAGAATCTCTTCTGTCGTAGGTAGTGTCTACACTGACACGCTATAGCTCAGCTGTGCCGCTATAGCGGTTTAAGTGCTGACGTACCCTTAGATGCTACTGATCTACTGAAAGAAATAAGGAGAGCTGGATTTCAATCATACAGGCGTAAGAAATCAAGAGAGATTTGTTTGGCTATGAACAACACTACCTGCTCTTAAAAAGAGTTTTTAAATGTAGTACACATCCATATGAAAATATGAGGCTAAATTATTCATAATGAAACTCTGAATTTACATCACTGGAGTTGCACCAGGGATGCACTTTGCCCCACCTTTTTCAGAATACTCTTGCCGTATTGATTTTATTTATATTGATGACTTATTTTGAATATGTGTTTCGAAAGGGTGACCAAATTGTGGCTCAGTGGACCAGAGGGTCTGTAATTCCACTGTGCTTTCTCTCCTCCATACAGACCTACAGGACTCTGCCTGCAATATTCTATCTCCATCTGAGTGGTCTCCACTCTGTTTTCCTTACTATTTGATTGAGATTCTTGTATCATGCTTATCACTGTGGTGGAGGGTAGTGTGCTGTCTGGGCAAGCCATGTCTCTGTGTTTACAAAGACTTTATTTTAGAGAACATCTTTACTAATAAATAAAAGCTTCTTCGTTACCCATTAAGTTACACCGGAATTCTAAGAGTGAATTTCTGCCTCTGCCAAAGTCAATTTTTAAGGTCAGGCTTGACAAAGCCCTGGCTGGGATGATTTAATTGGGGATTGGTCCTGCTTTGAGCAGGGGGGGTTGGACTAGATGACCTCCTGAGGTCCCTTCCAACCCTGATATTCTATGATTCTATGATTCAATGGGAGCATTGCTGTTGACTTCAATGGGGCCAGGATTTCATGCTAGCCCTCTGCAACGTTTGGACTCTGGTCATTGTACAGGACTGCATTTCCTAGCCAGAAATCTTACTGCACTCTGCTGTCTCAGATTGAATGGGACTGCCATTCTCCTTGTTAAATAAAAGAAGCAAGAAGTTCCCTGCTGGTGCTACTGTCATAGCAAAATCTAGACACACTCTTACCTTATCACTTTTTAATATCTCCCCTGGCTTTCCAGTCAAGGTGTAAATTGTATCTGTTTTATTCAAGCTATTGGTGTTCAGCTGACCAGCAATTATATGAAGTTTTACAAAGTACTGGGCATTCTCCTTATTGGTCAGGAGGTCCTTTATCTAGAAGAGCAAAAAGACAGTGATTTCTTCTTTACATTACAGGCTTTGTTAAAAAACAAAACACCCCCACCCTCCAGATGAGCTCATGCTCTGTCCATCTATTTTAGCAACAGATGTGTCTGAATCCCATAGGGTTAATTCAGTACATAGTACTTCCTGAAATGAGGAGCCTTCAGGACCTGATCCAAGGCCCACTGAAATCAATGAAAGTCTCTCTGACTCATGCACTTTACACCCATGCTTAGTCTTAAGCATGTGAGTAGTCACACTGACTTCAAAGGAATAGCCTGATGGTCAACACTTTGAAAATCAGGTCACTTATTTAGGCACCTAAATATAGATGCAGAAATAGAGCTGGTTGAAAATTTTTCATTGTTGTTTTTTACAACAGAAACATTTGCAAAGATTTTCATTTCCTTCCAAATTTTGAATTTTTTGATGGAATGAATCAAATTCATTTTTGTTGTTTTGTTTTTCTTTTTGTGTTTTGTTTCCCTCCACTTTCTCTGCCTTTGCATCCCAGTCCTATCCCAGTGGGGGGGAAAAAGGGAGAGAAATGTAGGAAGATTCCCCCAAAAATCTGACAATTTTCAGTTTGAAACAAAACAGAAAAAAATAGTGTGAAAAATTTCCATAAAAATGAAAAACTTTTTTGTTTTTGGTAGAAATTTGTTCATTGAAAATATTTTGACCAGCCCTGCTTAGAAGCCTAACTTTAGGCATTCATTTTTGAAAATCTTGGCCTTAGAATTTTTTTTTTAATTGTATATGTGCAGGGGTAAATGGAAGTAACAAAACCTAAAGATTTAAAGTAACATTGCATTATAGCCAGACTCAAAAAATAAAGAGGAGACTGAAAGAGGAGCTCTGTGTAAGCTCAAGAGCTTGTCTCTCTCACCAACAAAAATTGGTCCAATAAAAGATGTTACCTCACCGATCTTGTCTCAAAACAGACTTTTTTTGGTTTCTCTTTCAAGTGTGAAGGTTTAGTTTTTGACTCCTAGACACATACAATCAGTGTTCTACAGTTTCAAATCATACTAGCTTGAAAAGGTTCTATGGAATCTAAAATATCAACACAAATCTGATTTTGACATTTAAAAAAAAAAAAACAAAAAAACCCCACCAACTAATCTCCCCCCCACACACACACTTACATTAATTCCTTTGAATCCCTTGTTTGTTGGCAGTAAAACAGTAAATGGTCCCAGACTACTTAGAGGCCATTCGTAGACATTTTCTTACAAGAAAAAAACAAATGACAAAATGAATACCATGAGGGACTATGTATTCTATGTTCTGTACAATGTAACGTGTACTGTCAGTGCCAAAAAACAAACAAACAAAAAACAGAATAACAATACCTGTGATTGTTAAAATTTAACAGCTAAATAACTTGGTGATTGACCTGGAATATGAGCAGCAAATTATGGATGAAATCCAAATCATCACTGTACCTACTATATATGGTGAGGTAAGCACATTTAGAACTGTTTTTGGTCATCCAGCTTCCATGGAACAGAACCCAGTGCAAGTCTTGAAAACTGGGTTTCCTCAGCCTTGTATTAGTTTCTGTCCAGGAACAGGCTTGCTATTTGAAATAAATCCATCCCTCTGGGGAGATGCCAATTAACTGCTGGTAGTGCAAATATCAGAGAACACCTAGCTAGGTAATAAAGGTTAATTTGCTATTCACGGTGACACATCATTTACAAAACAGCAGTTTCATAGCACTGATTCTATCGTTAAGCCCATTAATAGTTTCAATATTAAACCCTGTTTTCAGAGGTTTAAAGTTATAACACAGCTGAGTGCAAATATGCAGTTTTGTTCAAACCAAAACAATTTGTGAGTTTGTCATGAATTTGCCAAAAAATTTTGGGGGCTAGATTCACAAGGGGACTTAGGCAACAGTGGAGAAGGAGGAACACCTGTAACCTTTAGCTCAGTGATTGGGGACCTCACCTGGGATTTGGGAGATCTAGATTTGAATTTGGGATGTTGAAGCTGTTTCACTGTATATAAAATACTAGAAAAGACATTGAGCCACTCTGAGAAGGGTGCTATAGCCTGGTGGTTAGGGCATTCACCTGGGATGGGAGGAGCCCTGGGATAAGTCCCTGTTTCAGAGCAGGAATTCAAACCTGGGTCTGCCACATCCCAGGTGAGTGACTTACCCACTAAGTTAAAGGTTATAAGTGGGGGCACCAACACCTCCTCCAGCTGTTTTGTGAATCTAGCCCTTTAAAAAGGCCGAGAACCAAAACATTTCCAGTTGAATTAAATGTTTGTTCAATGCGAAATATTTGTTTTACCAAAAACTCTGAACAAGTTTGTATTCAATTTGGATCAAAATTATTTTTTTCCTATTTTTTTTTCAGAACTGGCAGTGAACCAAAAAAATCAGTTATTCACCCCACTCCAATTATAACACAACAGTAAAAGTTTACTGACAGAGCACATTTGTCTTTTTGTAGTTTATCACAGGTGCTGTGTACTCTAGAATAAATACACAAAATGTAGTTTAAGATTCTGTAATTTGACTGGAAGATGCAGAATGTGCAGGTTGTCTTTTTATTCGTTAAAAGACATTAACATGCAGTTAATGTGTAAAGCAAAGTAACTTGCGCAGTTAACATGCATATGTTATAGTTTCTCAGTGCTGGCAAAATGAAGGGGATCATTCATGCCCCAGGATTGGTTAAGGGGAAAGATGGCTTGTTGTGGGGTTACTTTTTGTTTTAAAGCAGTACCAAAAAGCACCAACCAAGATCAGGGCCCCATTATGCTGGGCACTATATAAACACATATGTCTACCCTGCAGCTGGGAGGTGAAATTCCCAGCTCAGGCAGACATACACATGCTAGCCAGCACCCTCAAAATAGCAGTGTGGCTGTGGTGACAGCTCAGGCTAGCTGTCCGTGTACGTGTCACGCTGACAGACCCTGGTTGTCATCAGCCAGGTTCAAACCTGGGACCTTTGGAGCTTAACATGTGAACCAAAAGATACTTGTCTTTTAGCCAAGGCTGTAGCAGGCTCATCAATCTCTAGTTGGTCTAGGTGCCACTAGAGAGGGACAGAGTGCCACACGAAACAGGCATGGGTTACATACCAACCTAGGGTCTTGGATGGACTATACTCAGAGAGCTGGCATGGGCTGCTGCCCGTGCTGCCATTAGCTTGAACAAAACAAGCATATATATGTCTACCTGAGCTGGGAATTATACCACCTCCCAGCTGCAGCATAGGCATACCCATATTGACACACAGTCCTGCCCTGACAATCTTAGTCTAATTAGCCAAGACAGACACAGGGCGGGAGGGAAAGCATAGGCACAGAGAGGGGAATGTGACTTGTCCAAGGTTACACAGCAGGTCAGTGGCAGAAGCAGGAATAGGATCAGCTCCCCTGACTGCCAGCCTAGTGCCCTATTCTTTGGACCATATTGAAATTTTGTTGTGCTTGAGTCATGATACAATCTTTGGATTTTTTTTTTTTGGAGCACACCCTAGGGTTCTGTTGCCCTCAATAACTGAACAATATCTGTGCCTGCTAGCCTCAAGCCATCTATTTGATGTTACTGACACCTAAAACTGATGTCAGTAATTTCCACTGTCCCTCCAGACACTGACATATCTAAAGGATTATAGGCTAGGTAAAGATTGGACCAAGAGTAGGGGAATATACAGCACAACAAATGAGGTGAAACTCTGGCACATAATCCCGATGCAAAATATTCCTATTTTCACTGTAAAAAGTGGGTCTATTGGCAAAAATTACCACATTTTATCCTTAGCCAAATGTAGGGTCTTCCCATTCTTCTTTAGAGAGGCATTCAGAACCTTGCACAGATTTATTGCAATAACTGGGCAGAGTGAAGAGGATTATGCAAATAATTTATCTCTGTATTTCCTGCTTTTAGCGATTTAACTCAGACGTGTAACATCGTTTTGGGACTATCTGTCTGTAGCTTCAATTTTTTAAGGTTGTGACAGAAGACGGTGTATTTTTGTTGCTCTCCTCATGAGATGCTTTCAATAACTGGCTTCCTCAGCCACCTGAACTTTTTGGGGGTCCAATAAAATGGGATCCGGATGCAAGTTTGGCTTTGTGAAACCAAAAGCATCCTAGATATTTTTCCCCATCAGTTTCCTTTATAAAAGGCAGTTCACAAATAAGTCACATTTCATTTTAAAAAGAAAAGGAGTACTTGTGGCACCTTAGAGACTAACCAATTTATTTGAGCACGAGCTTTCGTGAGCTACAGCTCACTTCATCGGATGCATACCGTGGAAACTGCAGCAGACTTTATATACACACAGAGATCATAAAACAATACCTCCTCCCACCCCACTGTCCTGCTGGTAATAGCTTATCTAAAGTGATCATCAAGTTGGGCCATTTCCAGCACAAATCCAGGTTTTCTCACCCTCCACCCCCACACACACAAACTCACTCTCCTGCTGCTAATAGCCCATCCAAAGTGACAACTCTCTACACAATGTGATAATCAAGGTGGGCCATTTCCTGCACAAATCCAGGTTCTCTCACCCCCTCACCCCCCTCCAAAAAACACACACACAAACTCACTATCCTGCTGGTAATAGCTCATCCAAAGTGACCACTCTCCCTACAATGTGCATGATCATCAAGGTGGGCCATTTCCAGCACAAATCCAGGTTTTCTCACTCCCCCCACCCCCATACACACACAAACTCACTCTCCTGCTGGTAATAGCTCATCCAAAGTGACCACTCTCCCTACAATGTGCATGGTAATCAAGGTGGGCCATGTCCAGCACAAATCCAGGCTGTCTCACCCCCACCCCACCCCCACCCCTTTTTTTTTTTCCCGGGGACACACACACACACAAACTCACTCTCCTGCTGGCAATAGCTCATCCAAACTGTCCACTCTCCAAGTTTAAATCCAAGTTTAACCAGAACGACTGGGGGCGGGGAGGTAGGAAAAAACAAGGGGAAATAGGCTACCTTGCATAATGACTTAGCCACTCCCAGTCTCTATTTAAGCCTAAATTAATAGTATCCAATTTGCAAATGAATTCCAATTCAGCAGTTTCTCGCTGGAGTCTGGATTTGAAGTTTTTTTGTTTTAAGATAGCGACCTTCATGTCTGTGATTGCGTGACCAGAGAGATTGAAGTGTTCTCCGACTGGTTTATGAATGTTATAATTCTTGACATCTGATTTGTGTCCATTTATTCTTTTACGTAGAGACTGTCCAGTTTGACCAATGTAAATGGCAGAGGGGCATTGCTGGCACATGATGGCATATATCACATTGGTGGATGTGCAGGTGAACGAGCCTCTGATAGTGTGGCTGATGTTATTAGGCCCTGTGATGGTGTCCCCTGAATAGATATGTGGGCACAGTTGGCAACGGGCTTTGTTGCAAGGATAAGTTCCTGGGTTAGTGGTTCTGTTGTGTGGTATGTGGTTGCTGGTGAGTATTTGCTTCAGGTTGCGGGGCTGTCTGTAGGCAAGGACTGGCCTGTCTCCCAAGATTTGTGAGAGTGTTGGGTCATCCTTTAGGATAGGTTGTAGATCCTTAATAATGCGTTGGAGGGGTTTTAGTTGGGGGCTGAAGGTGACGGCTAGTGGCGTTCTGTTATTTTCTTTGTTAGGCCTGTCCTGTAGTAGGAGACTTCTGGGAACTCTTCTGGCTCTATCAATCTGTTTCTTCACTTCCGCAGGTGGGTATTGTAGTTGTAAGAAAGCTTGACAGAGATCTTGTAGGTGTTTGTCTCTGTCTGAGGGGTTGGAGCAAATGCGGTTGTATCGCAAAGCTTGGCTGTAGACGATGGATCGTGTGGTGTGGTCAGGGTGAAAGCTGGAGGCATGTAGGTAGGAATAGCGGTCAGTAGGTTTCCGGTATAGGGTGGTGTTTATGTGACCATTGTTTATTAGCACTGTAGTGTCCAGGAAGTGGATCTCTTGTGTGGACTGGACCAGGCTGAGGTTGATGGTGGGATGGAAGTTGTTGAAATCATGGTGGAATTCCTCAAGGGCTTCTTTTCCATGGGTCCAGATGATGAAGATGTCATCAATATAGCGCAAGTAGAGTAGGGGCTTTAGGGGACGAGAGCTGAGGAAGCGTTGTTCTAAATAAGCCATAAAAATGTTGGCATACTGTGGGGCCATGCGGGTACCTATAGCAGTGCCGCTGATCTGAAGGTATACATTGTCCCCAAATGTAAAATAGTTGTGGGTAAGGACAAAGTCACAAAGTTCAGCCACCAGGTTAGCCGTGACATTATCGGGGATAGTGTTCTTGACGGCTTGTAGTCCATCATTGTGTGGAATGTTGGTGTAGAGGGCTTCTACATCCATAGTGGCCAGGATGGTGTTATCAGGAAGATTACCGATGGATTGAAGTTTCCTCAGGAAGTCAGTGGTGTCTCGAAGGTAGCTGGGAGTGCTGGTAGCGTAGGGCCTGAGGAGGGAGTCTACATAGCCAGACAATCCTGCTGTCAGGGTGCCAATGCCTGAGATAATGGGGCGCCCAGGATTTCCAGGTTTATGGATCTTGGGTAGTAGATAGAATATCCCAGGTTGGAGTTCCAGGGGTGTGTCTGTGCGGATTTGATCTTGTGCTTTTTCAGGAAGTTTCTTGAGCAAATGCTGTAGTTGCTTTTGGTAACTCTCAGTGGGATCATAGGGTAATGGCTTGTAGAAACTTGTGTTGGAGAGCTGCCGAGCAACCTCTTGTTCATATTCCGACCACTCCACACAAATGTATACCTTCAGATCAGCGGCACTGCTATGGGTATCCGCATGGCCCCACAGTATGCCAACATTTTTATGGCTGATTTAGAACAACGCTTCCTCAGCTCTCGTCCCCTTGCGCTATATTGATGACATCTTCATCATCTGGACCCATGGAAAAGAAGCCCTTGAGGAATTCCACCATGATTTCAACAACTTCCATCCCACCATCAACCTCAGCCTGGTCCAGTCCACACAAGAGATCCACTTCCTGGACACTACAGTGCTAATAAACAATGGTCACATAAACACCACCCTATACCGGAAACCTACTGACCGCTATTCCTACCTACATGCCTCCAGCTTTCACCCTGACCACACCACACGATCCATCGTCTACAGCCAAGCTTTGCGATACAACCGCATTTGCTCCAACCCCTCAGACAGAGACAAACACCTACAAGATCTCTGTCAAGCTTTCTTACAACTACAATACCCACCTGCGGAAGTGAAGAAACAGATTGATAGAGCCAGAAGAGTTCCCAGAAGTCTCCTACTACAGGACAGGCCTAACAAAGAAAATAACAGAACGCCACTAGCCGTCACCTTCAGCCCCCAACTAAAACCCCTCCAACGCATTATTAAGGATCTACAACCTATCCTAAAGGATGACCCAACACTCTCACAAATCTTGGGAGACAGGCCAGTCCTTGCCTACAGACAGCCCCGCAACCTGAAGCAAATACTCACCAGCAACCACATACCACACAACAGAACCACTAACCCAGGAACTTATCCTTGCAACAAAGCCCGTTGCCAACTGTGCCCACATATCTATTCAGGGGACACCATCACAGGGCCTAATAACATCAGCCACACTATCAGAGGCTCGTTCACCTGCACATCCACCAATGTGATATATGCCATCATGTGCCAGCAATGCCCCTCTGCCATTTACATTGGTCAAACTGGACAGTCTCTACGTAAAAGAATAAATGGACACAAATCAGATGTCAAGAATTATAACATTCATAAACCAGTCGGAGAACACTTCAATCTCTCTGGTCACGCAATCACAGACATGAAGGTCGCTATCTTAAAACAAAAAAACTTCAAATCCAGACTCCAGCGAGAAACTGCTGAATTGGAATTCATTTGCAAATTGGATACTATTAATTTAGGCTTAAATAGAGACTGGGAGTGGCTAAGTCATTATGCAAGGTAGCCTATTTCCCCTTGTTTTTTCCTACCTCCCCGTCCCCAGTTGTTCTGGTTAAACTTGGATTTAAACTTGGAGAGTGGACAGTTTGGATGAGCTATTGCCAGCAGGAGAGTGAGTTTGTGTGTGTGTGTGTCCCCGGGAAAAAAAAAAGGGGGTGAGGGTGGGGTGGGGGTGAGAAAGCCTGGATTTGTGCTGGACATGGCCCACCTTGATTACCATGCACATTGTAGGGAGAGTGGTCACTTTGGATGAGCTATTACCAGCAGGAGAGTGAGTTTGTGTGTGTATGGGGGTGGGGGGGTGAGAAAACCTGGATTTGTGCTGGAAATGGCCCACCTTGATGATCATGCACATTGTAGGGAGAGTGGTCACTTTGGATGAGCTATTACCAGCAGGAGAGTGAGTTTGTGTGTGTGTTTTTTTGGAGGGGGGTGAGGGGGTGAGAGAACCTGGATTTGTGCAGGAAATGGCCCACCTTGATTATCACATTGTGTAGAGAGTTGTCACTTTGGATGGGCTATTAGCAGCAGGAGAGTGAGTTTGTGTGTGCGGGGGTGGAGGGTGAGAAAACCTGGATTTGTGCTGGAAATGGCCCAACTTGATGATCACTTTAGATAAGCTATTACCAGCAGGACAGTGGGGTGGGAGGAGGTATTGTTTTATGATCTCTGTGTGTATATAAAGTCTGCTGCAGTTTCCACGGTATGCATCCGATGAAGTGAGCTGTAGCTCACGAAAGCCCGTGCTCAAATAAATTGGTTAGTCTCTAAGGTGCCACAAGTACTCCTTTTCTTTTTGCGAATACAGACTAACACGGCTGTTACTCTGAAACATTTCATTTTATTCACCAAACACAGCTCTGTACTCCATATGAAGAATCTGCCCTAGCTTCCAAATTCTTTGCTTTCTTCTCTCCAGCAGTTCCCGGCACTGTGACCATCCTTCCTGTTTTCCTCCACTTCCAACTAGGCCTCTTCCCCTCATTCCTCTTTTAGTAACAGTATTAAAAACATCAGAAATGCCAAAATTCCAGCAGCACATCTGCTTTATAATGGCCAAAGCTGTAGCTCACTTGTGGGATTGTATATCTTTTCCTGCACAAAATATCAAGCTGCCTTGGCAAGGGGTTGGAAATTATGACCGAATGTGGTGGTAGGTCTTTGTTCTGTCTGTAACATATGTCATTTCATCTGGCTTGTGCCATCAGCATAATGTATGATTTGACACTATGCAGTACGACAACAGCTATTTTGTACAGTGGTAGCAAAGTAAATGTTGAGTTAAAAGTAGATAGAGCAAGATGCTGGAAGTCAGGATTCAATGTATATTTAGCTATATCTTTGACACCACTGTATGATGTTAAGAAAATCACTTTACTTCTTTGTGCTTCATTTTATGCCTCTGTGGAATGAGAATACCTACCTCATAGGGGGATTATATTCATTTAATATTTATAAAATGCTTTCAGTAGGAGGTGCTATGGAAATGCTAAGTGTCATCTTATCTACAAAATCTCTGTGTCAGAGCTGAGTCTGACATGGTCTCCGTCTCTTTGAGTCCACTGAACTATCTATGCTTCCTTTCACACTACTGAGCTGCCACAGGTAGTCAGAGAATCCTACTGTCTGCTCTGTAGAAGAGTTTAGCCATAAGTAGGTAGCTAATAGGAATCTTGCCGCAGTCCTAGTGCCATTAGAGGTGGCCCGGGAAGGGCTGCTTCCAATAGCTATGCACTGATTTGAAGGACCTGTGGCAATAGTATTTCCAGCCCCAAAGGCCAGTTGTGAGTAGGTGTGACTGGATGCCAAGTTACCTGTGATCTTAGTGAAAAATCATTGACAAGCCTTCAACCCATTGATTGGTTTACATCAGTTTGCATTTTCAAGGCTCTTTTTGCAAGGAATAGAGTTAGAAATGTATTTCTTAAACAAATATAAACTGAGATTCTTCTTTTCTTTTCTAAGTCCCTCAAATTAGCGAGGTCCTCCAGCCTATGTGCTCTGAAAGCCTGTCAAGGCGAGATCTAAATGAGGAATGTATCAAAATAAACAAGTGCAAGAGCCACCTTTTGGAGCCCTCTCTCAAAGTAATTAGACGAATAGACTCAAGTGAGATCAGTGGAAGAGGAACCTCTTTTTCCACGCAGAAATTGTTCTCATTCTTAATTTCAAAATTGGGCTGAGACTTATCTTAATTCACATGGTATTCTTCCCTTGCGATCAGCTGTCACTCAGCCTGAATAAGCTAATGAAACACTAGATACCTCAAGGGCTAGTTAGCAGGGACAGAGTGAGGGACACTCACACTTTTGGTAGCCTTGGGAGTTTCTAGGCTTCAGGCTAAATGTTTCTTTGCTGACAGCTCTTCAGACTAAATCTGCATTCCTTTCCTTAGGTACCTACCAATGAGTGCTATGGCAGATGTCAGTTTTCCTTGCCACTGTCCTCCTGGTTCAGTGTTCAGCTCTGTGATGCGTTCCATTATGTTTCCATAGCATACAAACCCATCACCTACATAACCCTTCTGGCAAGTACACCTGTGAAAAGAACAAAATTTACTTTCAGCATCAGTTGGATACAGATACTGTTGTATCAGTAAAATTTTAACCAGAGCTAATTAAATTGTTGTGAATCACTTATCTGAGTTCCGGCATTTTGATGATTTGCAAATACATTTCATTTCCCTTTTTGATCAGTTCTACAGACTGTCAAATAGCACTTGATTAATAAATGATTCCTCGGTTTTCTGTCACTTATCATATAAAGTTAATACATTTATTCATTATTTGACCAGCCGTAATTTTACTTCACTGCAGTAACAGCGTTTGTGTCCTATCTTAGCACAAGACCACACAAGGTGATGAAAGTGAAGCCATATGACATTGAAGCAAAGATACAGTTCCAAAATTAAAGTCTATTTGCCAGATTTTATAGATTCTTTAACCTAAACTTCTCTGGTTTTGTCTATAATGAGGTTTGATATGAGCTCACTGATCACCAAGCTGCAGCTACATACATTTGAAGCCATGTTTTTATCTGCCATAATGTACACTGTATCTCTGTTACATATTGGCAATTATTTGTGTATGTCTTTTCAGCAAACCAAGGAGTGGTGATTAAAATACTGCTATCAAGTTAAGTCATTTTTATCAACATTACTGATGGTTTAGCATAGTTCTTCTACAGTCATTATGATATGAAATCACATGCTTTCATAGTATGTGTTTCTGTCCTTCCTCAATGCGTGCACTACTGCCCTCTACTGGATGGAATGTATCATCTGTTCAAATACCCAATCAGGTTGCCCACTAGAGGCTTCACCCTCCAGAGGATGTTAGACCTTCTACTGTTTCAATTGCACAACCACAAATGTTTCTTGAGTAGCTACTAGTGTACACAAATGGTCATGGTTTTTCAAACGCAAGTAGCAATTTTGGGTGTCCAACTTTGAGACACCTTGAAGGGGCTAGATTATTAAGAGGGCAGGTACCCGATTCTTTCTGAAAATCAGACCCCTTTAAGGTGTCTCAAGTTAGGCACACAAAATGATTAGCTGATTTTGAAAATCTTCCTAGGTTGCCATCTTCACTAATGTTGCCACTGTTATTTTGTACTTGATAGATTGCCTGCAGGCTCCACTGTGTGGTTTAAGCAGCGACCATGGCTGAAATTAAAAAGTCAACAATAGCACCCTTCCCAGTTAAGTCTCAAGCAAGTTACATTATCAGATGAGCCTTGTATTTAATGATTCATCTGGCTGAGACTTCTACAAGCATCATTAAAGGAGTATTATTCCACACAATCAAAAGAATCTTCTTTATGTGACCAAACAACCTCAAGGTGTCCACCTCCTGTTTATATTTATTACACATCCACATCTTCTGGTAATCACACACACACACATGTAGAGTAGTGTTAATCCAGAACCAGATGGTGCTTTGTCCCCCTTGTAGATCTCCTTTGCCTGTACAGAGGGGAGATGTGTGACAGCTGCCTCCAAGGTAACACCCTTCTTGCCCTAAAAAGTCCACAGAGTAATCTGAGTCTGGAGAACTAGAAGTTTGGGAGGAGATCTGGGATTGTGATCAAAAGGCCCATGTATTGCCCTCTACCAACGCAGCGGAAGAACAGCAGGAATGTTAATACAGGCAAATGGTTGTATTACTTTTCCTGGGAGGCCCTTTATGCTGGTGAGCCCTCGCACTCTCTAAGGGGATCCCTAGGGCATCTGCACTGCCACAGAGCCTGAGTGGGGAGCAGGGGACTCCAGATCTGCTGCAGAGGCACAGGTCCTCTTTGCCTTGAAACTTTTGGGACTGAACCCTTCTTTCTGTGGGGGAAAGGGGAGTGGTTGGGCAAGTCTCAGGCTATGGGTACAAGAATTCAGAGTTTCCTAGAATCTGGGCTTTAAAAAAGATGAGAAACAACTTGGCAGGAGAAGCAGTTTTTGAAATAATACAGAAATCAGATTAAGGCTTGTAAATTAATGCTGCCTTCTTTTACAGCAAAGGTTTGTCAAGGAATAGATTGCTGACCACATTCATTTGTGGTCGTTTCTAGAATCACAGTGAGCTTAGAAATGTGGGCTGGGCATTGTGGTTTGAAACTGAATTGAATTTATTCAGAAAAATACCACCTTTGACTGTGCAGAATGGAGTTAGAAGCCAATTTTTTGGTTTGGATTTGGGTGCTGCAGAAATAAACATTTTGCAATTATAACTTCTGCTTGGGAGCAAAGCTTCCAATTTGAACTTCCCTTGCCTTTCAAATGACTTAATTTATCTCTGTGTGTTGGGGCAGGGAGCAGCCAGACAGTTGCCTGTATTGGGCAACTTTTGTCTCTTGTTTGGAGCATGTGGCTGGTGCAATCTGTAAAGTCTTTCAGTGTGTGTGTGTGTTTGTTTTACTTTGAATGGGGCTGTTTCAATCCACTGTTTTCCATTAAGGATGGGAACAGCTAGGGAGGAGCAGGCCTAATGCAAACCAGGCTGGGTTATTTTTTAATCTTTGTTGTGAGAATGAAACAGCATGGGGAAGACTCATTGCACCAGTCGCGGAGGGATGGGAGTTGTGGGGGAGTGCTGCTTACCCAAGCTAGAGAGTGGGGAAGTATCTCTCTCTCCTTTTAGCAGAGAAGAGAGAGATAGTTTCCCTGCTTCTCCCCCGGAGGTTAGCCCCTGCATATAGGAAAGAAGCGTGGCTACTTAACCAGTGTTTTTTATTTTAGGAACAGAGTCAAAATACAGAGAAATAAAAAAGCACAAGAGAAAAGTCAGGGAAGAGGTTTATATGCTCCAGCTAGAGGACAAGGACTGGGGGCCCCATTTTGCTTGGCATTGCCCCAAAGAGGTTACAATCGAATGTGCTCTCAATAACCATCCCAGTTAACTAGCTGAGCTACCATATTCTGCACCAGCTGAAGTTTCTTAGTGACCCTCAACGACATAGCTGTATGTAACTTCTGTCTTGAAGAAATGTTATTTAAATGTTTTTAACACTAGTGCAGAAAAGACCTATATGGGAACAGAAACAGACAGCAATAGTCTTGATTTTCCAAGCTACTGCTATTTTATAACCCCCAAACCACAGGTACAGTATCTTCCTCTAAGCAAAGAGCTTCCATGGGAAACTGAAGTGACTGAGGCAGCAGGCCAGCAGTACAACTGTGCATTAAAAAAAAAAAACCTGCAAAGGAGGTGACACAACGGACGCTTACAATTTCCAGTTACGAGAGAGCAACAATACATTCTGGGTCTAGCTCGGGGCCACCACAATAGCTTATTTTGAAGTGTTAACAAAGGAAGAAGAGCTGGAAGCTGGAGACAAATAGGTTTAAAATTTGAGCTACAGTCAAACACAGAAGTGGCATCACTTCCCTCTATACTTGTGATACAGCAGCAGCATCAGTAGCTCTTTATTATGGCTGTGCCCACATCTAGCTATCACAATTTTCATTCAAATCTTTTTTTGTTTGACTATAAACTGGAAGTTTCAGTCTTTTCAAAAATGTCCAGCTTTTTGGGGACATCTAGAATTCCTTCCCATCTCTCTCTTTGTCACAGAATGTAATCAAATGATGTTCAGGGGGATTTGTTTTTTTCTGAGTTGGAAAATGTAAAATAAAACCCCTTCTTCAACTCTTGAAAGTTCAAGTGGCAAAATGAAAAATGATAACGTGTGGAAGAAAACCCCTGGACATAATTCATTTTACTTTCTACTGCTTTCTTGTTGGGTGAATATTTTTTTTTATTAGTTTAGACTGCGGTGCCAGAGTTACAATGCTGGTTTCAGAGTTAGCCCAGATATAATATTTTCTAAATTTTTTCTGTTTAAAATCCCACCTAATGGATGATTTCTTGTGATCTTCCTTACCAATAAAATCATAATGCTCCGCTTGTTCATATAGGGACTAAAAGCTTTCCATGCTTTCCCTGGGCCTCTGCTCCCTTTGGTGAAAGTAATACCATTCATGTGTCTATTCTTTTGTGGAATGAAATGGCCAGCAGATTTTTAAAGAAATAAGTCATAGTTATCTGTTTCTCTTTATTCAGTGAAAGCAAATGATTTATAAATATTTTCAGCTTCATTCCCTATTGTATAAATTACTGATCTGATCTGTACTTTACTGCTCTGTTACTACTCTCTACCGCTCCTTCTACTCAGACCATGTTGTGGGCTTACGTAACTGAAGGTCCTGTGCAGGGCTGAAGTTTGACATTTTATTTGTTTTTTAAAGAAATTCCCATTTTGAACTAATTTTGAAAAAAAATCCAATTGAAATTGTTAAAATATCCAATTTCAATATTTTCTCAATGAAAAAAGTTCCATTTTGGATTTGAAACCACTTTTTGTTTTGAAATCTAAGTTAATTTATAGAAAAAAAGTAACTAAAATATTAAGTCAAAATAAAAACAAACCATTTCAAAATTATGAAAACGAAACATTTTGTTTGACCTGACTTGAATTTTGGTTTGTGAAATTTTTTGACAATTTATTTTTGTTTTAAATCTCAAAAACTCTCACAGGATAGTAAAACTGTTTGCCACCCAGCTCTACTTTCTGTGTCATTATCACAAGGTAGATTGTGGGGCACAGAGAAGAGGCTGTGGAACCTGCTCCATAGGTGGGCAGAAGAACATTCTGTATAAACTTGTTCTAAATGCACAGTAATTTATAATAGAAAAGTTCCATTAGTATTGTAAGGACAACCAGCACTAGAATGCAAAAAATTGATAAGATGTCCTCTTCTTAAACCAAGAGAATTGCCTTTATGCTAAGTGTGAACACCTATATGGAAAGTATTTCTGACACCAGACAGGAATTATTACCCTGTATTATCAGCCATATTGTAATCCTAAAAAGCAACGCTACAAATAAACTCTTATAAACCAAACATCAATCATATTACAACGTCTCTGGAGAGTGAAAAGAGTTATCGTTTAACTCTTTGTTTTAATACTGTATTCTAAGGTTGTACATTATGCTACATAACATATTCTCTGTAGCATTATACTGTATAATTCTTTGCTAATATACTACACCTCCATCTATGATACCACCATACTTGTCTGATCCAAAACCTATTGAAATCAGTGAAAGAGCTCCCATTTACTTCAGTGGACACTGGATCAAGCAATAAATGAGCAATATAAATGCAATGGCATACGCACACTCTCTTCTCACAATGCTCAACTATCTTGCTGTTCCCTACACTGTACCAGGAACTGTACCAGGAACTGGTACACTGTACCAGGAACACTGTACACTAGTAGCAGGAGCTAATATGCTCCAAAGTTTTATAAAGTTACTTTGTAAAGAAACTGTCAGTGATACACTGAGAATTGCTCTGCCATCTCTTTTTCCTTAATAGCCTATTGTGACAAAGTTCCTCCTCTACCTTGGTGGGCCTTGCGCTTATTGGCGGATTTGCTTACCTTGGAGCTTCACGGCAGCCCTCAGCTTGGCCGTTTTTCTGAATTCACGGTCCAGGTTGACGCCTCCTGTATCTGACTAGGAGTTGGGAGGATTTGGGGGGAACCCGGGCCCGCCCTCTACTCCGGGTGCCAGCCCAGGGCCCTGTGGAATGCAGCTGTCTAGAGTGCCTCCCGGAACAGCTGTGTGACAGCCACAACTACCTGGGCTACTTTCCCATGGCCTCCTCCCAACACCTTCTTTATCCTCACCATAGGACCTTCCTCCTGGTGTCTGATAATGCTTGTACACCACAGTCCTCCAACAGTCTGCGTTCTCACTCTCAGGTCCTAGTGCCTCTTGCTCCCAGCTCCTCACATGCACACCACAAACTGAAATGAGCTCCTTTTTAAACCCAGGTGCCCTGATTAGCCTGCCTTAATTGATTCTAGCAGCTTCTTGATTGGCTGCAGGTGTTCTAATCAGCCTGTCTGTCTTAATTGTCTCCAGAAGGTTCCTGATTGTTCAAAAACCTTCCCTGTTACCTTACCCAGGGAAAAGGGACCTACTTAGCCTGGGGCTAATATATCTGCCTTCTATTACTCTCCTATAGCCATCTGGTTCGACCTGTCACACTATTTACTGAATAAAATATAATCAGTGAAAGATTTAAGAAGGAAAAAGACTTACACAATTTGTCCTGGCACAACCATAGTGCATTTTGCATTTTTATGGCAGGTGTTGTTAGTCTCACAGATATCTGTCATACTGCATCCTTTCCCAGGTACTAAATTTCTGTAATGTTCTTTGCATTCACAGTGGGACTAAATCAGGGGAGAAAGACAAATGTTAGATTGTATTTTGGATTTTATTAGTGACTTGCTATTTTCAGCATTTTTCTGTCACAAAAACCAGGGCAAGGATTTAAAGACAACTTCAAAAGGCTCAGGTAAGCACCCAGCAAATTCAGAAGCATATATGCAGCTTATCCAGATTTAGTCAACCCTTTTCTAGATTTTATCCATCCTAGAAAATTTCTGGCTTTCAAATTATATCCTTAAAAAAGAAATAAAATTCTTTAGGTGCCATTGCCTTACTAGAAGGTATTTATTAAAATCAGTGCCCATAGGTCAAATTTATAATCAGTGTTCACATAGACCTTTTCTTCCCCCAAAAGATCACAAAGCATTCAATAAACTACAGTATATGCATATAGCATAACTGAAATGCAGCCACCCCTGGAACAGTGAAGGCCAACAAACCAGCACACAGGGGACTGCAAAATAGTTGGGAGGAGGCAAAATGTATGGGCAAGGACTCCAAGGCAAGCCCCACCTCTTACAAAAAGTGTCATGGGAACATTAATGTCTATTTAGAACAGGTGGGACCTTTGAAAGCCTCACTTGATCAGTGGAGCGAATTTTACTACAGAATGTTTCACTCAGGTGGCCAGTAGAATTAATCATATCTAGCTCTTGTACAGTGCCCTTGCATCAGTAGATCTCAAAGTGCTTTATAAAGGAGGTTGGTATCATTTCCCCCTTTTGTAAACTGGGGATACAAGGGCACAGAAAGAGAAAATGACTTGCCCAAGGTCACCCAGTAGGCCACGGCAGAGCTGGGAATAGAACCCAAGTCCCTGTTGAGAGCTTTATCCGCAAGGCAAGACTGTCTCCCCACAGGGAAAAACCATTCTTCGTCCTAGACAGTTGATTTTGAAAATGCCATGGGCTCCAGTTCAGCACGTACCTTTCCTGGACCATCATATCTACAAATGGTAGACGCTGTAGGGCAATTTCCAAACATCCCTTGGCAAGGGTCTATTGGTAGGCAGACTTGGCCATCCCCACTGTAACCTTCTTGGCAAACACATTTATGACGATTAGGTCCAAGATGGGTGCAATAAGCATTCGGATCACAGACCTTTTTTAAGCACGGGTTGATAGCTTGAAAAACATTAATAAAACAAATTAATAATTGCCCAAAAGTTGCAAAAGTAAGGGGATAGTGGAGCCTATAGAATGAACTGTCTAAAATAGCTAAGTCCAGAGTATTTTATCAGCATGAAGATATGAGATAGGCACCTATTTATACCAACATAGCAAACAACTATCTATGTTTTTGTACATAAGTGACCTTTAAAGTTGGCATGTTGAGTTATTACCCAATTAAACCTACAATAATGCATTCATTTAAAAAATCTTAATTATAACAATTGCCCGCTTCTTTGATGAATTGTGATCTTGGAGGATCAAGTAGGTGACATGACTTAAAATAGCTGCCCTAAGGCATGTTAGATTAGTAGGAAAATGTCACTCAGCTGAATGGGTCTTCCAAACCCAAGCTTTATACAGCAGGGATAGAGCAGTGGTTCTCAACCTTTCCAGACTACTGTACTCATTTCAGGGGTGCAAGCCCAATCCCTTCCCCCCAGGGTTGAAGCATATAACTTAGCTTCGTGGAGCCTGCTGTGGCATGGGGCCACAGGCAGTTGCCCTGCTTGCCACCCCCCGATCGCCGGCCCTGCACTTGTGACACCCCTAAGCCCTTCCTGCGACCCACCCTGGATGTCACAACCCCCAGGTTGAGAAACACTGATCTAGACGAGTTGACATACCTGGAAAACCCCTGTGTACTCCTCGGGGTATGTGTACCCCTGGTTGAGAGCCACAGGGATAGAGGCTTGGCGCATGAATGCTTTAGTCCATTTCCTCCCTACTGCTGTAGAGTGAGGGCCAGATTAGGAACCCAACAGTTACATGCATAGTTCCATTGAAGTCAGTAGCGTTACTCCTGTGAGTAACTGCTCACCACTGACTTAGCTGTTCAAGATCTGGCCCTTCATCTGTAATACTGATAGTAGCCAATGTGGAAACTAAAGCACAAGTGGTTGCCTGTGATTTCAGAGTGAGTCATCTTATCTGAATTAGTTCATCCATCCCTGAACCAACTCACTATGTAGTTTAAAAAACTGAATCTAGCGGCAAAGTTTGCCATTAGTACCCTAGATAAAATATAATGTAGCGGGATATAATCTCTCTTGCTTTAAGCCATAGAGACAGCCACTGAATGATTGGAGATAGGAAGAAACTTCTCTGATATGGTTTCTTGAACTTTCTCCTGAAACATCACACACGAGCCACTGTCGGAGGCAAAATACCCGATGAGAGAGATCTCAGGTCTGGTCCAAGACCGCAATTATTGTGTTACTAGATAAACAGTATTGAGTCTTCAGCACCATAATTGGTTAGAATGATTAGAATAACAATGTATTGTTATGTATTACTGTAGTAGAATAATTAGAAACAAATGTTTCTTTATGACAAAATACCCAGACCTGTGTATCAGTGCTGCGGACCGTTCTGTTGGGGGAGGAAAAACTCAGTTTGACAGTCCAAGTGGCATGGTGCGGGGAGTAAAGAACACATTGGCGAAAACCTTTTACCCCAGCAGAGGTTGTAGAGCTTTGTTACTTCATCAAGAATTGGAAAAGTAGCATGGGCTCAATTTGTCTGTAATGTTTGTATTTGGGATCAGTCATGCAGCTGAGTCACCAGGTGGTGGGACCTCTCTCAGCGAATGTAAATCGTTGTTCACCTCTGCTGATTTTATGGAAGCAAACTAGGTGGCCATGGCCCACCAGGCTTCACAGCTACTTACGTTCACATTGTTTACCGTCTCCATGGTAATTGGGAAGACATGTACACTCCAATTTGGTTTCCTCTTTACTAGAAATAGAACATCTGGAGTTTTCAGGGCACTGTAAGGCCTCACATTCAGGTATTGCTGGAGAGAAAGAAGGCAAAAGGTTATATTGTGGCTGAACATCACACTAAAGAACATTACACTCAATCCTTCTGCTGTACAAAAACCAATGCAGGGTATAGATGAGCAAGGCACTGTAGAGTGGTGATGTGGCCACTGTTAGTGGTGATCGATGATGTAATGATTCAGTGATAATGATCATGGGTCTTCGCTAGGTTAGGGGTGATGTGGTTTGACTTGGGGTGTGTATTTTGCTGCTGTACCTTCACATGCATTAAATGAATATATTTAGCCCTCACCAGGAGCCACCATAAAGAAGTTGGTGAATATGTGCTGGAAAAAAACACTATACTTACCCTGATCACAGTTAAGCCCTTTGTATCCAGACAAACAGGTACATCCTCCATCCCCTGTAATTCCACTGTTGCATACTCCATGAGCACAGTTGCAAACTGTATGTAGAAATGGATTGGTTTTGGTAAATAAGTTAGTGGATTTGAAACAAGGTCTTCAGTGGTTTTTCATGCCACTAATGTTTTAGACGCAGTAATTAAATACTACCATTTTTGACAAACTTGGTGCAATTTTCAAACATGGGTATTATGGGCTTTGTACTGGGATGCTCAAGTCCCACACCTGGTTACTGAAGCAGACCTGTTGGGGCCTAAAATGGGTGTTTGGGTGTGGAGGTGCTGATTAGAACATGTTGCTGGTGACCTGGATGACCTAACTTTACTCAGATTTGAAAATAGGACCCCAGCCTTTAACCATCAAATGGAACAGTTCCCATTCTAATATCAAGGGGCACAGAGGGGAGCAAGGTATTGCTGAAGGCATATTTGCTGCCAGCTGTATCAATGCACAGTCTCCACGGACCCCTAGAGAATTTGGAATAGGCATCAACAGCTGAAATATCTGAAGGCTGAAACCATAAATCATCCTTAAATTAACATGCTATTGAATCCTCCAACAGCCTTAAGAATAATTCCATTAAAGATACTGAATTGATTCAAATGCCCTATTTGTATAAAAATGTCTCAATAGCGTTTATATGAATTAACACTGGCATCCAGTGGACAACTGTTGAAAAAACAGTATGCCTTTGAGGCTATATAGTTACTGTGATTATTGTGGAAAAGCCACTACAGAATATTTAAGTTACAGCCCATTCATGACTGCATTTTGGTTGGCGACTTAGTTTCTGACTCATGTACAGTGGTTTTAATACTAGATTGAATTTATTTGATTTTTTGGGTAATTTTTTGGTGTGTAAGTATATGCTATGGTTACAGGACCTTTAGTTAGGAAATTTATTAAAAATACTGCAAGTTAGCATTTGGTAGATTACCACAGAATGGTATCCTAAAATACCACAATTAACCCCCATTCCCCCCCGATACTTATATATATACATATATATATATAAGGGCTATCGATTAATCACAGTTAACTCACGCGACTAACTAAAAACAATTAATCATGATTAAAAAATTCATCGTGACTAATCACAGTTTTAATTGCACTGTTAAACAATAGAATACTGATTGAAATTTATTGAATATTTTGGGATGTTTTTCTACATTTTCAAACATATTGATTTCAATTATAACACAGAATACAAAGTGTACAGTGCTCACGTTATATTTTTATTTTTTATTACAAATATTTGCACTGTAAAAATGATAAACAAAAGAAATACAAGTCCACTCAGTCCTACTTCTTGTTCAGTCAATAGCTCAGACAAACACATTTGTTTACATTTGCAGGAGATAATGCTCCCTGCTTCTTGTTTAAATGTCACCTGAAAGTGAGAACAGCATTTACATGGCAGTGTTGTAGCTGGCGTTGCAAGATATTAGCATGCCAGATTTGCTAAAGATTAACATGTCCCTTCATGCTTCAGTCACCATTCCAGAGGACATGCGTCCATGCTGATGATGGGTTCTATCTGATAACAATCCAAAGCCGTGTGGACCGACGCATGTTCATTTTCATCATCTGAGTCAGATGACACCAGCAAAAGGTTTATTTTCTTTTTTGGTGGTTCGGGTTCTGTAGCTTCTGAATCGGAGTGTTGCTCTTTTAAGATTTCTGAAAACATGCTCCACACATCATCGCTCTTAGATTTTGGAAGGCACTTCAGATTCTTAAATCTTGGGTCGAGTATTGTAGCTATTTTTAGAAATCTCACATTGATACCCTCTTAGTGTTTTGTCAAATCTGCAGTGAAAGTGTTCTTAAAACGAACAACATGTGCTGGGTCATCATTCGAGACTGCTATAACATGAAATATATGGCAGAATGTGGGTAAAACAGAGCAGAAGACATAAAATTCTCCCCCACGGAGTTTAGTCACAAATTTAATTAACATGTTATTTTTTTAATGAGTGTCGTCAGCATGGAAGCATGTCCTCTGGATTGGTGACCAAAGCATGAAGGGCATATGAATGTTTAGCATATCTGGCAAGAAAATGCCTTGCAATGCCGGCTACAAAAGTGCCATGCAAACACCTGTTCTGACTTTCAGGTGACATTGTAAACAAGAAGCAGGCAGCATTATCTCCTGCATAAGTAAACAAACTTGTTTGTCTGAGTTTAGGCTCTAAAGTTCTACATTGTTTTATTTTTTAATGCAGTTATTTTCTGTACATAATTCTAAATTTGTAAATTCAACTTTTGTGATAAAGAGATTGCACTTCAATAGTTGTATTAGCTGAACTGAAAAATACTATTTCCTTTACAGTTTTTTTACAGTGCAAATATTTGTAATAAAAATAAATACAAAGTGAGCACTGTACAACATTCTGTGTTGTAATTAAAAATCAATGCATTTGAAAATGTAGAAAACATCCAAAATATTTAAATAAATGGTATTCTATTATTGTTTAACAGTGCAATTAATTGCACGATTAATAGTAATTAATTTTTTTAATTGTGCGATGAATCACAATAAATTTTTTTAATCACTTGACAGCCCTAATATATATATATAGCCATGGAAAATATATGGCAGGAAACATTCCAGCACTAACTGTGAGATGACTTGAATAATCTAGCAGGTCCTTCCCATCTCTAGTTTATTTGATTATATGATAAAACAAAGATATTTAAGGATACTAGTTTTCACTGTGCTGCACGCAGGTTATTGGTCATGCAATTCATCCTGCACTAATACAGTTTTAATATTTCTTATTTTTTCACTTCTATAAAAGGAGATAAGATCAGACATACCTGAAGTACAGTTGGGTCCAAATAAATTATCTTCAGCACAAGTTTCACAGGCTGTCCCACCAAATCCTGGCTATAGAACATATAAGGAAAGTCATTCTGCTGTATAATTAAACATTTGAATACAAGCAGAGTGGCCATACATAAGAAAATGTTATAATGCTGAAAGGACTATAGACAGTAATTTGGAAAAAACACTGTCCCACCAAGATGAGGACTGCTCAAGTAAATCCCAGGTAAAATCTCCTTTGGCCAATTTTTCTCCCTCACATATTTATACATTAAACTTAATTTCTGTCAGTGACTAGCCAGTATGTTCCTATTCAGAGCTTTGACCACTTCCACAGAAACGCAGAAGGCTTAAAATATAATCAAGAATTGCAACAGAACGTAACTGACTACTCATATCATTCTAATTACTAGCTAATCAATAATAATAATAATTAATAATAAATAACAAATGCCTCAATTCTACTCTGTTTCTCATTCTCCAACTCCCACCCATGTGCTCTAGAAAAGATGTGCTTTGTAGTGTTTCTAGAAGATTAGCCAAAGCAGGATGAGGTGGACCAATTTAATGGGGCTTACATGCACATATCAGGAAGAATTTGACCTTTTATTTTTCCCTTCTGGGTGGAGTTATTTATCACCACCAAATGAACATTATGGAAACCTTAAGGTAAATAGTCATAAGGAATAATTTGAAGTTTTATGTGAGCAGAAACTTAAAAAAACAACACAAAATAAAACCAACCTGCCCCGCCCCTAAACTATCTCTGCAGGCTATTTCTGAAATACTTTCAGTTTATGTATTTTTCTGACATAAATATGGAGTATTTCCTAGTTGTGATACACAATATCATTCCAAAAATTGAAGGGACATACTTGGCAAGTGCATTTTCCATCCCCATTTATACCCTGAAAACAGCGGCCTCTGTTATTGCATGGTGATGCAGCTCCTCCTGGACATGCTACAGAATAAAACATGTGACAAATCAACAACACTGACTGTGACAGTTATACAGACAAAGTCCTTTATATTAGTGATGGCTACTCTCAAGAGGTTTGGGGGAATCAGTTCAAATAGGCATCTCAAAGCATGGATTTTTTTGAGTCACCTAAGTATTTTCAGTGACATCTTGGTCTCAATGAAGTCCCATGGACTTGAATGGAGTTAGGATTGACTATGCTGGACTAGAAATCTTGTGAGAACAATGAGATTTCTAACACTTTTCCCTCTGGTTTGGCCAGATGGAATGTGGAGGGGCAGACCTCCATGAAAATGAAAAGAAAAGAAAAAAAATGTAATCACACTTTTTTGAATTTGAATGTAAAGTTCTTGTTTTAGTCAAAGGATTGATAGGCAACCTAGAAATTGCTATACTAGTCATTTTATTACAACATTTGCAGCATCCAGAGGGTCAGTCATTAAAAATTACACTTAATGATCGTATTGGAAGAGAGAGTCTTTTCCATACAGCATAGTAAAAACATCATATATTGTAGATTGGACAAAGCTCTAGAAAATATCCTGTAAGGACCAGTCCTGCATTGGCAGAGAGGTAGACAAGATGACATAATAGCTATTTTTCATCTTTACTCTTTAGGATTCTCTAATTCAACACAATCTCAAATTTATGGACTAATGTATACAAGAATTTTCTGAAAACACAAGATCAGCATGGAATTTGTTTAATATTTTGTATGGAGGATTATATAAAATGTATATTGGCCTCGATTTTCAAAAATAGGACCCTCAAGTTAGGCTCCTGAATCGCTATTCAGACAACTCAAAATGGACCAGATTTTCAAGAACTCTGCAGTTTTGCTAATCAGCTTGTTTATTTAGATGCTTGAATATGGATATAGAAGATTAACTTTAGGTTAGAAATTCTTGGCCACAGTTAAACTTCTATATCCATATTCATACACCCGGATAAGGCCCTAATCTGGCAAACACATACACCTGTGCTTAATTTTACCATTGTGAGTCGTTTGGGGTTACCCGTGGAAGTAAAGTTAAGCATGTGTGCACGTGTTTGCAAGATTGGGGTTTAAGGGATCTGATATCACAAGTGCTGATGTGAATGGGAGCTCTTGGCTGCTCAGCTCTTCTGAAAACCTGGGCATTACTCCTACCGGTGTACTGAGAGGTGAAAAGTCCAATGTTTTCTAGAACAGACGGAACGCTTTGACCCTTTGGGGAAAGTAAACATTCACTGAATAAAATCTCAAGGAATCATAGAAGCTATAGATGGAAAAAACTTATTAGCTCTGTTAGAACATCATAGTCCAACATTGGTATATTTGCTTCAATTTGTTACTATAAATAAAAGGGTTACTTAGAAAATAAGTTTCTTGTTCTGTACAGTTTCTGTATTGCTATTTTACTTTTAATTTTTCGCATCCACTGTACTGTGGGTGAAATCCATCTCTCCCTGCATAAAGCCTAAGAAAATGGCCTTGTGCTGGGAATGGAATCTCATGGTCAGGCTGGGCTGTGATGCAATTGGGGCTGATTGAACATGTTCTGTCAAACCTGTCCTTGGCAGAAAATTGGGTTTTCATTTAAATGACTTTTTTCCCAAATAAGTATCTGCTTTCCATGCTTTCCAATTTTGATTTTTCATTGAAAAACTGAAAGCCTGAAAACTGAAATATTCAGATATGCTGTCACAGTGCCTCATGGGAACTGAAGTTTGGCAACCTGCTGTCTCCATTCTCTTCTATTGGCCAGGCTCCCCAGTAGAACTACATCACCCATGATATACCGTGTCTACCTCCCTTTGCCATGAGGGATGACCATGGCATATCATAGGAGGATTAGTCTGACCAAGGAGCCTAACCTATAGAGAATGGGAGCATGAGGCAGCATGACAGCATTTCCAATCGAAATATTTCAATATTCAAATTTTCATCAACAAAAATAAAAATTTTGCATAAAAATTTAGATTTTTAGTTTTTTTGTTTTTGTTGAAATTTTTCACAGAAACCTCCATGATTTTATGACTAGATCTAAATGCAGCCTCTCAACAGCAACTATTCTATAAGTTCCTCTACATCACTGTAGTGCTTGTGGCCCCTTTTCCAATCTGCTGCAAAACATGCCAGCACTGAGCCTCACAAGGGTAATTTGTAGAGGAGACAAGACCCCATTACATGCTGCTCCATTTATAGCACCCCTGCTTCACTACTGGATGTAAATAGTTGAGAGGGCCTTGTGTTGGGTCTGTGTAAAACTGGTCAAAAATTGGCAAGTTTTTTTCCATCACAAAGGTGTTGTGGGTCCAGAACGGAAATCTGGCGCGGGGGGGGGGGAGAGGGAGAGGAAAGTGGGCAAAACCCACCCCAGAATAGCGGGCCATTAGGATGGAAGTGACCGAGGTTCAAGTTCCTTTTCTATCTGTTTTGTCTCTTTCTCTGGCCCAATATTTAATTATCTATACAAAGGGGAACAGCTCCAACAAGAGAGATTGAGAAAGGGACCTGGGTTCTAATTCCTGCCTCAAATTCTGAGGTGGCTCACTCTTGAAAGGTCTCATTTTTGTTCCGATGCAGAACAAAAAACAAATTTTGAAACTTTAATGTTTTTCCTGAAATGGAATTGTGTTCCAGCCAGCCGTAGTTCTGTGCAGCGGGAGGTGAAATATTTACCCCGTGCAGAGAGCCAGCACAAGATTTATGCACCACTTATGTCTAATTTAATCTTGACTTCAAGAGTTTAAGGGATCTGGAAGGCTTGTACTGTGCCTCTGCACAAGGGTGAATTGCAAGTGATCTGAGCAGTGAGCAAATAAGTGGATGTGCACATGCATACGCATTATTTCTGTGAACACTTTCACTGCATACCAACCTATCCCTTAAAGATGAGTCAGTAATCCAGTGAGAGCTATTGACTTTATATACACTTTTTCGATGAATCAGTCTGTAACAGATATAATTTTCAGTCCAATGTGCCTTGAATGCATTGAAATCATGTTGTATTAAGATCTGAGATGAGATAACTGGGGACAAGGAGAGCAATAAATACATGTTAGCACCAATGTCCTCATGGAGCTTCTAAATGTTTTCAAGACATTAGGTCACAGATAAAAATTATCCGTAGGACTAACAAATCAGCTAATCTGTGGGGTGCATGGAGAGCAGTTTGTTGTTTTAACTCATTGCCTGCACCAGTGCCTTTGTTAAATGTGCAAGGCTAGCAAATGAAATAATGAGAAGAGCTCAGGATTTATATAGTAAGTACAAAATTCTGGTAAAACAATATTAAAAATGGCGGACATAATAATTCTTTAGCTGCTGATTTCAATCCATTTACCTTTGACATCACTTCCACTCTTGCCTCTTGTTTTGATACTACCATAGCCAGTCCTTTATCAGCTGTTTAGCAAATTATTGTATTGTTCTACAACTTTAGCTAGACAGATAGAGCACTTCTGCTTGATCACTATATTCCAGAAGGCCACGGTCTGGATTCCCCAGTCCCTATACCAGTTTTACACTACAGTATATCCAATGACTTCATTGTAGTCAGGCCGGCATAAAACTTATGTAAATGAAGTGGAGAATCAGGCTCTTTCTTTATGTTCAGTGTATCTTTCAAGAAATGGTAAGAAAGCTATGTTTTTCAGTTTAACCCACCAAAAGAGGTGTGTCTGGTCTATTTAATCGTCTAAGCATAAGACTAGAAATGGCTGGGAGCTCAACACCTTTTAGAATGAGGTTATTTATTTTGATACCAAAAATATAGATGTAGGAGCCTAATTTTAGGCACCCATTTTAAAAAAATCTTTGGATTATTTTTAAATTGGAACATTCAATTTTTGAAGTTTTCTGATTTTGAAATTGAAAAATTCTGTTCTTAAAAAAAATCCACTGAAAATTCAGAAAACAAAACCAGATCACCTGAAAACATAACAGGATGGGAAATACTTCTGAATCTGTCAGAGTTTCTATGAATTTTTTCCCCCCAAGTTTTTGGCCAGCAATACTGCTTTATAGTCAGAGCTTTTTCTTTATAGAAAAACATTTAAATACATAAATTTTTTTGCCTCATACAGTTTAATTAATTAAAACAATTATCTTTACTTTGTTTTCCATTTTTCTTTTGTATTACACAAGCAAGAGCAGAATAGACTGAACGTTACCAGCCCTTTAGGAAACATTGTATGTCCTTCCACTTGAATTTGATTATTAGCTATATATTATACATTTTCCTAATCTGTTTTGATTTTTTACTTAAATTTGTACAGCAAATAAAATTCTTAAGAATCCATATGACAGTAGTAATAAATAGTTCATGTAACTAAAACTTAGAGAAAAAGCTAAATGCTGGGCATCTGTATTGGGTCCTATATATGATCTCTACTTTCTGGAGCAAGTTACCCTAACTTTTATTCCATGTCCTTTGCTTTTATGCCTCTGATGACTGTGTTAACTGGCTATGTGACAAATCTTAGTTTTCAGTGTTTTCTAAATACTGAGCAGAGTAGGTGGCCTTGATATCTGCTGGATACTGATTAAAAATCTGAATGGCCTCAGGAGGGAGCAGGTGAGTGGTGCTAGTCACAGGGAGGGAGCAAGTCAGAGGGAGGGAGGTTCAAAAGAAAGATGGTCTAGAGGTTAGACTCTGGACTAGGACCTGGGAGACCTCAGGCTGAGTGCCTCACTCTGCTACTGACTGGCTGTGTGACCTTGGCCATGTCACTTAAGGACTGATTTTCAAAGGTATTCAGGTGCTTAAAGATGCAGATGGGTGCCTAGTGGGATTTTCAAAAGTACCTAATCCAGTTAGGCACCCAGTTCTCACTGTAGTCAAGTCAAAGTCAAATCTGTGTCTTTAGGCACCTAAATACCTTTGTAAATCTGGCCCTTGATCTCTTTGTGCCTCAGCTGCACAACTGAGAAATTAGGATGATAATATTTCTGTGCTATGCAGGAGGCCAAATTAGATACTCATAATAGTCCCCAGAAGGCTTAAAAATCTATGAAGCTCTGAAATGATATTGATTTTAACTGAAGTTTACTGAAGCATGTTTGGAATGCTCAATAAAAAGGGTCTCATGTCAGTTGTAATTTAATGTACACTCAAATGCAGCAGGCATTCTAGCTGTGATCTTAAAATACTAGTCCAAGATTTACAAACATGGACTGCTGCAAGTTAAGATTCTAGGTCCATATTTAGGTAAATGGCTTCACCGAAAGCTTCTGGGTGCTCAGCAACTTTGAAAATCAGACATGGACAGGGACTTGCTCATTTTTGAAAATATTAGTTCTGGTCTTGTCAGGCTTTTAAGAATGCATAAATTCTTCTGAAAAAGGAATTTATTCCAGCCTATCTGCTGAACCCCATCACCTCCCAACAATTTGGGTAGAGCCTCCCTGCTGTCAATAGCCTGATATTTCGTGATGGTTTGTGTTTGGATTCAATATACTGTAGTCCATTTAAAAGGGAACTGGAGTGTGGCTCTCTTGCGTGGAAGGTTTGCAGTACTGGAATCCTGCAGTGTATGAGGGAAGGACAGAAGAACACCAGTTGCTCCAATGTGGTCTATCATTTAAGGAAATAGAAGTGCAATTTAAGAGCTTATTTTGTCATCACCATGAAATACAAAAGATGAAGTATGCTCCTAGTCAGGGATTTTTCTTCTAGTTTTAGGAAGGAACTGCTTTCCTCTAAACTCTAAGACATACAGTATGTTCTTAAACAGATTAAGATAAGGAAAGAAAATAGCACTTTTCTTTAAGTGACAGCAGAAACAATGCCTAGACCTTGATTCTTATACAGAGTTCCTTTTTTCCTGGCCAGGATGTTTATTAGAAGGAAAAGGGGGCCTCTCTACTTACTACAGAATCCCTTTAGCATGAATTCTGACGCTGTTCTATTTTGAGCGAACTCTTCCATACTCTAAAACACACGAAGTCCATAACTTGGTGTCACAGAATACATTGCAGTGTATAAACTAATCAAATATTATTGTCATTGTTGTACCATTGGGCTGAATTCTATGCTTTATTTAAAAAAAGACAATAACTAAAAAGTTGGCTTGTCACTCTGTGTTGTAAGGAGAGATCTAGCTGTGAGTAGGGTTTCTAGAACTGTGGTTCCAGTAAATATGGTCAGTGTTTAAACCATATCTTTGCCTATATAGAAGATGATAATCTGTTAACATTCTTTTTGTCTATTTAGCCAATGTATAACTGCATGGGTGCTGGATCAGGCCCTGAATCACCCTGACTTAAATAGGAAAGGAACTTATGTAGCCTCAGAAAGACGTCACTAATGTATTTTGGTGAACATTGAGGAATGGGAGTATTCCAAAACTGTAGGCTATTAAATGAGAAGGCCCTATGTCACACTTTCTCAGACTCCTGATATAGGATGTCAGCAGATCCAATACTGTAATAGGCATTAGGTGAGTAGACTATCCATCGGGTATATTGGCCCTACATTATTTAAAGCTTATATACTTGATGTAAGACTCTGAAGTACACTCACCAAACAAGATGCTCTACTGAGCTGACTGCTCCTGACGTATTTCGAAACTAAATCAGATTTACCATGGAAATAGTTTGAGAGGAAAAGACAAATCATTGTCACACATCCATAGATATTATGTCAATAAAGTGAGTTTACCCATACAATCTGGGCCCCAATATCCCTGGCAGCACTCAGGTTGTTGAAATTCCTTCATACAGATATGCCGACATCCAGGAAGAGACAAAGTGTAAGTCCTGATTTCAAGGTAGTACCTGAAGACAAGAAGTTGCAGATATTTTAGAGTATTTAAAACCTCCTGTGGGGACAAATGAAGTTTGTAACCTCTTCATTCTTTAAAGCCTGATAACAGAACTTAAAAATTACAGCCTCACAATTCTGTTTTTTTTATTTTTCATGTAAAAGATGGGATTTCCCCTCCATAGTTTATTGAAGTCCAAAAACATCCTTGCAGCCATTTCTCTTGTACAATATGCCTGTCCTTCTTACTATCTGTAGTTTGGATATTCCATAGTTGTCTAGTATATATATAAAGGACTGTGGCAAGATTATTTAAGAGGGATATCCCTGAAAAGTTTTGAAAACTACATTTGAGTTTTTGACTCATAGGATTTGGGAGACTAAAAATGAATGCAGCATTTAACAATAGAAACTTCATATCCAAGCTGGAACACATAATAAATGCTACCGAATACGACTGAGAACGATTTTACTATACTACTCATAGAGATAAACTGGAAGGTCATGTATACCAATACTTACATCTTCCCCAAGATCTCATCCAGGAGTAACTCTGAACATAAACTATCCTGCGTAAAATCCAAGATCCAGAGTCATTGGCAAAACTACCATTGACTTTGATGGGACTAGGATTTCACCTTCTGTCTTGTTCTATCCATTGACACTCCCTGTTGAAAGATCTTTTGGCAGACCTAAGTGAGAACTCAAAGGAACATTAACTCTATCTGTAGATTGTAAGCTCTTCAGGGCTCTTCTCACAGTACGTATTTGGACAGTGCCTAGCACAAGGGGGCCTTAATTTTGGTTGGGGCCTCTAAGCCCCATTACTACTGTAATACAAATAATAATATTGCACCTATGGGTTCAACGCTTTCATAGTGCTTCTGCGATAGCTGCTCAAATGGGAGGAAGTAGATGAGGCATGAAAGTAACCAAAAACTTTCCACCTCTTTTGATGTAAAAGAGACCAAATACATACTAAAGAAAAGAACTAACCCAAGACACAAAGCTGTGCATAGGCACCGACTCCATGGGGCCCTGGGGCTGGAGCACCCGTTGAAAAAAAAAGTGGATGCTCAGCACCCACCAGCCACAGCTGATTGGTGGCTGCTGCCAAACAGTTGTTTGGCGGTCGGGAAGGGGGTTGGGAGAGGGCAGAGAGCAGCTAGTGGCGGGCAGGCGGCAGTCTCGGGGGTGGAGCAGGGGTGGGAAGAGGCAGAGCTAGGGCAGGGCCTTGGGGCAGAGAAGGGGTGGAGCACACCCCAGGGAAAACTAGAAGTCGACACCTATAAAGCAGTGTGTATTCTGCAATCCTTGCTTCCACCTGCTTAAGCAGCCTTTCTGTAAACGTCAAGAGTGCCTCACTTTGAATGTGAGGTTAGGACAATGAAGAACATATTTTACAGATTAACAAGGCATAGGTCATTTCTAATGCTGATTAAAAATTTCTGGTTTAGGGTGAACAATATTTATAGTGAATAATTGTGACAGAAGAAATACCTGCAATCTCGTATTCCAGATCCATTGGTAATTTTACTATAACCAGCAGGGCACCGGATTTCAAGGTTTAGAGAACAAGATCGGCATTCAGTTTTGGTTGTAATGAGCATCTTCTGATCACATTTATTCTTCACCTGTAGAAAGCCAGAAATAGATTTAAATCCTTAGGGTGGCATTTTCAAAAATACTCACAGTTAGCCTAACTGCTCCCACTGGAGTCAATGAGAAATCCTGCTTTAATTCTTATAGTCTTATTATGGGTACATTTTCATAACCACCCAGCCCCATCATTCTCCTGTAGCTACAGTGCACTTTTTCAGTTTTGCTATCTTGCTCCCAGGCCTAAAACAGGTTGTGGGGCCAGTCAGTATGATATAATGGCAGGCTTCTCTACAGAGGAGCCCTACAACCTATAGAGTCTGACTCCTTATATTCCCCACCACCATGTCTCATATCCCTGCTGGGATCATGATAAATCTTTGGCCAGTAGTACTGAATATGATATCAATAAATGCTTGGTTTGGCAAGTTTGAAATGGAAACCAAAGACAGCTCAGTGAAAGTGCCTCAGTGCATGGGGTGTTAAATTATAAAGCCCAATTAGACTTCCAAACCAGGGAGAAGGTCCATTATTTTCTAAGCGTGGAGAAATTTTGTGATATTAGTTTACCCACTAACCAGCTCTTACAACCCCCCAAATGTCCTGTGCAATGTAGTACAATGTCAGTCAACTGGATGGAAGAGATCTGTGCAGTCTCTGCATAATAAAATATTTACCTTCTCCCAACCCCCTCCCCAAGATGGACTAAGAAGGCAATATCCAGACCTGGGTTAGGCAAAATTTGAGTTCAAGGATGAATCAGGATGATATTTTGGGTTTGGATTAGATGGACATGAAATCGTGAGAGATGTGGATAAAATGTTTGTCCATATCTGAAATGAAAGGTAGACACCTTCTAGGTTTGGATCTGATGTGAAACTGAAACCATGTGAGTGAGTTTGGATCTGAACTCTCTGAAGATGAAAATTTGAAAAGGTTCAGATTCAAGGTTCTAGTTTGACCTACCTCTTAAAAAGCTCCCAACAAAACCTTAAAACCAGTTGGTATGTCCAGACAATTAAATCTGAAGATGCTTGTAGCTCTAAGCAACCCCCCCTCTCCAAATTTATAACATTTTAGTTGAGGGCATGATTTTTGCACTAAGATTTTTTCCTGTGATTTCTTTATATAATGCAAACTGTTTAGCATAGTGGTTTGTCTATTTTTCTAAGGGTAAAGCCGCTTATTAAGAATAATAATCCCCCCCAAATATTTCATTTTTTAAAAGCAGAAAAATAGTAATATTAATCATGATTAATATTAATATTAAATATTAGGGAGATATTTCATTAAGACACTTCATAAGCATTTACCCTCTTAACCCTTGCAACACTTGTACAAAAGAGAGAGGTAAGTATTCATATTTTACATATGGAGATGTGGAAACGGAGAGTGACTTGCTCAAGGCTACACAGTGGGTCAACTATACAGGCATGATCAGAACTCAGGAATCTGTGTCTTCTTGCCCCCTCCTGTAGCCACTACAACACACCTTTCAAAGCCTCTGATGGTCTTCTTTCAAACACACAGCCTTTCAAACCATGCTCTTCAGTTGTAACTCTGATTAGACAACTCACTCAATTACCTAAGGACTTAACCTTCTTATGAAATCAAGTAAGTCAGCTTTGAACAGTACAACAAAATGCTCAATTCATCAATCTGTACTCCCAGGTGATACAAATACATGAGTAAATGCTGAAGGATCTAGCCAGTTCACCTTAAGCTAGACCAGAGGTGGGCAAACTACGGCCCGCAGGACCATCCTGCCCGGCCCCTGAGCTCCCAGCCGGGGAGGCAGGACCAGCTCTAGGCGCCAGCAAAGCAAGCACGTGCTTGGGGCGGCACAATTCCGGGGTGGCATTCCGGCCGCCCTTTTTTTTTTGTTGTGTTTTTTTCCTTGGGCAGTTGTGCTCTCGGAACTTGGGGTGGCAAATTTTTTGCTTGGGGCAGCAAAAATCCTAGAGCTGGCCCTGCGGGGAGGCTAGCCCCTGGCCCCTCCTCCGCTGTCCCCCCGCCCCCGCAGTGATGCCGCTGCGCGGGCAGCGCGGGAGGGGGGCTGCACTGCGGGGGCAGGGGAGAGCAGGGAGGGAGGCTCACCTGAAGCCACAGGGGAGCAGGCGGGCGGTGCAGGTGGCGGGAGCGCGGCGAACGCGGGCGGAGGACTCAGGAGGAGCACCAGGCGGCCGTGCAGCTGGCCAGAGAAAAGCGGCGCTTTGAAGGGGAAATTGCTGCTTCTCTCTGGCTGCGTGGCTGCCGCTGCTCCTCCTGAGTCCTCTGCCCATGTTCGCAGGGCTGCATTCTGAAAGGAGCTTTAGAGGGGGGGTTGGATAGGGGGTGGGGTCCCGGGGGGCCTGTCACGGGGCAGAGGTGTGGATAGGGCGTCGGGGCAGGCAGGGGACAGGAACCGGGGAGGTTGGATGGGGGTGGGGTCCCGGGGGATGGTTAGGGGCAGGGGGTCCCAAGAGAGAGCAGTCAGGGGACAAGGACTGGGGGAGTTGGATGGGTAAGGGGTTCTGAGGCGGGCAGGAAGTGGGAGAGGGCAGGGGCCAGCCTGTTTTGGGAGCCACAACCTTCCCTACCCAGCCCTCCATACAGTTTTGGAACCCTAATGTGGCCCTAAGGCCAAAAAGTTTGCACACCCCTGAGCTAGATGTACCTGCTGACCTGTTTATTTCAACATTTGTCTTTTTAATTTAATGTGCTGTTAGGTGCTGATCTGCAAAGTTGCTCAGGAAAAGTCACTCAGAGTTTAACATCTCAAGGATATCAGGATCTGGACTTTTAATATGCAAGCAAACTACTTTCAACAGGAGTGTTAGTGCAAAAACAACTTAAGACATTGGGTTGGCTTATTTCACTGAAATGTCAAAAGAACATTTTTCACCCCCAATTTCATTTTTGATGAAAATTTTCAATTTTCAAAGATTTTGAAATGAGAAAATTCAAATAAAATTGTTTTATTTTTCAAAATTTTGGAATTTTTTGTTTTGCAATATTTGGAAAATTCCCATTTTCTCTCCATTCCCTTCTTGCCCCCTCCTCCCATTTGAAAAAGGGGAAGAAACGTAAAAAGAAAAACCCGCACCTTTTCACACCTCAGAGCAATTTTTTTACATGTTTCTAGCTGAAAAAGTAAAAAAGGAGGGATAGTGGGAGTTGTCCCTTTTTCTGACACTCTCTTCCTCCACATCTCTTTCATTCCTCTAATAGGTTATTCAAACCTTTTCCCCCAGTTGTACTAGTGAGGACACAGAAATCCAAAACCATATGCGGTAAAGTAGTTCAAGTGAACACAACATTTTTGACCAGTTCTCATTTCTATGGTTAGATCTATAATACAATAACACTTCTCATTCCCTAAATGTATGTTACAAAACACATTTTTGTGAAATTCCATAAATCCAGGAAATTTACACCCTGGTTGTGTCACATCACCATATACATTAATTCCAGAAATGTCTACAAATCTCATGTTAAGTTTGCAACTTTCTGCGCATGTTAAACATTATCAAGTTCTCCAGGACTGTTTTTCACCTGGCCAAAATAGCTTTTTGTGGAGAATAAAGAGTACTGTTTGCTATGATAAAAAAAACTGTTTTCATCTTCTGATATAGTAGAAAATGTAATAACTTTCATTTGTTGCTTTTGGAGAATCATAATCAAACATCATCTATTGTCAGTTTCACCAATGTGGAGATTTATTTATTTATTTGCACAGGTCTATTTATGGCATAGTTTATGGATCAGACTGTTAGCATGTATAATTAGCTCCATTCAATGGGGATATGCTAATTTACAACAGCTGGGGATATCTATTTATCCAGGAGACAGCATCACATAAGCACTGATGGATAGTGCAATGGGTCCCCCCCCCCACCCATAAGACTCAGTATATGTGAAAAAAATTACAGAACCCTTCTGTACTATACCACAAACACAATGCATTGTTATCTAAAAAATGTATCCAAAAGAAAATATACGACTTTTCTTACCTGATCTTTGGGTTTTGGTGGTGAAGAGAGGTTATTTGCAACCAAAGAAGACACAAGGAATAAAACAACCATATGTTTTGCCATTATGAAAAACTGTTGGCTTTTTTTTCCTCAGAACTCTTCAGTCATGAGTAACAATGCTATGGCTGAAAATGATCAGAGTTTTGGTAGCCTTACCACTTTACTACATTCCAGTGAAAAGACTGAAGTGACTTCCCTCCTTTTCCTGAAGAAAGCAATGAGCTAAACCACAAAGCACGTGAAACCTGCCCTTAGATAGGAAAAATACCAAAATACATGGCTTTTGCTGAACGTTTTCACTGCAAAGCTGAATAAACCCTTCCTAACGGAATGACAGGATATCCTGACAGGACTCAGCTCTGCAGATCCCTCTCTCTGTAGCTGTTGACAACACAATTCCAAGGACACTGAATTGTGGTGACAGAAGATTTTTTTTTTCTTTTAGGTGGATATGAACTGAGGTTGGGAATAGCTGTTGATCTTGTTGTCATCCATCACTTGAATGGGGTCAGGCAGAATGCAAACTTTATAGAGCTGGGCTTATCAGTTCCTGAAACAGAAGGGTGTATCCACCAACGGTAGCTCTTTAAGCAAAGTTAGAGACATTATCTGAGGTGGCCAAATCAGCATCTTCTAGCTTTGGTTAGCTGGATAAAAGAAGGGACTTTTCCCCCTCCTTTGTTTTTACCGTCTTTGAAGCTTCATTACTTCATTATGACTAATCTTTTAGAAGTGGTACAAAGAAAATTAATTCAGTCAACTTAGCTGTGTATAATAGTAAAGAATTATATGAAGGACATTTTGAAGAATTAAGAGAAGAAATTGTCTTTCTCGCTGTTTTCAAAGTTTTTCAGCTCCTTTTAATTTTTTCAGTGTTATGGGGCCCAGTCATTCTCAGTCACAGAGGCAATGACCTACGTCTTCAAGAGTAGCTCGTGATTTTGGGTGCCTCAACTTTTGATTGCTTGACTTTATAAACTCATTATGCTTCTAAAGTTTTCAGAAAGTCCAAGGCACTCCTCCATATCATGGAAGACAAAGCTTTGGTTTAATGCTAGTTAGTACTTTTACTGAAGTAAGCAACCAGATAGCAGCAAAGTTGAGCTGGCTTCTTTTATTTAACTCGCAAAAATGCAGGTCATAACTATATTGTTTTTTCTTTCTTATCTCCCCTGTTTTTCTTCCACAAAAAACCCACTAGGGGCCACTCATTTTAAATTTGATATAAAATTGGCCCTAAACCAAACCCTGAATCTAGGTCTGAACTTCCTCCCAGACAGGCAGCTCACTTCTATTCAACCCAACCTGAGGGCTGTGAATAAAGGGGGTGGTCAAGTAAGCTGTACACCATTCCCATTTTGTCCTGGGTGCTAATTACTTTGTTACTGCCTGCTACTAATCAGGCACAGACATTGTGCCTGCTGCCTTCCCATGCTGTTCATATCTGCCTTACCTCATGTATTTGGTTTGAGATTTAAGACTTTTAAGGAGAGGGAATTTGTCAGGCCCACAAGACTGTCTCTGAAATCTCTGGACTTCTGGCTGTCCAGCTGCAGCCACCATAGCCATTAAAATATTTCATTTGGTGCAGGGAGAATAGAGAGTTGGGTCCTTCCCAGGCAGGCAGAAAGCATGACAATTTGCAAGTTCTCAAGTCTTTGTCTTTCAGGTTCGCTGAAATATTATTTTGCAAATAAAAAAACCCAAACCAAACCAAACCAAAAAAACTTGTTGCCATGTTTTTCAAAAATGGCAGAGACAAACCTGGATGTAAAGGGCATCAAAGTCACAGGCCTTTCCATTTCTCATTACAAACAGCTATGGTTCTGGGCCTGGTTCCTGAGGAGCTAAAGATCCACTGTTGTTTTGCCTCTGCACATTTGTCTATAAATCAGGCAAGAACAGACTCTCATGCAGTTTCCTGTGCTGCTTGGTTCTGCCGGCGCTGAAGCAGTATGAGAATAGACCCCACTATGGTATTTCAAAAAGAAAAGGAGGACTTGTGGCACCTTAGAGACGAACAAATTTATCTGAGCATAAGCTTTCGTGAGCTACAGCTAACAAATACATTTGTTCGTCTCTAAGGTACCACAAGTCCTCCTTTTCTTTTTGCGGATACAGACTAACACGGCTGCTACTCTGAAACCTATGGTATTTCAGTAGTTCTGCTTACAGGAAAGCAGAAAACACAGGCTTTCAAGGGAAAACAGAAAAGTAATGGAGCTGTGTTAAACCTTAATGGTTTTGTTCCTGTTCATTCTGGGGCAGGTCTTGAAGTTATCCACACTGGTCCCCCTACTCCAGTTATAATGTAAAAGCAAATATTGTGGTGCAGACAATAGCACAGATAAAAATGAGGTGGAATAACAGAATCGTTTCTCTAAAAGGAATATTCCTTGGATTGTGCTGAAAGTGCTCAGTTAATGTTGTAGGGGACACTATACAGTACTTGGAAACAGTGCTCTCTTCTGTATCACTTTTGGGTGACCACTTATCTCTGTTGTAACCACATGTGCCTCTTCGCTCTACTGGGGATTGCATGTGAAAGGCTCTGGCTGAACAGTTTTCTTGATCCTTTTAGACGTACTGTACCCACAACACTAAATGTTGCCTAAATTATGGCCTGTGTATGGACTTTATCCTGTTTGAAATCATTAAACAAATAGATTGGCCTATAAATCTCCAAGCTGTCACCTGTCAGCTTGGACTCTATATTGTTTACATAAAGAGTTCAGTTCTTTAAAAACAAAAAATTGTTGGTGGGGAACTGGCAGGGCAAAGAGCTTTCCTGTGCACTCTTCAGATCCTGTTCCTTTCCGCTACATGATGAGGAAAGTAACCTGGTTCTTGTTTATGTAGACAAGCCAGCAGCCAGAGTTCACAATATGTATATATTGAGGGCACGTATGGCCATGTGGCCCTCAGGACTATAATTTTTCCTTTGTTAGGTCAAGCTCTTCCACACAGCTTCATTTCTGTGTGCAATATTGATCATGTCTGGTCTGAGCCAGAGACATCACGAATCTTGATTAAGGGCCAGATTTTGTCCAGTCCCTATGTGGATACAGAAGATCAGCAGGGCATCTCTCTGATGTCCCGCTAAAGGGATGGGTTTCTCCATGGCCAACGAACCACAGGTTGAAGAGGCAACACATCCTGAAGAAAAAACTCCAGCTGTCAGGCAGAGAGTTTAGGAGGAGACCTATTTAAAAGGAAGGATCCCCAATCCTCAATCCTCCTGCCCCATGCACATGCTGGAGCTCTGTGAGCCTTGGGAATCTTCCTTTTCCCATCACGTTCCATGATATTGCATTGTTGACTGTGGCCAACACATGAAAATGTTTTTGAGGGACAATTCTCCGAATAAGCAGGAGATCTGGGAGCAAAAGGCCTGCACCTAGCTGCAGCTCGGACAGCAGCCCAGGACTTGAGTATGTCCACCCAGCTTGACAAAGCCCTGGCTGGGATGATTTAACTGGGAATTGGTCCTGCTTCGAGCAGGGGGTTGGACTAGATGACCTTCTGGGGTCCCTTCCAACCCTGATATTCTATGATTCTATGATTCTATGGGAAATAGGGTTGCCAACAGTCCTTTATTACAAGGTATGCCCCTTATTTTTTCATTTCTGGACAACAAGGTCAAGAGTTGCTGAGTGTTTCAAAAAGCAGCAAGAAATACCCCTGGTGAATGTAGGTGAGTACTGCTTATTAATTATTAATTATTATTTATTATTTATTATTTTATTAATGATAATAATAATATTGGGAGGAGGAGTGGGGCCGGGGTGCTAAGAGAACAGTCCCTTATTTCTGAAATACAGTGTTGGCAACCCTGGGAAGAGTGGCTATCTGGGAAGTGGTGGTGTTACCTGAGTTGTGCCCAGGTTTGCCCAAGACTGGCTATATCATTGCATAGTAACATGTTCCCAAATGCCAGCTACTGTAGCAATTGGAGGTCAGCATGGTTTGTTCCCTGTTGTCAGTTCAGACACTGCAGTGATAAGAGGAGTGGCAATCAGGCACATCCCTTTCCTGTGCTGCAGATCAAGACAAAAACATTAGTCAACTGCCAGTTATCTGCTGTGTAACACCTCTTGTAGCCACTCAGATGGAATAAAGCCTCTTTCATGTGACTTGCTTTCCCCCCCTCCCGCATGTCAGAATACAATATTTTCATTTACTGCTTCAATTACTCATCTCCTACTCTGGATAACTCAACACCATCGTCTCTTACTATATAGTGAGTTACTGTGCTCCACAGGGGTTACACATGGAATATGTTAGACTGCAATGGAAAGTAATTAGTAGCTCATTTCTTTATCTCTAAGGGGCTAAATCCTGCCCCAGCCAGTGCAGTGATGCCCAGCACAGAAGCAGCCTAGCACCTCGTCTGACAAATGGGATAGGTTTACTTGGGGAAGGCTGGGGCTCCACACTTTGATGCTAATCTGAGCATACCTGCCAGCTGGTACACATGCTGCCGATAGCAGCCTACTCATTAACCAGCTTTAGGACTTTGCCATGCTTCCTAACCCACAGATAAAACTCCCTTGGTGATGTGGTGTGCATGCAAGTGTACTAGATGGACTCAAGTCCTAGTGTGATTCTGTGGGCTATGGAAGGAGACTGCCATCTTGTCTGCATAGGGAGGAAGTTCCACCTGCCACCTTTCACTCATAGATTCATAGATTTTAAGGCCTGTAGTCTAGCATCTAGTCTGACCTTCTGCATAACACAGACCATAGAACCTACCCCCAGTAATTCCTTCATCAGACCCACTTGCACACTGGTACTGTGGAGGGTAGGGATGAGGGCACAATAAGGACAGGAGACAGGGTACAATTTTCAAAAGCATCTACAAGACTTAGGAGCCTAAATCATATTTTCAAAAGTGAAAATCCTAAACCCCATTGATTTTCAGTGGGATTTAGGGCTGAAATCTCAAAAGTACTTAGGTGCCTAAAGATGCTGATAGGCACCTAGTGGGATTTTCAAAGTCTCCTAAACAGGTTAAGTGCCTAACTCTCATTAATTTCCAGATAGCTACTCTTCCCATACTCAGATGGAAATGGGATTTAGGCTTCTAATCCTAATCCATTTGGGCTCTTTAGAAAATGTTACCCATAGTGCACATCCTACCCAAAATAGCAGTGTGATGCACTTCATTTGTTCACGCAGTGACACAACTAGAAACTTTATACAAGGCCAAGAGAGAATGAAAAATGGTGGAGATGAGACACATATAGTTCTGCTAACTGCACTCACCTACCTGCAGGAAGCTTTGATAAGCAACTAAAATAAATACAGAGTGGAATTATTTGGGGTGTCTGATTGGTTATGTACCTTGCATGTTGGTTTTGCTCCCTGAACTTTTTGCAACAGGAACTTTTTAAACCAGAGAGTGATGAATAGCAAATAATGACTACTCTCATTTATTTACAAATACCCTACTTTGTGTGCAAACACACATGTCCATACAAAGAACAGCCACTCCCCAAACAAGTATGTGAACAAAACTCCATGTGAAAATGAATGAAAATGGGCAC